CAGATCCTCATTCTGAGCCGTAAGATGCTGAACGAGTTGTTCCCTCCTATCGAGTTCTTCCTAATGCATAGTTTGTTAGGGTAGCAAAAAGTAGTAGATACTCCAATAGAAACGCACAGCATCCTGTTGCAGCTTATTGCCTAGACTTGTACGCATCGTCGTGAGTTTGGCTAAGAGGTTACGATACTGTGCAGCAAGGTTATCCTTCTCCTCTCTCTCGCGTTCGAGTTCTCTCTTCAGCTTCTCGATGGGGTCCAAGCCCTCCTCGTCCACGAGGGCACGGGAATGTCCATTGATGCCAACTACGGGAGAAGACGTGGAGCTGCGTTCGCTGTCCAGAGATGAGCGACCATCCACATTTACGACGTGATTAATAGGAGAAAATGGTCTGGCGTGGACTGGGGATCTCGAGTCAATCCGGGTGATGGCTGCGCCGTTGGAAGACATCGGTCTTGTTCTTGTCATTCAGTCCTCTGCTCTCAGAGCATGAGGCTACTTCACACGCCCAAAATGGAATTCCACGTGCGCTTTCATTATCGGAACCTTTTGTTAGTCTCATTCACCTGAAATCTCGACCTGCTCTTTCTTATGCAAAAGCTGAACATTTGCCTGTTCGTAATATGGGTTTTGTATTAGTGCCAGATTATGAGGGCCAACAAACTAGTGCAGCTCTCACCAGAGTTTTTGTATCGTACACTGTTATTTCTCGACTCGTACGACCTGCTAGTAAGTGCGGGGACAAAAGGTGAGTGAACAGATGTATCCATCTCACTGTGCTCACTGCGCACCCCTGCTTATTTCCAAATGAACTCGATGGGACCCTCGGAAGTGGACCTTCTACTCACTAGCTACACGTCGCAAACGACTTAGACTGTATGACGCTGCACGGCAACACGTTGAATTCCAACTGAAGTGCACGCTGCCCTCACAACCATTCCTGGAAGTTCTCGACAAGAACGATATTGGCCACCAAATATTGATCAAATCCCAGGGATTGCGCGAAGGTTCAGGTAATCGTGAATTACGTTACCCTTTCGGTCGGAGGGATGGAACAACTCATATCGAATGATCACGTCCCGAGCCTTCGCTTCCCCGTAGAACGGTACTACTCGTAACTTTGGTGCCCAACGAGTAAATTCCCGAGCTCAGTTTGTGATGGTAAAGTCAGGAACAATAACAAGGACAGGAGCTCCTTGCCATTTATCGGTGTGCTACGTCGGGCTGACGCGGACAACGCCTTACATAGTATACAAATGTAGGACTGGAAATTCAAGAAGGGCTACTAGTTCAATCGCTTTTGTCGGCTAGAAACTAATGGATATGGCAGTTCAGTCTTTCTTTCCACTATAGTTTCAGCGACTACTCCATCACAAAAGGATACGTTCTTCATCCTTGTTGCCTTCGGGAATGTGGAAACATATTCCATTGACAATAAGTCAAAGCTCCCGCAACGCACCGTAACAATTTCCTTCTCTCGTGGATGACTTTTCATACATAGATGTGTTCATGAACGAATATTCAACTTCTGGTCCCATGTTTTCCATTTTCGAAAGTCTTACCAGCAACCTTCATGTTCATCCAAGCGCAGATGATCATCTCATAGCCACCCTTGTTTTGGTCGCTCGAACAGAACACGAACAACTCACTCTACTATCGCTTCGTTGTGTGGCGTAGTGCCATTCTGGAACTGAAAATTTACCTGTCAGGACTTGCAGCCAATCTCTAAGCTAGCAGGTCACAATATCAGAAATTACCATCTATTCGCACCTTCCTCTCTATCTCCTCCTCGTGCCTCCTCAACAACAGCCGGTCCACCCAGCCGCCCTTGGGAAAGGCTTGATCCCACCTATTATGCAAATGCACGGCAAATATCTTTCCTAGCGCCCTATCTAGCGCTCCACCCTCCTCAAGCCCTTCCCCAGGTCTGCCGGTCCACTTCCCGTCTATGCGATCAGGCTCAAACGGATCTGGCGCTCTGTTATCGAGCCGACATACCAGAGGGTCGGAGAAGCAGAACGGTAAAATTTTAAAGGGGGGTATGGATTCGTTGAGGAGGCGCCGCCATAGCCTATGGTAAAGAACTGACCCCCAATCAGTACTTGGAGAACGCGGGGGAGTGCTGTGTGCCATGAGATGGAAGGCTTCACAGAGGTAAGGCGAGTGCTTGCGGAAGTGCATAAGCGCACCGTTGAACGGTTGGTAAATCTTGTCTGAGGAAACTTGTGGATTAGTGGACGAAAAAGGGTTGATTATTAGATTACCGTAGCAGTCCCATTGCGTTACAAATTCGTGCTCAAGCAATGGAGAGAGGTCTCGGGTTAGGAGCATGTCCACGTCTATCCAAGCGCCGCCGTACGCCCAGATGACAAGTAAGCGGACGAGGTCACCATCCACCCATGCTTTCTTGTCTTCGAGATTGAGTAAGCGGTGGTTCTCCATTGCCGTGCCCTTGGCTAATTCAGGTATATCCACTATCTGAAGTGTGAACGAGCTAGGAAACAGTTCGAGATACTTTTGCACGATTGGATTGAGTGATAGGTCGCCGTTTGACCAGAGCATTAGACGAGAGCGAGGCAGGTCTTGCGTAGCGAAGAATGACTTTAGCATGTATTCTTGTCTCTCACCGAGGGGTGCAAGATCGACGCGCCAATATGCATGGAACTGTGCTCGCTCCTCTGGTGGAATATACCGTTCCTCTGCCTTTCGTTCCCCTTCTGTAAATCTTACTATTCCTGCTAACTCATAGCAGTCCATACCCATCCGCAATGGTACACCTGCCTGAACCTCGAACCGTTTCCCGCCATACACGGCATCACTGATGTTGTACAGTGTGCTGATGCGCTCGGGCTCGAAACATCCTGCAAGTGGGGACAGTGGGAGTATTTCGCGCTGTATCCATGTTCGTTGATGGAATACGAGGCCGATGCTCCCATGCGGCTCATAGAGATAGTATATCGTGTAACCTATGATGAACGCCAGCGGAAGCGTGAATTTCAAGAATATTGTGAATGCTCTTCGCAGTCGCATGATGGGCCAGAACGGAAGTATTATTTTCGCCAAGGTGGAGGATATACAGTATACAGTGCCATCATGGGAATGGCGACGGAACTGCTCTCAGGCTGAAATTCGAATGTCGGCGTCAAGCGCGCCGGCGGCGAAGACCGTGTTGGTGTCAACAAGGTGTGATGTTTAGAATTTAAACTGCGATGCAGTCCAACTTCCGACACCTACTAGGGCGCGCCCGCCTACCACTTACAAGTACAAATATAATATTCCAGTCTCTCCAAATGATATATAAATATCTCGAATAGCATGGCCAAAGCGCTTTTATAGAGCGGATAGTGAACACTACCGCTGCGATGCGGACTGCTCAACAGTAGTATCAATTCCTGTGTTGCAGTAAGTGTCTTCGATCTTTTTACCTATGTTTCTGATTTTGGTTTGCTTATGGCTGTCAGAACTCTCATAATAAGTATCTGCAGCGCTGAGGAGGAAAGTGGCGGGCTTTTGAGAAAAAGAATCTCACCCTGCAAGCACTTTGTATTCTAGGAAAGCCGATGCAGTCATGATGAGCTTCTGAATCGTAACGGATCATAGCCTATCAGTCATAATCAATGCGAAGTATATACTTACGTTGAATGTGTTACAGTTCGCCAACATCAAGTCCAGTATGTGGAGACACTCGAATGGAAACACTTGACATGCGTCACGCATAACGGCGTGGATCATTTCATTTTATGCGATCCATATGTACAGCGACAGCTTAAGCGTTCAACTTAATTGCGTATGCCATGATGCTGATCTGTCATTGGACCCGAACTGTTTGCTTGAAGCCATACACTCCACCTTTCGAACCATTGTGAGCTCACACTTTCATAAAATACCTAACCTTGACAATTAGAACTCATATATTGCGCTAGTCACAGAGCCGACGAACAATGACTATTACCCTATCCATTGTTCCTTTCCGGAACATTTATCAAGGCTCTTAGGACATAAAAGCTTGCATTCTTTTCCCCCATCTGAGAGCCCTCAGCCAGATTCTATCTTGCCTCCTACGACCAATGCATTTCTCCTTCCTCACCGTCTTGGTTGCTTTGACGACATTTATGTATGTCAGCGCAACCCCATCTGTTTTCAGCAGATCATGTCGTGCCGTTGGCAAGTATTGCCAGCAAGGCTCTGACTGTTGCTCCGATGCGTGCGCGTATACAGCTGTGAGTTTTATTTGCATCTAAGATTCAGACTCGTGGCTCACCGTTTGTGGTTTGTAATAGGATTGCACCGTGAAAACTTGTGTTGATGACGACTCCATACTTAACGGTGGGCTGGTAGGTCGTGAGAGTGAGTCATGCTTCTGCCTTCATATCGATGCTGTTGTTCATGGCACAATTCATAGTTGATTGCTGAGTTGATCAATATGATCATGGCCCTCGGACAGGTTCTACCGCTTCTTGGATACCCTTCAATAGAACGAGATCGATACACATACGTATCTATCTTACACACGATCACTTCTCGATACCCATTTCGTTTGCGTTCCCCTTTCGTTCTGTCTCAGCCCACACCCTCAACAAGTAATCATATCCATACGATATTGGACTCAGTCTTTCCAACTAGGACTGATGTGACATAGTTGCTACTACATTTGTATAGTATCGGTACCTAGCGATACGTAGTTCCTCTAGCACGAGCCTTTTCCCCTCATCAAAATATTGATAAGGCGTGCTGTGAAATTGGAAGATGGTGATTTTTTGTCACCGACTGGATCACTCGGGGCATGGGTCATGTTAACGTGCTGACAAGTACCAATCACCATCATCCGGTTGAGTTGACCATGCATGCAGCCGCCCGAAGACAACGCGAAGAGATGGTTAGCTTCACGAACCTGCTCGGCGTATTGAATATTCCTTCGCCTATAGGGTAAATTCGGAACTTCATACTAATAAACAGGTGACACTGGCAGTTGTCACATTACGTATTTATGAAACAATTGAAAAGCACGAACAGAGGCCGCCAACTCCAGCATGTGGAAAAACTGCACGCGCGTCGCGCACAGATCTATACGTACTACGGTACGACCCAGGCAGCAACTTGAAGAGTCGTGCAAGGTCCAACCGTGACTACAGAAGTAGTGAATTGTTGCGCGGACCCGAGCTGCTCGTCTCCGAAGCCATATCAAGTATTGGAACCGCCTCACTGTCATAAAATAGTTCCGACGCATTAGAATCACCCATATATTGTGTCAGTCGCAGCCGACGAACGATTCGGATTACCCCATCAATTGTTCGCTTTCAAAGTGTTTACAGGACATAAAAGCATGCTGTCTTTCTCCCCATCTCAGACTTACTACCCAAGAGGAATATCTAATATCGCCTGCAAATAATGCGTTTATCCTTGATCGCCATCATAGTTGCTTGGACAGCATCCATAACTGTCAGTGCGATACCAGCTGTTTTCAGCACGACATGCAAGGCCATTAACCAGACTTGCGATGATGACCCTGACTGCTGCTCTAACTCGTGCATGTATACAACTGTGAGTTTGCTTATAATATGTCCAGAATTATGACCAGTACTCACTCACACTTGCGGATTATAAAAGGATTGCACTAACAAATATTGCGCTGTTGATCAATCGGAAGGCCCAGAAGGTCCAGAAACAGAAAGCCCAGGAAAAAAGAGGCAGCTCGAGGGTAAGTCATATTTATATCTCTGTATTGATGATGTTGCTCATGTGGTATAATTCTCAGCTAGTTGCAGCTGAGATTGGTCAATGTACTGGGACAGTTTCACTGGCTCTTGAGATACCCCTCCACAGAAGAACGAAATCGATACACACATCCATTTTACACGCACAACTTAGCACTTCTGGAGACACTTCATCCACGTTCCCTTCTGTACGATATCATTTTCCTCTCAGTTTTTCCAACTAAGACTGAGCATAATACTTGCCACGTTGTACGGCACAATGAACTTCGAAGTTACTTATAAGAAATACGAACGTTCTTGTTCAACCATGATGAGGCATTTGTGGACTAATGTGGTAGTTTGAAACGACCTTCCCCGAACATTTGGTAGGTCAAAGAATATTCTCAATTCACAAACCTAAAAAGCCTGGCCAACAAGTCCAGCTTGTGCATAAAATTGGACGGAAATTTAGGTCATTTTGACTGATCCCTGTCTAGATAAACTCGACGGCAAGTCGAACAGTTTAACTGTCAATGTCACGGTAGGTCACCCCTAGACAAACCTGTGCAGACGAAGGAAGATAATCATTCCTTCTAAGAAAGAGGCGGACCCGAACTGCTTGTCTAAAGCCACATCGCATTATCCGATCGTCAATTCCTGGGATACCACACTCGTATCTTTTATATATTTCCCGAATGTTTATAAAGGTCTTCAGAACATACAAGCGTGCCGTCAGGCTGAAGTTCTTCCCCATCGGCGTTACTCGAAAGCCCCTCGGACCCATCTCATATCACCTCCTATAACTCATGCATCTATCATCGCTCGCCGTCATGGCTGCTTTGACAGCATCTGTGTACATCAGTACAACCCTAGCTACTTCCAACGATACTTGTCTTGCCGTTGGCAAGTATTGCGATGAAGACTCTCAGTGCTGCTCTGATGCGTGCACATGGAAAAGTGTGAGTTTTCTTCGCATGCATGCAGGACTCAACCTATGACACGCCCTTTACTGTAACAGGATTGCACTGAAAAATATTGTGTTGCTATCGACAATATACTGGATCTCGAGGAGCTGAGACGTGCTTACAGTAAGTCGTGTTTTTGCCTTGGCATTGATGCTGTCGTTCATGGCACAATACTTAGTTGATTGCTAAGTTAGTCAGCTTGAAAATGATTGCACGTTTCGCTGCATCCTTGATATGCATCGTATGTATTGCAACACCTTTCGCCCGAGTCTGTATCCCTCTTTCATTCTCCGTCTCATCGTCTAACAATCCTCTCCGTACGACGTCGTTTCACCCAGCATACGTTCTACCGCCTTTGTTTAACACGTACCTAACGATATGCCATAGATGTTCTCTCTTCGTTTCTAATATAAACATTTCTACTCGTCAGGGTAGTGATTTGACGCATGAGTGAAAAAATACTGCAGCTATCGAACCACAAACATCACTATAAGTTGTTACACCGTGTAAATTCCACTCAATATGACATTGTCCTCACCTTTATCCAGTGGTCTTGGTATCTATCAGGGGAGGAGCGGGTTCACAATTATGGACTGCGATGAGCTCCGTTCGCTGCCGACACAGCCTGCGGTGATACGAAAGGATGATCGGGAAGTGCAAAGAAGGTACACAATGACGAATTAATTGCGGTGGGAGAAGCAGGGGTTCTCGAACATAGTAGAGGAAAAGTACCAACCTCCTGAATTAGAACATATAAACTAGCGCTCAGTGAACAGCTTTGATTCCAGGCGCATTTATTGATAGCATTATTTGGAGATCTCGCACAGGCTCCTTGAAATACTTTAAACTGCAGGATCCAGTTTTTCTGATTAGTGGAGGAGATGCAAAACCAACGAAAACCACACATAGTATTTGATGATGCCCTGTTTACCTGATCGACGTAAAAAAAAAAGAATTCTGATGATGTGCTAAGGTGGGCATCCATCAGCCGTCACCAGCTGATTTGGTCTTCAAGGATTCCGCGATCCTGAATTCCCAGTATCTACACAGTAATCAGTGAGGTATGTACCACAGAGTGCTTAATTAGTGACCTACCTTTTGCGTATAGTATCGTGCTCATTTGCCAGAGATTTCCAAAGCTACGATAGGTCAGCTATTTGCCAAGTTCGTGAAGTACGTATCCCACCTCAGTGGCTTTCACCAAGTCACCACCCCCTGCTGCCTCGTGAATATCAGCCATGAATTCAACAGCAGCGACGCAGGGCAGTTGTGCATCCTTCGAAGGAAGAGGACTCTCGAGATCAACGACCTCAGGGGGTGTATCTAAAGGAGGTTGAGGCAGAGAATAAGGCAGCACGAATGCTTGAAGTTCGCAATAAGGCATTTTAGCATGATCAAGCACCCCGCGCAGGTAATTCCACGCAGATGCATTATTCGGTGCAATTGCAATTCGCTCCTTCACGAATCTGTTGTACAACTCGTGAATGCTCCAGAAATCCACATTACTCAAATTAGGACTTACGCAAGCTCCCGCCGGACAACCGCATCTCTGTCTTCATCCCCATTTCGTACCCCAGATTGAAAGACGACGAAGAATCTGTGATGCCATGCAGAGTTATTCCTCACGTCACTTTCAAGCATTTTCTCCACGAAATCCAGCTCATGACTCCATAACGCGTCGTCGTTGAAGTACGCGAGGATCCACTGTCTGTACGACCACGTGTGGTAGTTCTTCGTATCAACTTGCAACGAGTTAGCGATGAACTCGAGCTCAGGGCCGGGATTGCGGGTCTGCTGCACGAGCAGCCTGCGGTGATGCCAGACTTGGTATGTCTTGAGATGCTTGATCGCAAGTTCATCCATCAGCTGAAGCTCATCGTCGAGGGGAGACTTCAATGCCATAAGTGTTTTGTACCTGTACTGCCTAATCGCACATGGAAACGTCACCTGTGTTCGACTGCAAGTGCATGATAGAGCAAGTCCCACACTCACCATGCAGAGTAGTGTCCAGGATTCTGCCGAATTATGTTCTCCGTGAGCTCCAACACCCTGGGACTCATCTCATCGCTCTTGACGATCCCTCTGAAGTAGTTCGTGGCATCTCTGTCTAATAGATGCCACCCGATCGTTGCATTGAGTGAGGGTTTGCAGACAAACCGGTTTGCTCACGAACATTCATCCGTATAAAAGATGGGCGCAAGAGGGGCGACACTTTCGTACTGTTCTAAAGGAACGACATCGGCCCACTCAGGTCGCTGAGAATACAACGGCTGCTCCTCTTCTGCAGGGAGATCCATAGCCAGAATGCAGGTTATGGAGGGGTTTCAAGCTTCAAGACAAAGGAGATTGAAATGACCAGAAATAGCAACTGCACTTATTCGCCGCCAATTCGCCGCTGTATTGAGAAATTGGCCCTCAAAAGTACTCGCTTTACTCAGTCAATGTCAGGTTTCTGATCGAACATGAAGAGACTCAATCACAAAAGAAACTCGAGTCCCAGAAAAGCAAGCGTGTAAAATACAGGACGGAAACTACTAAGAATAAATCGGATCGTTATCAAAGTAGAACAACAGAACGATCAGCATTAGCAGATACACATGGTACGGGCTACTTTAAGCAGCAGTGGGAGCAACGACATTGCTCGCAGTGTAATCCTGATAAATCTATATGAACATGATGTTCCAGAGACGAGGTTCAAAAACAAACCTCCATCTCTGCATCAAGGTCAGCCACACTCTTCTGAGGTCTTTCATTCGGCTTCCTTCCACGGCCTCTTCCACGGCGAGAGCCACGTGTGGCAGGTCTGCGAATAGGTAAGACAATGGAATCAGCAACTTTGCTGTACCCACCTTGCACTTCGAGCGTCTGAAGTTGCAGGAGCGGAAGCGGCAGGAGCAACACGCGACACGAGCGAAGCGGGCGGGGCAGGACGTGCGGGGTCGACTACGATCTCAATCTTCATCGGGCGTTCTGTAGTTGACGTGCGAGACGATGCGAAAAAGAGATAGACATTCGTTAGTCGGCTGTGCTTTCAGCGAGGAAGCAGGCAAAAGGGACGGATACGAGGAGCATGCCACTGTCCAAACCGTTACCAAGAACATTGTCGACTCTGTCCTCCTCCAATATGCCACAATAGCTGAGGCTTGCTTGCGCACGAATGGCCGCCCTGATTGGTCAAGGGATGAAGATTTGGAGTACCTCCCCGCCTGTCACTCCATAATACTTGCACCGGCCTGGAACTCAATCCCGAGACTGAGCCATGAGGAATGACGTGCACTGCGACGGCACCAGAATTGCAAGCTCAAAGGACAGCAAGCCTTCAGACCAACCTGCAACCTGGTACCCACCCCAAGGGTGTCGAGGCTGTGGGGACAAGACTCTGCCACCAAAAGAGTCTTGAGAACCCGCATATAGGCGTTTCCGCCACGCATGCACGTCTTTTGGCAGGGCCAAATAGAGAACCAGCGACAACGGATCTCCGTAACGGATGAAGGGCTCTTGCGGGAGACAAAGGAAGGAGACAATAAAGTAGGCGATACTAACTCCCATCGATCAATCGGTTGTTATATTGCTGGTAGGCCAAAGTACCATCGCCCTTCCGTTGGAAGTGAACAGCTGCGACACCTTTCGACCGTCCAGCGCTATCATAGTGCAAGGTGACGTCGCGCAAGGCTCCAACAGTAGTGGAGAATAGCTCCTATATTCATGCTCAGATTAGCCACGTCGCCAAGGTCGCCAAAAGTAAAACAACACACCCTGATTTGGACTTCATTCACATCTGTTGGAAGATTGGAAACGATGATTTTATCTGCGGGTTGCGCAGAGGTGGTGGCTGTGGCTTTAATAGCGCCGGCAGTGGCGGCGCGGGCAGCAGGGTTGGCACCAGTAGTTCCAAGAAGTTGGGCCTTGGCTCCTGCACCTCCGCGACGACCAGTACCACGACGGGCACCCCTTGGGCGAGAAGAAATGACCTAAATATCATGGTTTATATACGCGTGGCGGAAAATTTTTACAATTCAACACCAACCTCGTCAAGCGATTTGTCCATTATTTCAAGTTTTTAAAGAACGCGTGAATTATTTGCAGGCGAGATTACTGCTGTTTTGAGAGTCTTGACAACAAAGAAGACGGGTGGGTGGTGGTGGTGGCAAAGGGGCGACGCGAGATGACCCTAACACAGCAAGTCCTTGTTATATAACGCTTCGGAGTTTAAACTTTCTCAACTCAGCATGATGCATGCTGTGCTGTACTTGCATCTTTGATCATCGTCTCTAATAAGATTTAAAAATTATGTCTAGAGGACGCGGTGGTGGACGAGGTGGTGGAAGGGGCGGCTTTAAAAGCGGTGGTGGCTTCGGTGCAGGAAGCATGCCTCCTATGGGTCTCACATTTGCAGACATACAAGCGATGTCCAGAGAAGGAGACGCGTTGTACCCAGTGCGGTGCATCAATCTTGTAACATCATAGTGTGTAATCTCATTTTTATTCGAACAGCCATTGGATCCTCTGCCCGTTCTCACCGATTACTCTGCTGACGAGAAACGAATCTGTGATCTGCAAACCGGATTTGTTACCCGTTTACGGCAATCAGCCTACTACGTAGTCGAAACATCAAAGTCAAATGGTTTGAATGATCGTAAGTGATTGATAAACAGGAACCTAATACCTTTGCTTTACAGACTTGGAGCGTTATTCTGATAAATATCGCCAAAGTCCTGCTTCTCAGCCTACACTGAAGCGGAAGGACCTTAATGCACCTTTTTTTCCTTCGGAAATATTCGAGGGCTATTTCAATCCAAAAAGAAAACGTAAAGGTCAGTAGATCTATTTTCACTTTACACCGTTACTGAATGTATCAACAGTTGACAAGAAAGGCGCCACCAAACGCCTCAATCTTGATGACTTAGCGGAGGACGCTGAGGACCCAGTATGTCATGACTTCAGACATACTTTTATTTTCGGAATATTAACAAGCTCTTCAGGAGAAGTCGGGCGACGAACGCTCAGATGCTGGATCACAGCCAGTTGATTCCGACTACGACGTCGACGAGGAATATGACAATGATTATGCGGAGAATTATTTCGATAATGGTGAAGGAGACGATATGGACGGTCTTGGAGACGGTGGTGGTGGAGATGATGGCGGTGGCGGTAAGATTTTTCTGACACTATTTTCTAGATTTCAGCCTTCTCACATGATGAACAGGCGATTATGACTAGGAGAGCACATTTGTGTATCTCCTTAGTACAAAAGGACCTGCAATGCAGAGACCTCCTTATCATCGGCACTTTCATGCCCCCATCCTGTTTCAACAGGCCACATGTGCCCGCCTAAAATGCGCACGTTGCCTTGGGCCTGTAGACTCAAGATCCAAGGGATCATTAGTCTAATTCGAATTCTTCTTTCGTCACATTGTATTCCGCATCAACCACATTTACATGTGTAAAATACGATACGGATTTCTCGTCACTGAGCGAACCTCAGAGCCGCGTCTGTGTGGTGTGAAGGCTCGATGTACTAGATATGAACAGGCGTATAGATCTCAAATACACCCATCCCGGCACAAAAACCTTGACATGTGCGCGGACGGCTCGGGACCAGGTGTTGCTTGCTACCTAGTTTCGTTGTGTGCTATTGTCTGCAGGACGGTCGCCCAGTTTAGGTACGCTCAATGTACTCGGACTTTCTTGTCGATGCTGGTACAACATGACAACTGACATCGACCTGACCACTCATGAATAGGTTAGTGGAATTGCTCAAGAACTTGGAGGCGATGGACTGATTCTTCAACCAGCCACCGCACCGCGAGCAATGACTCAAAGCTGATAGCCACAATCCTAGTGTCAAAATGGTGGAGGATCTACAAGGAAGCGCTGCAATAGATAAATTAACCCTCTAATCGAACCTGCTGTCAACAGCCCCGCGTGTTTGCCGTCCGCAGCTCTGACGTTCAAGTTCAAGAGTTTGCGACTGGCTGTACTCGGAGATGATGCTCATATCAAGCACGCGGGACGGTAGATCCGTCAACTGAAACTTCATCAATCGGACCGCATATATCCAATGCACGCTTCAAACAATGGTCTACAATAGCGAACAACTCATGGAGATGATGCGAAGCTGGCGAGGAGCATGGTGATGCTGGAAGCAATAGGCGAGTGAAAGGCTGATCGTTCTGTATCCGTATACTACAACATTGATAGCATATCAGGCCCTCAGGACCATGACGTATATAGCTCTGCTATAAAATTGCAAGACATAGATGGGGAAGAGATTCGTCGAGCGACTCCGATTGGGAGGAGTAACCTGATGAAGAGAAAGTTGAGCAAGAAAGATCCATGTACATAGTATTCCGAGTCGTCCTCGCTTCCACCATCTTCCTGAAAACACCACCATCACTACAACACTGGCTTCTTCATTGTCGGCCCCCGCGCTGCGCGACCCCGCGGTGGCTGTATGAACCTTGCAGTGACCTATTCAGCATGATTCTCATCCCCTGCTCACGGATGATAGGTAAAGCCGGGATCAGATCCTGAACCATCTTCCAGGACGGGTAGTGTTCTGAAAAGACATCATCCTCATAGTAATCTTCATCATCTCCCTGAATTGATGATACGTTGGGTGCGATAGCTGATATGAAAGCAGCAATCGATATCGGATTCTCGATCTTCGAACCTTCAAAGGCTAAACGGGATAGTGCGTTGTGAGAAAATCCTTGGTAAGGAACGTCACGGGGTATGGCAGACATGTCTATCGTGGACCAGTCTACGGGAATGGCAACAGAGACTAAATGAGGGCAATGCCGCAATAGCAAGACGAAGGCGTGCGGAGTGACTTGATGACTTGAATGGGGGTATCCTGTGATGGATAAATCTTCCAGGAGGGGCCAGGCCTTAGCCATCTGCAAAAGGGCAGCATCATCCATTCGCACAACACAACCCACTACGAAGCAGAACTCGCGAAGATTGCGAAAGGCAAGGAGTGGTTGAAAGGACGCAGCTTCGATTGAAGTTTCAAGATCAGGGGGCCGAGCAGTGATGATGAGCTGCACCTGTTGCAGTGAGTTGTATGCACATGCGTTGGATATACGAGAAATCATATCCGGCAGGGCCCGTGCGGAACCCACTCCATCCTTGATCGTAAAGGAGACTATTTTTGGAGCGATAGTGAGTTCCTTCAAAAAAGCGTCCAAGAAGACCATATTTCTGGATGATATGTTCAATTCTTGTAATGCACAGAACATAGGACGCTGCAGCAGCTTTTGTGTATCGGCAGATATGAGAATTGAAGGTAATGTGAATTTCAAAATTCGGAGTGAGGGTAGATTAGACAGGTGTAGTATCGCTGCCTCGGGCAATGTTCCAGTCTTCACCGATGTTAGTTGAGACCATAATTGCAACGTGTCTCCGACTGATTCTGTGGAATCATCCGTATCTCGACCGAAATCGAAATCGAAATGCGAGATAGAAGGGCACGACTTTGCGATAGATAAGAAGATGGACTGTTCGGATGGACCAAATGTGAAGGGTACTAGAAAATGGACAGAGGAAATGTTGAGCATCGTCAATTTTGGGGTCACAAACAACTGAATATATTGAAGTGTCTCGTCGGAGGCCTCAGTCCAGGTAAGGGACGTCAAGTTGGGGAGCAAGGGAAGGGAGAAGGGAGGACAGCTGAGGGCACGCCAAATCTCGGCACCATATTTCATGTCTCTCGAGTACTGCTGATGACATTGATTAAGCAATGAACGGACACGGTGGTTGTATTTGCAAAAAATGGTCCAGTCTTTGAGGGTCATGGCTCTTTGAAATTCCTGTCAAACAGAGTAAATTGGTGTACTGTGCCTGTGAGCCAAAGCTTAAATACTGACTAGTCTTCCCCGGTGCTGTTTCCATAGGCTTTGTGGGAGACACCTAATGAGAGGTTCGATCCCACCTAGGTGTCGCCACAAAATGTTCAACGCAGGTTCAGTGAATAACTTGCACGTCAAGGCAAGTGCCAGGAGTGTCATTCTCGTACGGGGAAAGTCGAAAGACACCCATCCAGTTTCCGAAAGCTGCCCAATACTACGAGTAACAGGTGTATCAGGAGGACCAACCAGGTTGAAGATGTTCCACCGAAGCTCAGCAATCATGATACAGCGAGTAGATGCTGGCGAGAAAGAGGCAGGACTGCTCCTGTTGTGAGCACGTTGATGCTCGGCGCTTTCAGCCTCCATACTTGTGCCAGTTACAAGTTTGGAGGTTCAACCTGAAGTATGCAATTCGGATTCGGACAACTTGCTCGGTCGCACAATATTAATATTGGCCTCGAGGCACGGCTGTTACCTGCCGCAATTTAAAAGAGCCATGTTACCTATATGGACTCGATAATGTAGCATCGGCCAGTCGTATGTGTTTGGTTCGCAGGGCCCAAACGGCAAGAATCGCACTAGTGCTCCCATTGCAAATAGTTAAACCTTCGTTTGTTTAAGGCCGGTCGGTTATCGCAGCCTGCCCTTGTTGCAAGGGCACGGACCAATATTTACTCCTGTCGAAAGGAAGAGTTCCTACGTAGAACTAGAAGTACAAGCGGTCGGGGCAGCGTTAAAGCCCCCTGTCGAGATCTTCTGCAGGGATCGAAACCGTTGCCCTCCGCTTTACTAGCCCTTCCCTCCCGTTGTAGCAGCTAGGAGAAGGTGGACTGCAGCACGTCACACGTGTGCATAGGTGGTCTGCCTAGTACACTACTAGTCATCTATTGCCCACCTTGCGGCAGAGGCCTAGATTACCAGCTACGTCCTATTAAATCTAAAGCTTAAAGTGTCGTACACCTTGCGTGGACCTACTATGTAGTAGTATAACTCCGGCGAATCAGCACACCGATGTTTTATCAATCGGACCACATACACATACGCTTCGAGCAATGCCGACCTACACTAGCGAACAACTCGTGGAGATGATATGAAGCTGGCGAGGAGTATGTCAGAAGCAAAAGGTGAGTCTGCATCTGAAAGGTTGATCGTTTTGTATCCATATACTACAACATTGATATCATATCAGGTCATGACGTACGTAGTCCTGCTGTAAAATTGGGAGACATAGATGGGAAAGAGATTCGTCGGGAGACTCAGATGAGGAGTGACTTGATCAAGAAAGACCCGTATAGTATTCCGAGTCGCCCTCACTTCCTGCATCTTCCATGAAACATCACCAACACTGGTTTCTTCAGTATCGGCCCCCCCGCTGCGCAGCGGCGTGGTGGTTGTACGAACCTTGCATCAGCCTATTCAGCACCATTCTCCTCCCTTGCTCACGGACCATGGGTAGAGTAGTGATCAAATTCTGAACCACTGTCCACGAATTGTCTATTGCATCCGAGTCATACCCATGAATATCAGAGTCCCATCCGCTGATGGATCGCACGTTGGGTGCGATGACTGAAAGGAAAGCGGCGATTGATGTCGGATTCTCAATTCTCCAACCATTGATATATAAGTTGGTTAGCGCCTTCTGAGAAAATCCTTGGTATGGAAGGTCAGAGGGTATGGCATGCACATCTATCGTGGACCAGTCTATGAGAACAGCGACCGAGCGCAAACGTGGGCAATGCCACAACAGCAGGACGAAGGCGTGCGGAGTAACTCGATAAGTTGAATGGGAGTATCTGGAGATGTACAGCTCTTCCAGGAGTGGCCAGGCCTTAGCCATCTGTAAAAGGGAAGCATCATCCATTCGCACGGTACAGTGGCCGTCCGCTACGAAGTCGAGCACGCGAAGATTACGAAAAGCAAAGAGTGGTTGAAAGGCGGCAGCTCCGATTGAAACGTTGGGATCAGCAGGCTGATCATCGTCCAGAATGCGGAGCTGCACCTTTTGTAGTGGACTGTGTGCACATGCACTGGATAGACGATAAATCAGAGCTGGTATGACGAGCGCGGGATCCACTCCACGAGCGAATTTAAAGGATAATATTTTTGGAGTGATGGCGAGCTTCTCCAAAAAAGCGTCTAAGATGACTGGACTTTTGCATGTTACGGTCAGCTCTTGTAACGCGCAGAAAGCAGGCCGTTGTAGGAGCTTCTGTGCATCTGTAGATATGGAAGTTGAGGGCAATCCACATTCCAAGACTCGGAGTGAAGGCAAGCTGGACAGATGTAGTATGGCTGCCTCGGAAACCGTTCCGATCTTCACCGATGTTAGATGAGGCCAGAATTGCAACGCGATCGATGTGTCTCCAACTATTTGTTGGGAGTCATATCTCTGGGAAGACAAACTGAAATGCGAGACAGAAGGGCACGACTTTGCGATAGACGAAAAGGTGGACTGTTCAGATGGGCCAAGGGTGAAGGATGGACCAGAACGGGCCACGGAAATATCGAGCTCCGTCAACCGTGGGGTCACAAACAACAGAATGTATTGGAATGTCTCATTGGTAACCTCAGTCCAGGTAAGGGTCGTCAAGTTGGGGAGCAGTGGAAGGGAGAAGGGAGGATAGCTGAGGGCACGCCAAATTTCAATGTCACGGATGTTTGTGTGATTTATGTACAACGGATAACATCGATTGACCAGTGAACGGACGCGATGGTTATATTTGCAAAAAATGGACCAGTCATCGAGGGTCATGGTTCTTTGAAATTCCTGTGAAATGGTGTGAAATGGTGTACTTTTGAGCATAAGGCAGAGCTTGACTGACTAGCTTTCCATCCTCGTGTTTCCATAGGCTTTTGGGGAGACATCTGATAAGCGGTTCAAACCCATGCAGGTTTCGCCACACAAGGTCCAGCGCAGGTTCGCTGAATGACTTGCACGTCAAGGCGAGCGCCAAGAGTGTCTTTGTAGTACTTCTCTACCTCAAGGAATCCATCACCCATTCAAATTCTGAAAACGCCTAGCAGTACTCACTACAAAAGGATCAAATACAGTGACTTGTTCGAATATTTTCCATAGCAGCTCAGGAATCATTATACAGCGAGTGGATGCAGGCAAGGAGGAAACGGTATTTTCGGTATTCATGTTCATACTTCTAAGTTGTGGCAAGACTGAAAGGTCCTTCCTATGATAGTTTACGGGGACTTTGTTATCAAATTGATTTTTCTCACGTGACGAGATCGCGTCAGGGTCTCCAATTGGCCTCTATGCAGGTCCAGCTTACAATTTTCCAGGAGCTTCCAAGTAAAATAAGAAATGTGGTATTTTACTGATCAGGCTCTCGGAGCACTGAGTACTGAGTTTTGATATTAGAAATTGAAACACAGCTACTATACATAATCCTTCAAGTTGTTAAATTCACCGGTTACCGAACTAATATCGCACCACTTCTGTTGCAAGCGATTAAGTCCTACGGCAGGTTCAGTATATAAGCACCTAACACGGTCTTCGGCTGTCCTTAAGTATATTTGGCAGCACTCGGAGCGGCTAAAATAATTTGCAAATTTTTACTTCTCGTATAATTCATGCGTCTATTCTCGCTCGCCGCCGTAGCTGCTTTGATAGCATCTATGTCTATCAGTACAACCCTAGCTAGTCCCGACAATACTTGTCTTGCCGTTGGCAAGTATTGTGATGCAGACTTTGAGTGCTGCTCTGATGCGTGCACATGGAAAACTGTGAGTTTGCTTCATGCATGCAGGATTCAACCTCATAACTCACCTTTTGCTGTAACAGGATTGCAGTGAGAAATATTGTGGCGTTTATGACAGTATGCTCGATCTCGACGAGCTGAAACGTTCTTATAGTAAGTCAAGTTTCTGCCTTGGCATTGATGCTGTCGTTCACGGCACAATATCTAGTTGAATGCTAAGTTCATCAGCTTGAAAATGATTGCATGCTTAGTCTTTGATATACAACACCTTTCGTCTGCGTCCCATTTCACTCATCGTCTCATCGTAGACATGTCTAACAGTCTTCTCCGTACGATATTATATCACCGACTCGAAGCGTACTTTCCATGTGCGCTTCTTTGTCATTTGGTACTTTTTTGGAATTGATTTTACTCACGTGATGAGATCGTGTCTTACAAGGGGGTCTAATAGTAAGTTTCACGAACCACCATCGATTCATCAACCAACCACCATCTCGCTGAGCGAGCCCACCACACTCTTTTATTTGAAACATGCAGCTTATTCTTCCCGTGCTCTCCCTACTCCTGGCGCCGGTCGCCGTAACTGCCTGCGAAGGCGAATGCATCGTCGACATCACCAATGAATACCTATACCGCTATGAAAACATCTTGCTCACGACCCTTCAGAATTTGGAAAGTACATCTCAATTCGTCATCGTTCTTCAGTCAGACTTATCATGATGACACGCACAGGCGACCCAGATCAGCGAGCAACTCATCCCCGCTGCAAGCCGTAGAGAAAACTCCATCGTGTATTTCGCTCCTGTCTTGCAAGCCTACAACCTTACTGCCTACAACAGCCTGGAGAAAGCCATATTTCCGAGTTACTTCCATGGAAAGTGTCAAGACGCAAACGGCGTGAACCCACCCGGATGCCCAAACCCTGACTGTCCCAAAGTCTGCGGCACGCCTGGCTCCATGGTCCACTTCTACCCTACCCTCGTCAGGATCGTATTCGATGGGACAACCGACCTGCTCGCCAACCTCACGGCACCGGGGAGTAAACCGTATAACCAGATACAACAAACGGTTATGGCAGATGTCAACAAGGGACAGAAGAAACGTATGGAGAACCTGTCGCGTATCATGCCGTTACGCATTCGCGCAGCAACACAGGCGAGCAGTACGCACAATATTCAGCAAGGCTTGAAGAAGATCATGAAGGAGCTGCGGCCGACCATGTTGGAAACATGCGGGGGTTCAAACCTGTCGTTTTGCAGTTGGGAGCAGCCTATGAAAGAGTTCATCTTGCAGTACCCTTGACCCCATTTTTTTCGCTCACACCTATATCCCACATTGTTAGAAGCATTAAGTCTGTTGATAATTGTGTTACATTTGTCAGTCGTATTTCAACTTACGGCCTAATCAACTTTAGGATATCGCTCACAACTCCCATGGCCGTGACATCATTGCCAGCACCAGCGCCTTGGACAATCAGGGGTCTTTTACCGTAGCGTTCAGTATGGAACATGATGATATTGTCCGATCCTCCTAACGAAGTTGCAAACGGATGAGTTTTTGGGTATCTGGAGAGTTAATCAGAACAGGGCATATTCGTGAACCCATTGTGGACCTACTTCGCCAACTCGGCTTTCACGACTTTATTTTTTACATCGACGACGCCGACGTAGCGGAGAACATTACCCTCATTCGCAGCCTGCTCACGCATCTGTGCAAAATGCGCGTCCTGTTCGGGAAGCCACTTCATAAACTCGTCCCCGTTGGAAACAGCACTCGCAGGGGCATCCTGAATTAAAGAGGTAGTCTCCACCGACTGGTACCCGTGCAGAAGCGAGAAGTTTCCTTGCTCATCCTTCAGCTCTGGAATGATACGGGCTAGGATGGTCAATTTCCGAGCGACGTCTGCGCCATTTAGATCGTCTGCCGGGTTAGGTTCCTGAGGACTGGCATTTGAGCACTGCGCAAATCCAAGTGAAAAAAGAAAACACACACCGTGTATCCCTGTGCTCGGGCTCCTTTGACTATCGACGAAAAGCTTTCATCGCTTCCCTCCACGGCAGAGAAGTTGTTGAAGATATAACTCATGGTCCCTGAGAAAACACCCTCGATCTTGACGACCTGATCGCACGCAGTCAGCTTCCATCCATCACACCTTAGTCAGTAAAGACTCACCTTGTCCCCCGTCTCTACCAAATCTCTCAGCGTCGAGATAATGGGCAGCCCAGCACCCACTGTCGACTCGTGCAAATACCTTCCACTCTTGCTCGCCTGGACAATAGCCTGATATAACCCTGCCTCACCCGAAAACGCCTTCTTATTCGGGGTGACCACATTGATCCCCGCACTCAACAACGCAGGGTACATCTCCGCAACATCTTGCGAAGAAGTATTATCGATAAACACAGCCTTCTCGCCCTGCTTCACGAGCTCCTGCAACGTGCTTTTCACCGCGGAGAGGTCGACGGGTGTTTCGCTGGCATTAAGTGCGTCCTTCCATGCTACGGGGCTGATGCAGAGGTCTTTGGTGGGCTGGAGCATGCGCTTGGAAGAGGTGAGCGCTGCGAGCTGGAAGCCATAGATCGGGTTTGCGATCAGCTGTTCGACGACTTGGGTCCCGACGCCTCCGACGCCTACCACTGCAACCTGTAGGAACTTTCCCGGTTCCATTTTCTGTGCGTTAGTGGTACAAGAATAGGAAAGCCGTGATCTATGATCACGAAGGTGTCTTGAAAAAATAAGATCTTGATATCGATTACTAGTTCTACCAATGATGGCGCTCCAGCGTGTTCGCATGACTCAGTTGATCGCAATTTGTTGCATATCAGCGAGCTGCAGCAACACAATATTTTCAAGCCTTACGTCAATCCCCAATTGCAAAAGCCAATGAAGTCTATTGCAGATCACAGTAAGGAGTGTACGGTTTGATATAAGGATGTTTAACGAGTGAAAGTTGTAAGTACGATTTTAACGGGCTGATCAAAGATGCACAGGCGCGTGCGGATAGTGGAAAGAAAGTAGAGTATGTATGTACATCCGCGCCTGTGCAATGACCATTCGGTGAAAACGTATGATAGAACTGTAATCAGAACTTAGTCAAGAGTCAGGATACTCAGGGATAAGCAACGCACACCCAGACAGATTATACACTGGGAAAATCGTGTCGCATCATGAACAGAGAAGGAAAGTAAGAGACATAAAGAAGCACGGATGCTACGAGAATGTAAAGTGGCTATAGCACATTCGGGAAAAGAAATGAAGAGTTATGATGCGACGTGATAGTCCGAGAATTTGTGGGCTGAGTCGATATTGATACACCTTTGTGTTATCTGAAAAAAAAAAAGCTGCCGCTAGAATCGGAAAAAGTATGGCAGCCACGAGAAGAGGGGAATGGGAGAATGAGATGAAACGAAATAAATAACCCGAGCACCCAAGAAATCAGGCTAAAAACACAGGCGGGTGACGGGAAAGTATACGATACTGAGACCAGGGAATACCCGAGAAAAGAAAATTGTCGTGAATGAAAAGAAAAAGATGAGAATATCACAAGACGGAGTCCCAAGATCCAAGAACACGCTCAGGGGTGGAAATACTAGGACCCCACGTGTGGACGCGAGGCCGATAGATAAATAAGCACGATCGGCTAGGAGGGGAGTGGCGTGGCGTCATATACACAATACGCAGCGGGCAACACAAGGCTTGATGATAATATTTTTGTCGTTTATAGTGGATGGTTTGCGCCTTGTGCCGCCTTTTATACAAGCCCGAGTGCTGTCGGGCAACCGAGATAATAAGAAATGCCGATGCGATGTTGCGAAAGCATGATAATGATGGAGCCGTGGTAGTGACACATTGAGGGGTGAAAAGAAATAGATAGAGAATGAACCGCCAGCGAGCGAGGTATGAATGTCGCCACTGAGTGGTGACCCAGATGTAATACATCTGGGGCAAGCCGCGAATGTGTCCTGTGCGGGTGACCATGACCGAAATAGACCGGATGATATGACAAGCAAGACAAGTGCAGAGCGGCAAGTCTATTAGACAGGCAATGCCGTAGAAACCAACAGCCCAAGAGAGAAGACCACAACGAAAATATTGCCCGATGGAAGACTTCGAAAGGATAATGATATCGGTGAAAGAGGTATAAGACACTGTGCGCCACGGAAGATCACGTCGTCGGAAGCATGGTGTATGTCGACTTTTTCGCGATCAGGGTGTATTAGGTTCAGTATACGTTCGAGGATATTCCGCGGCGAAAGGAAAGGGAGATTATGTCGGTGGTGAGGTGATATTAGTCTAGGGGCTGCTTGCCAATACGAAAAATCTAACCGCTGTTCAACGATCCAAGATTGTACCACAAAAATTAAATCACCGACCTCTACACTTGATGAATGCGATAGAAATGAAAATACCGCTCAAAAAGCGGGTGGAGGCAACTCGTCGGGACTCGGCGAGTTTTGGAACACTGAACTCGCGAAGAACCCAGCTTTGTCCTTAGCAGCGCGGGTGATGCTCGGTCCAACTGACCCAGGCTTCCTTGGCATGAAGCCAAACAACTTCTTCTGATCTTCAGAGGCATCAGAAGCCGATGCCATGTCCTCGTCAAAGGACATGTGAAAAACACCCTCACTGGGCGTTCTGAAATGTTTGCGAGATGGAGATGGAGTGTTGCAGCTCAACTGCCCACCAAACGGAAACCCTGTGCTCGCATTGAGCGGTGCTGTGCGGGGGCCTCCCTCGAATGTAAGCTGTTGCCAAGTCCCAGCGGATCTCTCACGAGTGGGGGTTGATAGAGGTGAATTATCATCAACATCAGTGGTGTCATCACAGACCGGGAAATCTGTGACAGAGCCGGCGGAAGTGCGCCGTACAGTTCGGAGTGGTACAGCAGACTGGCTGGGGGCCGAACGAGAGAGATTGTGACGAGTGGCCTGAATATTAGATCTAGGGACAGGAACTGCCCGAGTGGAAGGGGTGGGTGTGGCGATTTGCTGTGGGAAAGGGCGACGGCGACGAACAGCAAGTTTTCCGGCCGGCTGAGACGTCAAGGAAGGAGCTGGCGAAGAAATATTCTTGGGCGTCAAAGTCATGGGTGGAAGCGAGTTGTCCGAATCAGAATCGGAACTGACAACAAAGGGATCAAAAGAATTGGATGCGGGATTGTTGTTGTGACGGGTAAAAGTGTGCGTCGAAGATGTTGTACCCTCAGCCTGCGAGAGAATCGGTGGTGACGGTTGACGAATGTTGCTGCGTCGGGCTTGCGCATTCGAAGAAGGGCTTCTAAAAAGGAGAAGCGAACGAATAATGGTACTCAGAAATGTTGCTGAGTGAATACAAAGGGGTATAATTGATTACCTCGTCGTTCCCTTATCTTTAGGTGCCTTAGAAGGTCTACCCCGTATGGTCTTCTCCGGCAATGATGTGGCCGGAAGAACGGTGAGCTTCGAGACAACAGCTGAATTACTTTTCTGTGAAGGAGGCTTGGTGGGTTCATCGGATGACTCTGAAATTGGAGGCTGTGTTGCACGGCCCTGGGAATGAGGGATGAGCTGTTTCTGTTTCGGCTTTGGAGACCGATGCTGTTTCTGATGACTCTGAGGGAGCTGCTGTGGATGGTTACGAGGAGTTGAAGGTCGTGAAGGCTGCTTGGAGATGAAAAGCAAGCCAGGCGTTTTCGTTGCTTGAACTACAACTGCTGGAGGAGCCGAAGGATGACGACGATGTGATATGTTAGGCGACATGAAGGGCGGAGGATGTGGTTTGTGTGCTAGGAGCATTTGGGTAAGGATGGAGTGTTGAGTGGAATGACGAGTACAACGAGCGCAGCGACGGGGAAGAGGCTGAGGACGACGGCGATTACGACGACTGAGTTGAGAGTGATGTGAGAGGAATAAAAAACGAGGATATCGTGGGATGACTGATCTTCGGATGACACATGGACCTTTTTGTTCTCCGACACCGCGCAGCATGTAACGCATTACCAAATTTAGTAGTTTGTCACACTTGTCTATTATCTGAGTCTGAATAAGACCTTATTTAGAAATTGTTTGCACTAGTTTTGAAGTTCTTGTGCCTTCTTTTCCTGATTAGGTTGGCTTCCTTGTACCGTAGATCCTCTCTGCCGCCGTGGCTTATGTTCGTCTCCTTTTTGTTGGCGAGTCGTTCTTCGTGATCTTCCACTCAGTCTCCACTAAGATGAAGCCATGAACAAAATAGAACAGCAGATTCTATCACCATGGTTTGTAGTTCTCACTTAATACAATAACCTATACCAAGTACTCACAGTGACTTGGAGAAGCGGTGACTCTCTTGTTATTGATCTCCTAGACTACAATCACTTGCGCACACGCCCTTACCGTGCTTCCCCATAATTGCTTTTCACGCACCTATTGACGCAACCGCAACGTTGCTCACTCGAGGTTTATCCCCAAGAACAATAACATCATCATAAGCTGTACCTGCATCACACTCTTATCATACCTTCCTGCAGCGGCGCTACGCTCGTATGTGCCTGTGTAGTTGCCAGCTGTGATCATTTTTTTCATGCACACACCTTACCCGGCATCCCCTTTCAAGTCTCTCCTGCGGGGCCGCTTTCACCTTTTTTAGACGCCTCGTTGCACAGATTCGTCTCCAAAAGCGCTTCTAGAATCTTACCTTCTTTCATTATGAAATCTGCCTGCATCACCTGCTGATATGAGTGGAGCTCATACCGTAAGTACTTCCCCACCGTTCGGATTTCATCAAATTATATGAACGGAGGCGACACACTCAAAGACTGCGATGCCCTCACCTATTTCTTCCGCGCCTGCCCCTACAAAGTTTAACACCCATTTACGCCCAACGTCTTTCGCCCTCGTATCAGCTCATATCAGCCTTCGCTTGACGATAAGATGCTTTCTCTGTGGAATGAATGCTCTCTTACAGCATCCCGGATAAGATTATGCTGTTCTGAGTCGCTCCATATCTAATAATAATGTTGCGTCTTTAGTTCCCTTCTGATCACATCCAAGAATCTGACGGTGATCATAGAAATACGCTTTCGCATTCTACTCGGTAGATGCGTGTGGAGTCAAGACCGAAAGATATCAATGAGTATCAAAGATCTATTCCCTGACCCCGCTTTTATCGGTGTAATGTCCTCTCTTGTGGTAGAGTTTGCTTTATCCTGTCCTAACAGGGAACGCAGATTGATCGCATCTACGCTATGCATAAAATAGGTCCAGTTGAGCCGGATCATACATCTCCTTTGAGCACGGGCGATAGCGTCGACCCTGGCTTTGCCTCATTATTTCTCGCCAGCAATGAAGAAAGTTTAGGGTGAGTCGTAAATATGATATATGACGTTGCGATCATCCCTGACTTAGGGGCGAAGCATGTCCTGTACCAGAATTGTTCTGAGTGATGATCATTTGTCGTGCTTAACGCGGGCCGGTATCGCAGTCTTACTTCTATAGGGTCTTGCTAGGGGAGACTAGGCCCCACTGATAAGGCGAAAGTGTAACTACCAAACAGGCGTGCGAGTCCGGGAGACTACATCATATCACAGCATTGGTTCTGGATCCTAGCCGGCTCAAGACATATCCGGGCGCAACGCTGAACGGCGGAGAACTCACGAGGTGACACCTGGCATATTCAATTGATCAGCGTGGATCAGCGTTTACAGCAAACTTAGTAAGTTCCATCGGCAAAAATTGTCCGTGATCCTTGTCTACAATTCGTCATGTGAATGCTGAAGGTCCTCGCCCTCTGAAGTACCCTCGACGTCATTGACGTGTGCTGGTTGAACCAACCCAACATTCGCAAGGACATCCGAACGAGCGGTAGCAACACTCGAATGAATCTTGCCTTCAGCAGCCAGTCGGCCCGCAAATTGCGCGATCTCGTTGTCGTATTCTTCCCATTCAGGGATCTGCCTCGCACGTGATAATTTTGGTTCTTTCTGTTAACCCAATGAGCGTCAGACGAACGACTAATGTAGTCTAAGAGGGCTGACCGTCAGGGGGTTCTGGCACAAGTCAATGGTTTTGGCACGATGAAGGCGATCTGCGCTGCCTGCATATAACGTTCAGATGGTTCAGGGGGAGATCTAGGATGAGTTTGATGACATACACCAGGTTTCACACTGCATCAGCCACGTCATCAGTATGGTTGGAAGAATACTGAAGTTCAAGTTTACATACCCAGAGCCAGTCTTCGTGAAGAGAGAACTAGTGGAAATTAATGACCTATATCATTCAAACACGGTCTGAACTCACTATCGGCACTTCTCTTTGGATGTTATTTGGCAAATCTTGGCTCACATCAGCAGGTGCCCTCTCGAGACTCACACGACTGACCTTGGTCCAAGTTAGCGAGGGAGTTTGGATCAGCTGAAAGCATCTGGTATTGTCCACGAAGGATGTCCTGAAAATCAAAGTGTCACCCAATGTCCTCGGACGCGCTAGGAACCGACTTACTCCCGCGGCCATCTAAAGTCCATCAGTCAGGGATTGTCATCAAAACTGACTCACGTACCTGGCGAAAACGAACGAGATCTACAACATACAGGGCACTGGGGAAGCATCAGATCAAACAGCATCATGTAACGCAGACACAAACCCACCTTATATGATACGGAAGATCACCCAAGAAGTCTTTCCAATATCCAGTTTTCCAGAATCGGAAACCTTCCATCTCGTAGTTGTCATCGCCCATGGGTGTATAACCATATGGTGCACCGTGCAAATCGAGGTCAACCAGTTCCTGTAGATCCGCACGGACAATTTGGTCCGCGTCGACAAATATGACTTTATTTAGGTCCATGGGAAACAGAACATCGAGGAAAAGAATCTTGTATGCCCAAATAATGCGCTGCTTTTCCTTTTGGGCGCGGAGCCAAGACGGCCATTTATAAGTCACGAGCTCATACTGGAAGCCATATTCTTCGGCCATGTGTGGTATGAATTCCTGTAATATCACAATGAGGCATGTTGCAAGCAATACGTCACGCCAACTGACCAGGAAAGAAGGCGATAGGAAGTTCTCGATGAACCAGAATTTCACAGTGCTGTTTGTGTTGCGCAGGACGCTGAGAATCATGATGGAAGCGAAACGCTGAAAAGAGAGGGTTGTTGGATGAATCTAGTGTTGCAGAAGGGGAAAGGGAGCGCACCTCATAGAGCAGCCCAGAAGCAACTGTGAATATGTTGATATCCGCTTGTCTGGCGCCCGTCTCTGCGACTTCGGTTGTGCTTTCACTTTTTGATGTGAAGAGAGATAAAACCCTGAAGTGAACTCAGGACCAACAATAGCAGCAAGGAATGAGAGAACCACCCACTTGGACAAGATATCGTGTACGACGGTTTGGGATTGGCCCGAGTGTTGCTGTAACCCTGCTAGCACATCCGCCTTCTCCATACCCGGTTTCCGTGACAGCCTTGGGTACAGGGTTAGTCCCTCAAAGCTCATCACAGTCAATTCCTCTCCAGAATCTTCTACAGAAGGACTATTCCAACCCTCACTCCCCACGCTGACTATATCATATACCTCACGGCCTCCTCCCTCGCGAATAGTAAGTTTGAATGTTCCTGGGCGAGCTTTGAACTGCAAGTAGCCAAGATTCGCGACAACCTGAGTGTCGTCGACTACGGACGGAGTATGATTGGCAGCAGGAGATGAAGTGGTCAGTTGGAGCTGTACGCCTCGAGGAGGGCTATTAGACTTCGTCTCCCGCTGCATGCCCTTCAACGACGAGGTAGTCGAGCGAGAAAAGAGCATGAAGGCCGTCAGGTGGAAGTGTGCTCGGCTGAATATTATCGAGGTCGTAAAGGGCTTCTCGTGGGCGAACGAGCCACGAGGGGGGAACGTCCATGCTAAGAGTATATATCGGGTCTACAGATAGGCCATTGAACGTTACTTGCGCCGGAATCTCATTGCTGAACTGCTCTCAGTGATATCACAAGCAGGAAAAGAGACGCACTCACCCTTTGTTGTCATATTGCACGCGAGGCTCGACACTATATCGGTAAAATCGTTTGAGTGGGATCTGTGAAATCGATTAGTTCGACCAGGCTGTACAAAGTGATTTTGCATACTTCGGAATGTTGAGCTGGATTGAGGTACAGTTCAAAGTATACCTCCGGGAAGAGCTCTTCGTGTTTCTACGGTCACCCACATCAACTCGACAATTCTACAGTCCCAACGACGGCTTACCTCTAAGATTGCGATCCACTTCTGCGCTCCTTCACTCAGGGGATCAAGGAGCAGGACAAGGTGTGTCAGTGCATTCTCTCGATCACCAAATTCAAATTTCCTGGAAAAGGATAGTTCGTTCAACAAGTCGCAAAACTGCATGCGGATGATGAAACACATACGTGTAACTACCCGATAGGAGTTTATAATTACTAGTCCTGGCTCGAGGTGCGCTGTCGAACAATCCAACTTCACTTGGATCTGGCTGTTGATCTGCATAAACAATCGAGGATGCTACTGAGACCAGGTTTGCATATGCGAGCCTGTATACGCAAAATCCAATATTAAAGCCCAAAAGCAGAGCAGATCAAGACCACCCACGCATCAAGTTCTGTGACGTCAGCTAGAACTTCCTCGATAGCTTGCGCGACACGTCTAACTCGCTTTTTCATTTCATATGTCTCCAGCGTCGCAAAGTCTTCGGACACGAACTCCGATTCGCGAGAGAAAGGACCAATGAGCTGTGCATGAAGTTTTATTATCCACGTGGGACTGAGAACAAGGATAAACGTACCCGGCCATTAACAATGATGGCTTGTTCTCCGGGCTGAAGACCCTGCCTCACGCGCGAAAAGACGGCTGGTAGTTAGAAACGCTGCGTGTGCTTCCGGATCCGATCGGAGTTTAATCCCTTCGGTGATAAATACCTGTGTAGCGTCTTGTGTTTTCAAATCGTCGAGCGCTCGTTGTAACAGATCCGGAGAGAGCTCTCCAAGATCGCTTGTTGACCCAACATATGCAAAGAAGGACGATACATTACCCCCAGGTGAGCCGGTAGAGGGATTATGTAGGAATGTAATGCGTGATTGCGATTCCTTTCTCTATGCGCGTATTAGCACGAAAGCGCGCAGACACAGGTTACTCACAGAAACGAACGTCACAGCCTCCTGAACCAGTGCTTGCCCCTCCGCTGAATCCAGATTGGCGATGACAACCATGCTTACAGGTGTCCTTTCGGCATCTGACAGCGAGATACAGATTTAGCATCGCCTAAATAGTATATGTAACAAGATTCACCCGATGTCACCCATGCGCATGTGAGCGGGCTCCACCCTGTGCGCTTACCCAAATCGCCAAGATCGAGAATTTTGAGATTCCCAGTACTCGGTGAAGGAGCATGCACTGAAGAGGGCGCCTTGCTGAAAATGTACGGATTCCGGCTCGAGAGTGTTGTAGGGAGGTCATAAAAGAACGTTGGGATGAGCGGCACGGAAGCACCGGTCAGTTCTTGGAGGTAAACCTAAGGGAAGGGGGTAAGTAAATGAGGCGATCAACTAGACAGCTAGGTCAGGAGGGAATAAATCAGAACGCTTACCAGTTCCTGTAGTAACTGCAGCTGCCCGACCGCCTCATTCTGCAGGTCTCGTAAGAAATTATCCCCCAATTCATACCACTTTCCATTAACAAACCCTTCCCCATCCTTGCCGCTAATACCAAGTCTCTTCGTCCACCGCCTTGCGCTTTCAAGAGCTTCTTCAACGCTGGGAACCTTCCCGCTAGCTATGTCTGCAAAGCTATCTGCTGCCCCAAGAGTGTTGAATGTTGCATGGACAATACTCCAAGACAGAGTAGAGAAGTGCTGCTGCGCGTGTGCAGTGGATAACTATGGAAGAGCATAATCAAGCAACATAGAATAAGGGCAAAGTGAAGGACATACAGAGCGGAAAAAGGAGGCCACTTCTGGACGACTGAATTTCTGTGCAACATAGTATATAATTCTCGCCATCTTGAGGCCTATCCGCGTATGACGATGAGCATCATTGTGGATAAAAATAGTCCCTTCACGCACCGTCACCGTCACCAGAAACTGGAACAAATCCCCACCTGACAGGAAACCCGCGGGCGACGATGCTATCTACTTGGTTTGCAATAAGAGAAAGGCATCGCGGTTGCGAAAAGTTAAGGGCGAGGACGACATTAATGACGTTGACCCGCAAACGCAAGTAAGGACTGAAAAGTTGAGTGGGAGGCATGCGGAGAAGCTATGCATGTAACGCAAACAAGACAAGTTAACATGTCTCGATCGAATCATCCACGACTGAGCGTATATACACCCACCTGTGTCAAGTCCGTCCCCCAGTCAGCGTATTTCGTGTCTTCCTCGATATCGTTCCGCCATAATATAACGCCGCCCCCTTCTGATCTATCTGAAGAGTCGACGAGGCCATCCAAGAGATCATTCCACTTTGGAGAAATATCATATCCTCTCTGTCCTTCGTTCAAGGCTTCTGCCTCCGCATTGTTCTCTGTATCTGCGTGCAAAACTTCTTGGGCAAAGCGCTTCGCTGAACCAAGCGTGGTGCCTTTCTTTATTTTCAATTTCGACGGAGATGGATCAAGAGGACCCGAATGTACTGGGTGCACGACAAATTCTATGGCCTGCGACCGAGACAAGCCAAGTTCGACGAGTGAGCGAATAAGAGCGCGTTCGCGCGCAAAGTTGCGTAAAAGCCTGGACTTGGATCAGAACTGAACGGACCTCAGAGTACAGCATGATAGGCAGAAGCAAAGTACAAATAAAGGGAAGAATGGTAGAGACAGAAAACGCACCCGAATATCCCAGCTTCACCCTCTAGCACCCGCCCATTGATCCATACCGTGTTCACGCCCATCATCGCTTTCCCCCAGTTATCTTGTACTTCGTCTCGTACTGTGTCCGGCACGCGAACTTTGCGTGCAAGTGGAGCAGCATAGCGCGGAAAATTCGCAGACAGCGTGTGCAAAAACTGCAGCGGGGTGAGCGAATTTCCCAATAAGCATGAAGAGATAACTGGAGGGAAGGAATCGGAGTTGGAAAGGAGAGCAAGGAAAGACGTTGCTTTAAGGCCAAGATCTGCGTCATGCGAGATGAGCACCAAATAATAAAACAATGATAAAATTCAAGCTACCTTGAATCTCCTCTCTACTCAAGGGATTATTTGTGGTAGCATCCTCCTCCATTGCGGTATCAATGTATGACATGGCCTCGAAAACACAGCTTAGCACGTCATTTTCATTCCCTTCCTGACTCTCGTTCCCAGAGGAATCATCACGAGATGTGGAAGAAGCCCCCTTCCGGTCATCCACAGCGAGGTAATCCATCTTCTTCAAGTCCAGTGCGACACCGAACCCAGACAAATACGGTCCATCTGTTGCAATGACAGGCCGTACCCAGCGTAGTACGTATTCCACATCATGACTCAAAGAGAGTAAGGCGCGATGTAGTGGCTTGAATTCAGGTGCCATAGGGTCAGCGTAGTGTATTGCTGTCCATCTGGGGGCGTCAAGTGATGGCTGAATGGGTGGAGTATGATCTGTTTGGAGGCGCTTCATTTTTGGTCGAGACTCGGAATCCGAGGCTGCGACTGAAAGTTCGACGAGGCGCCTAAGTTCTTCTGCGTCGCATACAATGCTTCCATACCAATCTACCCAATCCTCGCATCCCTCCCTTCCACTTTCGTGTGTGTGCTGTGCAGCGAGTTTGGGAATTGCGGCATGTAAAGCTAGCCTAACATTCACGGCAGCTATCTCAGGAGCCAGGAGGTAATTTGTTGCGAGATCTAAGACGACGTTATGCGATTCTTCCGGCGTCGCGGGTTTAAGTGGGAGGGGGAAATGATTAAGGAGTGAGAACAGGTGCTCTGGAGAGGTAAGGGCCAGTGTTTCTCTGGTAAGTGATGGTATCAGTTGCACGAGAGGGTCAAGTACATAGTGCGAACTTACAGGGCTTCGAGCAATGGATCTGCAGCACTGAAAGAGGAACGCAAGGATACACCGACTGGGGGAGACGCGCTGAAAGCAAGCAGCGCGCATCCAAGAACAACAAGTGCGCCAGAACGCATTACTGCTGACTCCTACAAGCCTGCGTAGTCAGTAAGTTGCTGAATCACAAAGTTTATGATAGTCTTGCTACCGTAGACACGTTGCCAAATCACGTGACTAATGCTGAATTTATTGTGTATTTCTACTTCCACTCAGCCACACTGTCGGTTTATTCCTGATCAAGGTTAACCTTTGCAGTACTGCCCAAAGTCCAAGCAGCTGTTTCCGTCATTATGGCTGTGGGGGGCGCGTCACGGTAAAATGCTGTCCCCCCGGGTGAACCAAAGTTGCACATCTAGGTTTGAACAAACGTGCCAGTGGATATGGCATCATGTGCAAGCTCATCAAATTATCGCAAGCGATGTCCTCGATAGTCTATTATCTACATTTTTTATTGCAAGATTACCACGGTGAGCACGCAAGTAGCAATCCAACGTTGTCTCGGCGTTCTGAAGTGCAAGTCGTACTGCGCGTGCCAAGGGGACCCTGTGCGCTCCTTGTACTCGTCCGACGCTGGACGACAAGTATTTAATCCTTTAGTGAACGCATCTGCGGATCATTGAAATGTCCGAGTCTGTGGTCATGCATTCATTCCATCATTCTCAATCGCACTCCGCAAGCTTGGAGCGTGCGAGCTCAGCCCAGGACAAGGCCATGTTGCAACGGCAGTACAGGGCAAAGGAGGCGCATGCACTTGCAGAACTCCAAAAATTACTTCATGGCATATCCCCAGGCGCAGATACCTATCTGACTCGACTTGGGACGATTGTTCAAGGTAACCCGATTTCGCCAACTAGCCCCTAATCGTGACGTTGTTGAAATTTTCACCGCAGCTACAGAAATGATTAAATTCCTTCATTATCGCAACACCATGTTGGAGGAACTTCATGAATCGCCACATCCGGAACCAGGCTATAGTGCCACGGCAGCCTTCGACTGTCATCTGGGTGAGCTTTCTTCACTTCACGAGATACAGCACAGGACCATTGACCTGTTATTTGCAGTCCAACACCCATTAGCTGACTGGAAATGGGGCAATGACCATGTGGATGAAAGACATCAACACTCGGATGGCGCGTGGAACCCAGGTTGTCCGACATCTTTAAATGGTGTCGCGATGTCTAGTAACAGATCTGTCTGGCACTAGCTAGTGGTAGTAATACTCTTTACATGCTTTCCTCTCGAGACAGGTTTTACATAATTTCGTTCTTGATCAGTTCAGTTCGCTGCGCCCCATTGTATATATCAATACAAGCTGATTGACAAATGAATATTTGAATGCTTCTTGAATCAATGATTGCTTCTTGACAGAAAAAGCCAGATCATCATGATCACGGTGTCAAGTTACGTGATGCGAGTCCGAAAAAATCCTTTGCTGGCTAAACCTTACAGCCTGCGCTTCTGCGAGGCAAAGTGAGGCCAATTAGATGCCCACTTGAGTTGTTTCACAGTTGAGCCTAACTATACATATAGCATGTACGAAATTTTTTTATGCCATTCTTTGTGCAGTGCCCTGTTACCATTTCGCCAAGCTGTGGCAACAACTAGGTACCGAACAGTGTAACGTAAGAACGGTCGGAACTCTTGTCGGCTCCTGAGTACACTAATACTTCAATAGACGATGCACGATGCACGATTTCAACAATTGGCTGAGACCTTGCAAGTTGCAGGCAAATATAAGTCATGTGTCCTCTGCACATGTCTAGAAAACCCATGTTCATACCTCCGCATCATGATGATACGCCCGCACACCCTGCATCAGTACCTTGTCTCGTGCCCTCGCACAAGCACCCCGCACCCAATTAGCTACCAGACCAGCTTCACAACCTCCCCTCGGGAATTGCCAGCCAATGGACAAGAGTTAATAGCCAAGTTGAGTTGATACCTAGTATTTAAACTGTCGACATTAGGTCAGCCTAAAATGACAAAAAAGATATTGTGTCCTGATCTGGTAGTTCCACGACATGCCTCCCCAATTAGCCGGCCCACACCTCACCTTGCTCCTCCCTGTGAAGTGGGCTTGCTATACGATCAGTAGCTAGAATACACCAAATAGAACATACTGGATCACTATGTGTTACCAATGTATCAGAGGGAGCGCATACTAGCTATAATACTTTGTACCTCATATTTACAAGAAAAAAAGCAATGAACTGATTATGCAAGGTTCTTGCTTGCTGCATGGGTACATAAGTAGCCTAGTCCTTGGAGATCAGCGCTTCAGCATGCAAGAGAGTTCAACAACTACTTATCTTTAGAATTTCGTTATCTCCAACATCAGGAAAAACACCAAATCCTCATAGTCATAGTGGCAGCTATATAGCGCTACATAGGCGGTGTAGTACTATGTAGACATCCAGGCTACTATATAGTACTACATAACTGGTGTAGCCGAAACCAGGACTATGTAGAGTTTCAGGTGATGGTAGTAGCAATCTGTAGTCATTGTAGCACAGTAGCAGCAGTAGTTAGTTCTAGTCACTACGAGTGGAAATACAAAATGTTTCAAGGTCAATAAAAGTATTAAAATAAAAATCATGTGCTGTCTCATAGACATTTGCGCTCGTCCACCCAGGGTCAACAGATGGTCCCATTTTTGGAATGAGGTGACACGGACGAACCATTTCGTCAAGATGGATCACGGCTGCATTCCGATGCAGCTGACGAGTCGAACGCGACACTTGATGCAGGCCAGAGGAGGGATCTGGCTCCCGAAGTGGCATGAACCACTCAACGTAAGCTAGCGCTCGGGAGTTCGTTCCAACTAGAAACTGACGAGGGAGGGTAAAGATGATATGAACTTGTGCAACTCGCACACCTAGTACAGTATCCATTTCAGTCAGTGTGACATTGAAGCGTTGAATAGTAACCAATGCTTACCTTCGAGTGTCCGCAAATTCGTCGTCCGAGCACCATCACTTATCAGCGCCATATCGAATCTAGCGGGGGACCAAGGTTTTCGGCTGGCAGGACCAGGCTGCACTTCAGGTGTCGCTCTAATGCGCCACCGCTTTGGTGAGTCACTGGTGCATGGATCAGGCGGGGTAACTATGATGACTTGTCGATAAACATCAAACCGGTCATGTGGACCGGGGATGATGTTATTGTGTGGCATGTGCTCGTGCATGAAAGATTTGAGGGTGGGGAGAAACATGGTGGCGCCATGTGCAGTGATGAGGCGATCAACAGACTGCCGAGGGTGTGGAGGATGCTTGGCGAGAATACGGACCACATCAGTGGGGGATGACGCAGTGGGGGATGACAGAATGGTGTTTGTGGGGGCAGCAAACTCTTCAATCTTGGCGTCCGAGTCTGAATCCAAGTCATTTCTGCGGTTGGGATCTGTGTGATTGGACGCTGTGGCTGACTGAGATTGTTCTGACAACCAATCAAAGTAAGAACTACGTAGGAATATGGCTTCCTGCCGTTGAAGCCATAAGGCCATTTGCTCCTCGTAGTCGCATTTGTTGCTGGCACGATAGGCGTCTTTTGCGAAATCAATGTGTAGTCGTTCTGGAAGCTCAGTGTTGAAACCGTCGGTGGAACCAAATAGAGTGATGGACTTAACAAAGTGTGAGATTTGATATAATTTAGGAATGTTGAAGTGTTCGCGAACTTCAAGCTCTTGCAGGATGTCTTTGTTGGCATGAAACACCGCAAGTGCGCTCTCCAGACCATCGAGGGATTCAGCAGTGTGCATTCGAAGCTGTGCGTAATATGAAAAGTCTAGAATGGCTCGTGCAACCACTAAGACTCGACTAGCATTAATTGTGTCAGTACAGCCTTTGTTGAGCACGGCTTACTAATGCTTACCTTGGGACAGCACCAGCGAGCAGACCAACAAAGACACGCTGCATTTCTTTATGCTCTGTACCTGTCCACTGTCTCACAGTCGAGATACCCTTCTTGAAGTGCCGAAGTCCAGGGTAATCTGGCATTGCTTTGAAGCGTGAGTCCATTTCATCTTCACCGACAATCTCAAGACACCATTTAACTAGGTGGTCTTTGAAGACACCTTTATGGACCTGGTGGAGGAGGTCAGGCGTGAAGGCAAGAAAGATGTCGGCATGAGGGAGATTTGCCCAGAATGGGTTGAAGACGGCACGTAACCCATTGTCGTCGAATTGAATTGGATGCTGACCATTCTTCCGCTTCTCTAATATATCTTTTGTCACCTCAGGGTCCCGCATCTGCGAAGTCAATGGATCCCCTCATTCATCGGCAGCGACCAAACACTTTGGACACCGATTTTCTTTACAGCACGCAACAAGACATTGTTCTGGGAAATCGGCTACATAAGCAGCAAGGATGGGGAAGACTCGGCAGATTAACGAGTCCGCACAGACCATCTCAACACCATTTCGACCGGCAGCAACGAGGGGTTCGAGGAGCAAGGACATGCAGTGGTGGAAAAGCCTGTAACCAGCAAGGGAGCGCGCATCAGAAGTAAAGCAATCAAGTTTTCCAGCAGGTAAGTATCCTATAAGGACCGTTGCTCGCGCTGATGTTTGCCGCCTCTTCTCTTTTGCAATGTTGCCAATGGTTAGGTACACGGGCCACGCCGATTTATCGCCTCGAAATTGCGACAGACAAGTTTTGTCGGAAGCAAGAATTATGGGTGCGATTGTCGCACCTTTCGGCAACAGTTTCTAGACGCCATAGGTAAGTACTTATTATTTTCGCTTTTCCGGGTGTACTTACTTGCTTGTCGCACCACCAGTCAGCCGTCCACATGTCGTCAATTACTCGGTGAAGTCCTGCTGGGTCTCTGTATGCTCGCACAGGTGCGTACACCATGTGATTGCGGAACAATGGATTTCCAATGAGGTCTTTGACGCACTCGACAAGATCTCGCATCCAGACTTCGACTTCTTCATGCAGCGTCTGGCCCTTCTCATCTGTTTTATTTCCCTGGACCTTAACCTTTTTGCAACTCCAGGCTGTCACGTGTGGAAGCTTGTCGACTTTCTGGAGGAAAGATCTGTTATTGTGAAAAGAAGGTTTCGTTCGGTTTTGTGTCTATTGCCATGGTGAGTACGAATCCTTCAAAATTCAACACTAAACTTGAACTTACTATCGGTAATCTCAGAAACTCGTCTGTTCAAGTCTGGCTGAGGTTTTTAACAAGCCATTCGGCGAGTCCCCATTCCTCCCTTGCGACCTGAAGTTAATTGCTTTGCAGATATGACAGGCAATGATTGGTACGTACCCATCATCGAAGGGAGCCCATTTGTCTTCGCCCATACACTCCTTATACTCCTGAAACCTCTCAAAGCCGGTTTTTCCTTCACGCAGTGTTTGGCCGGCGCCAACACATTGTTCAAAATATCGCGTGTGGTCCTCATCTTCAACCTCCTCAATGGTCACCCTCCGATGTTTTGGCGCTGCTGGGTGTCTGGATGATTGGGATTGGAAGACTCAGAGCGTGAGCGGCGATGGGGGGAATACGAGGAATACGAGTCAAAACGAGCCTGAGGTGTGCCGATGTCTTTTTGAGTTTCAACCAGCAGCTCCCACTGCCTTCTACAGTCAGGTTGATTATTGATATGTCTCCTGACACCTCCCTTTGAGCCCATCTCCTTGGCACAGAAATCGCAGTGAGGCATGGTGAGTGGGTTGCTTGCTAACTTCAAAACATTTTTTGATGGTTTTTTTAAAGGCAGGCCCTGCCGGCACACTACACTACCCTTGGAGACGACTTTCACTACTCTTGGAGACGACTTTTGTTTGCGCGCTTCAGGCCTGTCATGGTGGATCCAACTCGTTTGCGTGCTTCAGGCCTGTCACAGTGGATCCAACGGATGACATCGAGGTCGTACGACTCGAGAACAGCGAAGATTGCTCTATGGTGAGTGTTTCCGAGGTTGCTTTCTAACTTCGTAATATTTTTTAATGAGTTTTTTTTCAAGGCAGGCCCTGTAACTAACCCTTTTGTGGAGGCACCGATCTGGTGCGCACTTCAGGCCTGTCATGGTGGATCCAACGGATGACATCGAGGTCATACGACTCAAGGTATGTCTCTCCCCCTTGAAGATTGCTCAGTCGACAGTGCTGATCCAGAATCACTGTCCGACTCTATCCTCTATCACTGGTTTGGACTACTGATTACTAATAAGTGATTTTAAAATGCAGGCCCTGCCCTGGTTACTGCGCCACACTACACTAGTCTTGATATACCATGGGCGGCAAGCACTAACTCGAACAGTTGCGCCCGTTTGGCCTCCTCACAGCGCCTCACTTCTGCCTCCCAGCGCTCTACAATGAGTCTTCGCAAGTTTGCTTGCAGTAAGGTAAGAGCTGGACCCGGCACCATTTCCAAGAGCTGCAACTTTTTTGCATGCTCACAATTCTTCAATTCCGCCTCCCAACGCTCCATAATTAGTTTTTGCAAGTAGGACTGACTAACCATGACAGGGCTGGGTGTTTGGCGAAACGGCGGAGGAAGTGGATACATAGGCTCATTGAGCTTTGGCCTGCAAGCCGGTGAGCATTGGGGCTGTGATGAAGACATGCAACTAACCTTTTGACAATAATATTTCCATTTTTACTGGTAGCGGTTTTGTCGCCTATGGCTGGGGACACTGGACTATACAATTTGTCAGAGCACGCCGGTGAGTATTTGATGCAGACTACATACCACTTGTAGACTGAGATAACCATGGTAGGGGAATGTTGCACTGCAGTAACGGTACGCTCGCTGCTTTTATCATTTTCCGTCTGTTGATCACAGCTTTAGCTCTGAACTTTACACGCCCTGAAATCAACAAAAAAATTCAAGGTTTAGATGTCTTTGTTTATGTCTTTCATAGCACTATATAATCAGCTTACTGTGAGCTAATGTTCCCTTGCAAACAACCATGGCTACCAGTCGCAAGGTCGCCTCGAAGCACGCAAAATCGAAGGACGTGCAACCAGCGCAACGAGTACCACCACCTACACGCACCGCAAGTGGTCGACAGCGACGCCCGACTGAAAAAGAAAACTACCGTGGTAAGCCCTGACAATATTGAGCGAGAACGTCTCACTCACTAGCGACTCTACAGTCTCTGAGTCTCAGCATGTCACCCATCGCCAAGAAACCAAGGAAAAGAAGATAGAAAAACAGAAGAAAAAAGCACTGAGGGCTGCTTACGATGCTGATCCCGACAGCTTCGAGGAAGAGCCATCTAAGCTGCATAGCGGCATTGATAGGGAAGAAGAAAATATGGTATGTTCACCCGTTTTCTTTGACGCAACTCAGAATAATCACTGATTAAATTTTTTATTTAGTTCTCAGATTGCGACATGGTGTCCAAGCTGTCCCGGTCCAAATCAAAGGTACTGACATTCAGTGCTGGTAAAATACCCCCAGTGTCGCGCAACGCCAGTGCCATGCGCAAGGCTACTACTACAGGTATGTGTCTAGTCTTTTGATTGTATACTAAGACTAATCCGCCTCTGCTACTATCGAGCAGCTCTGACTTCGAGTCCATCCGATGACTCCGAGTCGGATGAGTCGACAGACCGTGAGTCTCGCCGACCTGAAGACCGCATTGACGACGAGGACAACGACTACGTTACCGAAGAACTGTCGCCAATAGCTTGAGGGTCCAAGCGTCCACTTGACGACTCGGAGACTTTGGACGATGGCATGGTACTGCCGAAGATCAAGAGAAATTCAGATGGTTCACGCCATCGCATGAAAGTCAGCGACTTCAATGATGTGTCCAAAGAGATTTTGGGGACGGCAGCCTCTATTTTCCGGTGTCTGATAGTCTCCCAGGTGCCATTTCCCGAGAACATTGCTGTCGAGACGCAGTTGGCAAAAGCAGCCTGGCATGAGGCATGTCAAATCAAAGGCATCAATGTCAAATTGATGCCTTCAGGTGTCAAAATGGTGAGTCGTCTGATCTCCATGTGTTCTTCGACTGATTTACTATATCATACTTTGCGAAGCTATTGACCCGCACATCACAAGTTTGCAGGGAACTCAAAACAAAAATGCATTCACTGACAGCATCTTTTTTCGGTTTCCGGTCGAGCAATTCCAACGATGTGATATGACAGAATAGGGATCTAGCAGAGTCTTTGAAAGACGGTTCTGTATTTGCTTTCAAGGTACATATTTTGATGATATACATGGTATTTCAAGTACTAACTCTTTGGACTAATAGGATTGGGAGTTGAAGAAGGGAATCTACAAGACGGAGTTACTGCAACTGGGCATCAACATCCACATACTTCAGTCATAGCCCTATGTAGAAGTGGTGCCCCGGATGTGCCAAATGGCCCTAGAATGGGTACCAGCCTGTACCGGCCTATACATGCACATTGGTGCCGGCCAAGGGTGTTAAGGTGGTACTGGCCAACCACTGAAGTGGGGCTGCCTATACGTGAAGGCTGACCACAGGTGTAGGGGTGGTACTGGCCGACCACTACATATACATGTACATTGGTGCTGACCACAGGTGTGGGAGTGGTACTGGCCGACCACTGCCTACACATGTATATTGGTGCTGGCCAGAGGTGTGGGAGTGGTACTGGCCGACCACTGCCTACACATGTATATTGGTGCTGGCCAGAGGTGTGAATGTGGTACTGGCCGACCACTGCATATACATGTACATTGGTGCTAACCACAGGTGTGGGAGTAGTACTAGCTGACCACAGCCCATAGATGTACATTGGTGCTGGCCAGAGGTGTGGGAGTGGTACCGGCCGACCACTGCCTACACATGTATATTGGTGCTGGCCAGAGGTGTGGGACTGGTACTGGCCGACCATTCAAGTGAGGCTCCCTATACACACACATCAGTATCAGCCAACACCTTAGGACATGGAAAATAGAGTTGGCCTGACTAAGTCCAAGTCATGTAGAGGCAGGCAGTTCAACAACTTAAGGCATCAGAAAAACTTAACATTGTTGAAGAACCTTATGGTACTTGGCCAAGTCTTTCCAAGACTTGCACTAACACACTCAAGTCCAGCAAGATATTTGACTTATACCAGTTTGTCAGTATCAGTAGAAAGGCTAAGTATACAAATATATTTAAGTTTTTCATGTCCTATGTGGTCTGGAGCATCATGGTCAAACACAAGTATCTAAAACAATTCAGGAATGATAAGGAAAGTGTAGGTTTCCTGATGGCATTGATAATAGAGTCGGCCGGATCAGGTCCAGGCTGTGTATGGCCTGGCCGGCCGACACCTTAGATATTGATAATAGAGTTGGCCGGATCAAGTCCAGGCTGTGTATGGCCTGGCCGGCCGACACCTCAGGCAGTGATAATAGAGTTGGCCGGATCAGGTCCAGGCTGTGTACAGGAAGGCAGGCCGACACCTCAGACGTGGACAATAGAGTCGGCCGGATCAGAACTAGGTTATGTATGGCCTGGCCGGCCGACACCTCAGACAGTGATAATAGAGTCGGCTGTATCAGGTCCAGGCTGTGTACAGGAAGGCAGGCCGACACCTCAGACGTGGACAAGAGAGTCAGCCGGATCAGAACTAGGTCATGTATGGCCCGGCCGGCCGACACCTCAGACAGTGATAATAGAGTCGGCCAGATCAGGTCCAGGCTGTGTACAGGAAGGCCGGCCGACCCCTTAGACATTGACAATAGAGTCGGCCGGATCATGACCAGGTCGTGTATGGCCAGGCCAGCCGACACCTCAGACAGTGATAATAGAGTCGGCCGGATCATGTCCAGGCTTTATATAGGAAGGCAGGCTAATACCTTAGGTATATATTGAACATAGACTTCTGCATATCTAATTGATGGGATTTTTGATAGACACAAACCTAGTATTATCAAGAAAGATGTTGGTTTTAGTACTATCCCTTTAGAGCTAGTTCATTCAAATTGCAATATCTGCAAGTATAAATGGGCCAGCTCTACAGTATGATGTAGGCAGGGTTCCTGACCATCATAACAATCATTTTTTGGCTAGATAAGTCTTTGATATTATAATAGCCAAGACTGTTAAGTGACTACAATCAACTTGTCTTTGAATGAATTTTCAGCATCCAATGCAAATCTTCCCCACAAGAGCACCTGTCAATGTGCATAAGCTTGATGACTGGGCTTTGTAGCTTGTTGGTATCTTTGGTCCCATTCTCCCATCCTGTATTTAAACCAACTCACTGTCCAACCCATTTCGTGTTGGACCAATCTCAACTCTTCCTCCCACCTTTGCCATCTAGCCTTAGCTTTCAACCAATTTACCCTGTAGACTAATACAGGTCACTTGCAGAACATAGACATATTAGATATGACTTACATTCATCCATCCACACATCTTCCTTCAAATCATGACCGTTGTTGACTCTCCAAAACCAAGCCAGTCTGTCTGATCCCTGCCCATATCTGTTCTCTTCAGTCACTTCCTTGTCAACACTGAGCTGGTGTAGCTGAATGTCTTGATAGATCGTCGTCAGAGTATCTTCATCAGCCCCTAGTCTCTGAATTGAACTCCTAGCCCTTTGATACCTTCGGACACACTTCTCTATCTTGATACGGCATTGAAGAGCCTCCTGCTTTGACCTGGTTCCTGTCCATGTGGAATCTGCACTTCGGAAATGCTGACGGTAAATTATTGCTTTATGACCGAGAGCTTGTCGCAACTTTTCCAAGCAATCATTCGCTTGACCCTTTCGTAACTCCAGTTCTTCAGCTTGCAGAGTGTGCAAGCCCAGGGCTAAAGCCTCATTTCGAGGCACTGAAGATGGCATCCAAATGGCCATGACTTCTGCAGGAACTGCCTCATCCATCTCTTCCAACACATCTTCAATATCTGCAGCCTCCCATACTTCCTCCACCGCATCTGAGGTGCAAAATCTAATGTCATCCACATGCTCAGTACCTGCATGGACTTCAATGCCCTCTGTCATAGCATCAGCAATTTCATGAAATTTAGAAATACGAGCAGCCAGTTTTTGTCGTTTCTCTTGAAGTGCAGCCCTTTGAACAGCAGAAGCATCTTTGGGAAGCTGCCGAATAGCTATCCTCAGTGCATCCCTAGATATGAATTAGAAATATGTTATCACCATCAATATATGATGAAACAACATACTGCGAATCCTCTATATTGATGCCATCAATGAGCCAAGAAATTGATCCCAACTTTCCTGTATCAGCAAGTTCTGATTCTGTTAATTTTAGCCGCATTTCTGCCATTGTTGGTGCTTCCAATCACCCAATCAGAATGTACGACACATGGACCTGAATAGAAGCTTCGAAGTGCTCACCTTTATCTATTTTTAGCTGGTAGATGTCAAGATGTTCTCCGCGCTCATCCTTTGCCTTCTCCTCATCTTTTTCCCATGCCCTCACTTTGATGACATCCAAAGATCCGGTAAGCTCTTCAAACGGCAGCCTAGTGTCTTCAATGCCCTTGTTGGCCCGTTTGTACTTTCTCAAGAGCGTCTTAACTGCATCACTGTGAAACTGTGATGTCATTCATTCCAAATATAGGCACTTACCTATTCTGACAAGTTTTCTCCAATTTGAGTTACGCATGTGATCATCAAGAATTTCTTGACGGTGAGCTTGGCTCATAGAACGTGCTGTGGGAGATATCTTGTTAAAGGGAGCCCAGAGTGTCTCCAGAATTTCCCCATCAACTTGTCCAGCTCCTTGAATGAAGTTTAAGCTGTATCTAGCAAAACAGGCAAGTTTATGAGTGCTCAAGTGAAATTTCCCCACCGCAGCCACAATCTTGGTGTTGTCTGGGAGTGCCAAGCCAGGGCAGTTGGCAACACGTTGACCAAAGTTAAGGTTCCACTGACACCCCACATCATAGATGATCAGGGAGTTGTCAACTGTTGCCAGCAGCGTGCTTTATGGCATTACAAATGGAATAATCTATATTCATGTGGCTGGAAGTGATTTTGTCAGCATGTCAAGCACAATGCTTGTCTTAGCCTAGATTGAGTAAATGAAAGAAAACTTGCCGTTCACCCTTCTGAAAGTCCACTATGCAGTGAGGAACAAAACAACCATGCCGAGCACAAGCAGTGGCACCAACCCCTGTAGCCCTGAGGTTGCTTCTGTTTGTGTTTGCTGCATTGACTGCCCGATGGTTGCTACACAAGGATCGCTTTCCACAGGTTTAGCCACCCCTGACAATACAACACAATTTGAGTCACCTCTTTACTCTCTATAGCCGAAGTCAAGTGTGCTTGGTATTCTCTGTCTGTTACCATATAACCTAAACCATCTGACAGGAAGACGTCAAGCTCAGGCTGTCGCATGTTCATATGCTGAGCAGTAAAATTTCCATCTACCACCAATCTTTTCATAACAAGCCACCTGCAATCAAAAGTCAGCATCCGCATATAAGTCAGCTAGTTATATGAGTGATCTGGCCAGTATACACAAATAGTCGGCCAGCACCGACTCTGAGCTGTGTACCAGAGGTACCGGCCAGTCTACACAAATGGTCAGCTGGCACTGGCTCTGAGCTGTGTACCAGAGGTACCGGCCAGGACTCAGCTGACACATATTATCGGCCAGGACCACTGCTGTGCTACGCACTGCTGGTACTGGCCGGAGTCTAGCAGGCAGGGATTTTGGAATTGACTTGCCTTTCATACTGTTGCTCCCAAACAAGAGGCATATTGATTCCGGGCTGTGGACATGAAGGGCAAAATAGGGCAAGATCTCCTGCACTAGGGGGCGCTTCCTTGTCATGGCCAAATCCAAACCATTTACGGTTCTTCAAGTCCCGCCAGAGTCGAGATACTCTCATGAGTTCTCGATAGCGATCCTACAGATGGGGTTTTGCATTCAGTATGAGCTAGAATTATGGTATTATCAGTTCCACTCACTGGGACAGTGTCCGGGAAAGCATTATTTGTCAGCCGTCTGATTTTCTCAAAGAAGCTCATTGCTGAAGTCTTGCATTCCAAGGCATCAATGAGAAAATGATCCAGTACCTCGAAGGTGAAAGCAGTCCTAGGGCTGTGTGGTACTGGCAGGAAATAGTCCTGCTTGGAGCAGCTGCAGGTGATGTTCATGATGTGATCCTGGACATTGACACCATGACACATTGTGTGTGAACACCCCAGAAGAATGTACAATAATCACAGGAGTATCTTGATCAACGTGACTTTGTGCAACTCCATAGAAAGGGCAAGACTTTCCACCATGGCCCATGTACCATATAAATCCTTGGTCAGCAAGAGTGTCGTCCTCGAAGCACTTGCCGTTCCACAATTGGATTTTGTGGAAAGGCAATGACTGATGTGATTTGAGGAGGCAAGGCTGACACCAAGCTGTGGTCGCCAGTGCAAGTTGTGCAATGGAAGGCAGCATCTTCACATTGGCAAGTCTCACAGATCCCTGTGGCAAATTTCTCTAAGTCCAAGATGACATCTAGATATGTGTCTCGGTGGGTGAGATACTCTGCTATGAAGTCATTTTGTGTCTATGTCATTTATGAGAAACAATTACTAGTAAGCCACAGCCTGTTAGATATACCTTTGTTTTTCTCCCTTGCTCAGGAGCCTCTCCGTCAATAGCAAAGTCACCAAACATTTCTTGGTTTAAATCATCTTCTGGGATGTCTGGTGATTCTGCATCTACTGCTCTGGCTCGTTTCCTTGGGCTGGTGGTATGCTCTGGCAAAGTTTCATACAGCGCATCAGCACAAGACTCAACCCAAGAGGGCTTTCCCTTTCTGTCTCTTGTAGGTTGGTGAGTAACATAATCAACATCCAGATCCTTTTTTTGTGATAACTTTCCTCTATCTTGGAAAGAATAAGAAATAGCCTTGAGACTGCTGGCTGTTTTTTTGAGGACATAGTGCTTAGACCGAGGAAAGATTCCTGCCGTATGAGAAGTCAACCAATTTAATATCACAAGCTTTGTCTAATCTGGACATCTACTATTGGGAAATTACTCCCCTTCTCATTCTCTTATTTGATCTCCGAATGGCTTTTAGACCCCCCTTCTTACCTGCCCCCACTCTATTCAGAAAATCCCGCTGGTCCGGATACTTTGGTCTCGGTACACCAAGCCTATCGTGTACTTTATCCTTGACAAAGTGGGCAATTACAATTCTCTCCCCATCGCCCCACTTCGGCACCCCATGCTCCAGCACCTTTCCTAAAATGTAAACCATAGTGCCAGGGGGATATGCTAGCTCGGCACCCAGATCTGGCAGAGCTAGTATGGCATGGTGAGCTTTGCCAAGGCTCACCAAAAGGTCATAAAATGAAGGCGACAGCTCCAGGGTCTCGATGACTTGGGGTCTCTCGATTGACGATAACTTCCAATCCAGAAAACTCTGAGGGCCAGACAATGGGATCCGAAGTACGAACCATATCCTTCATATTAGCAACTGATTCCACGCCGGCCTGATATTGATCTGGCGCAATAACACTGGTGATAGTGGACCACAAATGTTCAGCTACCAGTTATTTCAGGACAACCACTCTCGGATCAGCAGGTAAAGAAAGAGTGCCTGATTGGTACAAGTCATCCTGAAGCCGCTAGCCCATTTAAGTTAGTTCCGTATCACAGCAAGTATATTAATATGAAGTTACCTCATGACGTTGCATGAATCCTCCGGGGCATAAGGTCACCCTTCCTACTCCAAACTCTCCCCCACCTGAAGGCATGACAAATCCTTGAGAACGCCAAGGCTGCTTTGCCTTCTGAGTTGGCTTGGGCAAAGACTGATCTAAGGCAGGTCTCAGCAATTTGATGGACTGGTTGACACGATCCTAATTATAACTGATTAAAAGAACTTAAACTGTATTAATCAGACTCGTACCATTCTATCAGGCACCATGATTTCTGGCAAATACCAAGCGAGAATCCTTCCGTGCCTGTCAACAAATGTTGCCGGCTCTGATATTGAAACCGAACGAAGGACAGTGGAAATATTTTGCTAGCTTATGTCTCTGGCTGTCAGCATGCTGATGGGTGGGATGCCTTGGCACTATCTGCAAACCGATCTACATCTAAATCTGCCCGCACTATGGCAACAAAATGAATGACAGACCCCCCAACCATCAAATCAACACTCACGGGGATTAACTACAGCATGGGCTATCACGACCGCAGCTCTGGTAAGTTCAATCTCCGTAATGACATTTGCCGTGACATCGCTACCAGTACTGGACAGTAAGTCCTGCCACTTGGCCCACAATCTGGTCCTAAAATTCCAGCTGTTCAGTTTTGCCAGGACAGTGACATGAGACTCCCTTACCTGGCTCTTTGAAGCAAATTGTCATTGATTTTGTCACCTATCAGCAACTCATACGGCGATGAATCATGGAGTAGGTCATCTACATGCCCACGGAGGATCTTGGACAGAATTGTTACAGCAGGATCTGCCATTTGTCAGTGGTTGAAGTTTGGAAAAACAGACATTAAACGACGGAATGATAAATTTTTCAACCACAGACGATCTAGACTATAAATGGTTTTTAATTTAAGTCTCGATGTGGATGAAAAGACTTTGAAAGATCCAAATCGGGATAGCTTCTAAATTTGGGTGAAATTCAACGCCTACACTGTGAGGCTGTCGGACAGAATACACCAAGATCCCCCATTTCTTGGTGGTTGGAGTATTGAGAACAGAATTGAAATAGCAGAATGGGAAAATTTCTAACCAGGTGGTGTAGACTATATATGGTTTTTAAGGTTTTTGATTTACAACGTGCGATGCGGAGCAAAAGTGGAAGATCCAGATCAGGATAACTTCTAAACTGGACGGGGCCATACTATATGATTTGCGGCAACATACCATCCAAGCAGAGGCCTGTATTATGAAAGAAACAGATGAGAAACAGCAGTCTCAACTTAAGTTACATCTTGTCTTTTAAATTCAAGCTTTATGCTGACGGCAAGTAATAAACCAGTATGCTGCTCTGATTGTCTTCTAACTGAATATCAAATCTTCAGCTTCGGCTGGATTCAGTTAGAAGACAATCAGAGTAAGGGGTGAGGCGCAATTGCTACTTGCCAAAAGCCTCATCCCTTGCTCCGATTGCCTTCTAACTGAATCCAGCCTACATGCAGCTGGTATCTCAGGTATTTCACCTGAGTTGAGGAGAAGAGCAATCGTGTCTCACCCCTTACTCCGATTGTCTGAATACCAAATCTTCAGCTGCGGCTGGATTCAGTCAAAAGAAAGACAATCAGAGTCAGGGATGAGACGCAATTGCTCTTCTCCTCAGCTCAGGTGAAATACCTGAGATACCAGCTGCATGTAGGCTGGATTCAGTTAGAAGGCAATCAGAGCAAGGGATGAGGCTTTTGGCAAGTAGCAATTGCGCCTCACCCCTTACTCTGATTGTCTTCTAACTGAATATCAAATCTTCAGCTGAGACTGGATTCAGTTAGAAGACAATCAGAGTAACGGACGAGGCTTTGGCAAGGCCCACAGCATGTATCTCAGGTATTTCACTTGAGTTGAGGAGAAGAGCAATTGCGTCTCACCTCTTACTCTGATTGTCTGCTAACTGAATCCAGCTGCAGCTGCATCTATTCTGTCATGTTCAAGACTAAAGGTGAGCGCACTGAGGGTACTCTCAAGCTCACCCCTATTTCAACAATATGCCGCGGTGAAAATTGGTGGACATTCTAAGTTACTGCATTCGGGGGTCACGTGACTTTTTCGCACGAACAAGGAACCTGACATCACGATTTCGTTGCAAATTAAAAAAACTAAGTTACATTTGGCATCATTGAATTGAAGAAAAAATAACAGAGCGCAAAAATCAATACAAGGCTGCCGCAGAGGGGCCCTCTCTGCGACAGTCTAGTACTGTCATAATACAGTAATAAAAAGTATGATAAAAAAAGGAATAGCTAACTATATAACATAATCTGCGAATGGCGCAATCAGTATTTGCAAAGAGAATATCAAACAGGTTACCTTTGAGTATCGGAGCAAGCCAAAAGAAACATATCTGTAAGCTGTGGTCATTGTTTTGAGAAGAGAGAGCGATGGGAAGTACCTTATGGTGGAGCAGGTGTCATCCTTCCGGAGAAAATACAATACAATAATGATGGGAGGAGGCGCACCAATGTGGACACTTAAACCTCCCAAGCGCAATGATGGTTGAAGGAGGGGCGCACCAATGTGGACACTAAATCCTCCCCAAGCCAAGCCCCCAGTACTCAATGGTAAAAAAGGGAGGAGAAGTGCGCCAATGCGCACATAGATCTCCTCCCCAAGCCAAGCCCCCAGTACTCAATGGTAAACAAAGGGAGGAGAAGTGCGCCAATGCGCACATAGATCTCCTCCCCAAGCCAAGCCCCCAGTACTCAATGGTAAACAAAGGGAGGAGAAGTGCGCCAATGCGCACATAGATCTCCTCCCCAAGCCAAGCCCCCAGTACTCAATGGTAAACAAAGGGAGGAGAAGTGCGCCAATGCGCACATAGATCTCCTCCCCAAGCCAAGCCCCCAGTACTCAATGATAAAAGAAGGGAGAAGTGCGCCAATGCACACATAGATCTCCCCAGTATATATAGATTGACTAGAAAGAAGGCGTTTAGTGAAGAGATTGTTGAAAAAAAAGACAGACCTTATATGTGGAGGCGCCCCAATAGCCTCCCCAGTGAATGGAAATTGACTAGAAAGAAGGCGTTTAGTGAAGAGACGGTTTAAAAAAAAGGATAGACCTTATATGTGGAGGCGCCCCAATAGCCTCCCCAGTGAATATAAATTGACTAGAAAGAAGGTGTTTAGTGAAGAGACGGTTGAACAAAAACAGACCTTGGATCTGCAGGCGCACCAATAGCCTCCTCAGTGAATAGAAATTGGCTAGAAAGAAGGTGTTCAGTGAAGAGATGGTTGAAAAGAGGCATACCTTAGGTATCCTTTCACCGGATGAACCAAAGAAGATCAACCTATACACCCAAATTAGAAATAGAATTGGAATTAAGAGACACATACCGCGCGGTAGAGAATGAGCGCTCAGTGAGTTGTGAGCCACTTACACAGCTGCAGTCTGTGTAGGTGGCTAACAAGGTGAGCGGATGGAAGAGATGTGGTTTGAAATTGAACCGTGTGAAATTGTTGCGCCTGGCTATATGTTACAACATATTTGATGTTGTTTGTCGTGGAAAATGCCGGCGTGACACGATCACATGACTGGTTGGTTTGAAAATTCGCAAAGTCCTTTGTACTGCATTGTTTGGCACGGAAAATGCCGGCGCAACCATGGACACGATCACATGACTGGTTGATTTGAAAATTCTCAAAGTCCTTTGCGCTGCAGTTGTCTTTATGCCACCTAGAAAGAAGAACACGGCAAAGAAGTCCTGTGGCGGTTCTGCCAAGAAACTTTTGGCACCTGTCGGCTCTCCTCCGGTGCCCGCTGCGTCACACGCCGAATCGTCCACGTCATCCTTGGAGCCGGAAGACACTAGGACAACTGAAGATCACAGTATAGTAAGTTTTTTTGCCTACTTCAAGTGTTTCATTGACTGACTGCGGGTCAGTGGTGTTTGATTTGTCGCGATGGCGCGGAAGGTGACGTTATACTTTTTGAATGCAACGCGTGCCCCCGCGTCATGTGCAGCAAATGCATTGAGGTGCCCAAGGCCCATATTGATGACGTCCGACATACGGACGTAATATTTTTATGTCTTTCTTGTCACTCGTTGCGGACGATCAAGGAGCCCACGCCATATTTTGTGAGTCTTTCTTTATTATTCAAATTTTAAATTGATTGACTGTTCAGGGCTTCTATCATAACGTTTTGCCAGAGCAAGGAGGAACGCCTGTACTCCCAGGCTTCCTGCAGCTCAAGGGCAAGTACGAGCTGGCGTCTAGCTCCATCTTGGCAGCCACACCCCTTGCCGTCGTCCATTTTATCCTTGGTGGCAAGGACAGAATCCCGACACCTGTTCCACTCCTCTCCCATTACCTCGACAAGTTCTACCCCAGCGGCGGGTTTCTGTACATCGAGATCTTGTTCGATGTTGCTTCATATCAGCAGATCGACAACTACACCCACGACCAGGTTCGAACGGTTTCTGAGCTCACCAGTCACCTTGGTTCCACCGGTCGCGTCTTTGCGTTTCTCTCCAACCATTTGGAAGAAGACAGTGGGTGGCTCTTTGCAGGGAAGGAGGGTCAAGGTGAGGGAGAGTATGTTGCGATGGAAGTTCAGCATGTAAGTTTAGAATTTTGGACGTTTTAACGTTATGAATTAATGTATCCTAGGTTCTCTCTACAGTGTTAAAGCCCTATGCTAGGATCCTCAAGTCCTCCCACATCGTCTTCCTGGTCTGCGGCTCTGTGGTGGCGCACGAGACACCCTACACTCAGCTCAAGGAGGCCGTTCTTCAATTCGACTTCGCGGGCGCAATCATCTTTCCCGCACCTCGCTTTCAACCTCTTGTCGCCACGAATTTTTTGGTCGCCATGATGGAACTTGTCGCGATTGAGCAACTCAGCATCCGCAGCGTGTTTCCCACTCTCCTTAGTATGTCAGGTTGCCTCGGTCAGCACACCAGCATCATCCTGATGACTCGAGTCAACATTGAAGGTTGCTGCAAACTGGAACTGACTACATTTGCGCGCGCTCACACTCAGACTTCACCTTGGGGCCTGGATATTCCTGCACAGTGCCCCCAATGCGGCTCTACCAAGAGCTGGGCCGAGAGGGTCGCTGTGACGGTTGCTGATAAGAGTCGCGACGAGGACGCCCCAGACCGTGTCTCTGTTTGCCGGTACATCTACACATGCAAGTACACCAACTGTGGTAGCATGCAAAAGTTGCCTCCCTACAAGTTGTCCGTCACCAAGCCTCCTGGGTCAATTGTCAACAGCGCAAAGACCAAGAACTGCGCTTGGTTCCAGTCGCCTTCTACTCATTTTGTACTTCAGTCTTCAGCTGTGTCTACCCAAGGCAAGCGCATGAATGAGGGGGTGCCTACTGGGACTGCCAAGAAGGCGCGCAGGTGATTTGGGTATTTACTTGACAGTGTATGTACATAATTTGAATTGAGTTATCACTTTGTCACACGGTTGATTTGGTAACGACGCGTCTTGGTTTGCATGCACGTGATCGCGTCTCCTTCAAAATTTCAACTTTTCGGCCTGGTCTAAGGTTACGCGACGCATACCCACCCTTGCCGAAAGCTCCTGACTTATACAACGTGTCATCAATGGCTGAATGGTATGCTTCTTGGGAGGGAGTACTGACTCTCCACAAAGATCAGTTTGTAAATGGAAAGAATTCCCGTCACAATTTGCTGAGACAGATCCGCAATGAAATTGTCGCAATTCATCACACAAGAGAGGATCCCGAGGATTTACCAAAGGGATTGAAAAAGGTACTGTTCATTCTGAGTATATAATGGTGCTGACATACTTGATATAGGCTATCTGGAGGTACTACCTCCAGTTCTTAACGGACGCTGATGATCGGCGTGATGAGCAACAGATCTTGGGAGATGACTCAGAGCTGGAGGAAGAACTTGGCATGTCCCCTGAGGACAGAGAGTTGGCGGCTCGTCCTAAGGACGCAGGGTTCTACAAGAAGGAGCTTAACGCTTGGGACGTCGCACAGAAACTCTTTAAGCAGGAGATGGACGACTACGATAAGGAGCAGCAACAGAAGAAAGGCGTACAACATTCTATTAAGTATAGGACTGGACATGCGAGGGAATGGTTCAACAGCATGACCTCTGCACATCGGAAGGAGGTTGAGGAGGCGAGGGACAAGTGGAATAGGGATGGCGCCCCAGCAGAATCACAGGCGATGTAAATTGTCATTTTTTGTTCAATTTCTACTCTAACTATATTGGCAGGTATCGAAAGAAAACCCTCAAAAAAGTTCTCGATGATTTTACAGAACAGATTCGTTGTACTATGGGTTGCCGACTCGTGATGTTGGTCAGTCACAAGAAAAATGCCGATCAGACTTTAAGTGTCAAGATGTGAGTATTTATACACTCTCCTCAGTGTAAACTAACAATGTTATTGTTATTCAGTCATGAGTCTCAGCCTGTCAATCAGAAGAAATCGTTTAGCCAGAGTTCTCGAGGAAGCAAAGAATGGACGTCTGAAGGTTTTGAAAAATATGCCGAGTGGTCAAAAGCTGAATTCTGTGAGTTTTGTATTTTTTTTGGATCGGTTCAGACTGCTCAATGACCGTGTATCAGACCCCACCAATGATGATGATGACTCCTCCGATGAAGAAACGAATGATGGAAAGGATGCAATGCCCGAAGTCATCCTGGATAACCACGGTTACGCAAAGCTCCCTTCTCGTAAGGAAGTGAGCCTCAAGGGGCAACAAGAACTGGTTCGGCAAATTTTTCATGCATCTTACAGCGAGTTGTTGATTACTTCAGTCTTTGTCGATTTTAACTTGACTCACCTTCCGTTTTTCAGAAGTTTTCACTGGTAGCATGAAGCCAGTACCTTGGCTCTCAATCACCGGTGAGCCTTTGCTGTACCTGGATCCAGACTCCATCCCCAATGGTTTTACCGTGCAAGACCCATCTCATTTGAGAGTGAAGGAAATCAACAAACTTTGGGGCCATTGGGAAGCCCGGAAGGCTTCGAAGCAGAGACTCGTTATTTTCGTCGGAGCTGCAAGTGCCCACATGAACAAGTCCCTGCTCGAAAATGCTGTTTATGTAGGCGAGAAGAAATCAAAAAAGAAGTACGTAGAAGTCAACGATGAAGAAGGAGCCTCAGCTGCCCCTACACCTGTGAAACGTACAAGACGGCTGGCCAAGGACAGCTCCGAGGACAGCTCTGATGATAATCTAGCTCCATCAGCAGGCCTCGTCGCTCGACCGTCAGTTGCTCAAGAAGGCATATGCACACCAGCTACTGTACCAATGAAAGATCGAATGTCATTCTTACGATCCCTCAGCAGCAACAGAGAGTATCTGCTTTTCATTTCGAGTATTGGTGGCTTGAAAAAGGTACGCTTGTGATTTTTACCTAGATTGGTGAAACTTGACACTCACCCGATGCAGGAACAAAGCTCTGAGGCAACCGAATGGCCTGCATGGGCGACATGGTCTTGGGAGGGATCGCACCTTCCAAACAGTGTACACTCAGAGGTTAGTGAGTTGGACACGTTCTTTGAGGTAGTCTCGTCTACGAAGATATCTGGCTTGGCGTCAGCCATGAAGGTCGGCCTAGGTCTCGGGATGCTGCTAAGAGAATGTAAGCAAGTCATCGAGTATGAGGCGGACGACGCTACCCCCAACACCCCCTCTTACTTTGGCACCTCTATTTTGGGTATCAAGACCCTCGACCTCGTTATAGAGGCAATAAACACAGCCAGAGGTGGGGTCACCCGCATGGTCAAGGCGAAGGAGGGACAACATGCTGCCATTACTGAGGCTGGTGGAGAAGAACATGGTACCGATACTGCCGCTCAGACTATTTCGACCAGGGAAGAGGAAGTGGATGACGAGAAACAAAGGGAGGAAGATGAGATGAGAAGGAAGGTTGAAGAGGAACTTCGCGAGACAGAGGAACAGAAGAAGAAAATGGCGATGCTGCAGGAGGACATGAGAAAGCTGGAGGAGAGAAAGCGAAAGCTGGAGGAGGAGAACCAGAAGCTGTTGAAACTGGTGGAAGTGGCGAACGAAAAGGACAGTGAGGGTAAGGAGCCGGAGAAGGCTGAGGAGGAGGAGGAGGAGGAGGAGGAGGAGGAGGAGGAGGAGGAGGAGGAGGAGGAGGAGGAGGAGGAGGAGGAGGAGGAGGAGGAGGAGGTAGTGCAGAAAGGGAAGAAAAGAGGAAAGTCTGGGGGATCTGGAAGACCATCCAAAAAGCCTACCACTGACAATATTCGTCGATCCAGCAGAGCCAGACAGCCGTCCAAAAAGGCCATGCGCAAGTGACATAGCATAGCACATTGTATTGTTGCTGTTTTCATTCGTAAATCTAGTGGATATTACTAGGCAAAGTAATATACATTATAAGGTGGCCAGTATATAGTTGACATGGCCACTCAAGATCCTTAGACCTCATCTACAAGCAGGAGGCTGGCTGAACTGGCCAGTACTTGCTCTACATGACCGGCCAGCACCTTTATACATGCCAGTACCTGCCCTATACCCCCGGCCGGGACTCTTATACTGTGCTGGCCAGTACTTGCACTACATGACTGGCCAGCACCTTTATACATGCCAGTACCTGCCCTCTACCCCCGGCCGGGGCTCTTATACTGCTCAGTATAAGAGCCCCGGCCGGGGGTAGAGGGCAGGTACTGGCATGTATAAAGGTGCTGGCCAGTCATGTAGTGCAAGTACTGGCCAGTTCAGCCAGCCTCCTGCTTGTAAAATGAGCACATGGCCTATACCCCCGGCCGGGGCTCTTATACAGCACAGTATAAGAGTCCCGGCTGGGGGCTGTGTCATGGCTGAGCTGCCCAGTACCTGCCCTGTGTGCTCGGCCAGGGCTTTTATATGATCATATATAAGAGTGCTGGCTGGAGGCTGTGTCCTGGCTAAGCTGGCCAGTACCTGTCCAATACCCCTGGCCGGGACTCTTATACAGGGATGTATAACAGTCCTGGCCGGGGGCTATGTCATGGCTGAGCTGGCCAGTACCTGCCCTGTGTGCTCGGCCGGGGCTCCTATACGACCATGTATAAAAGTGCTGGCCAGTACCTGCTCTATGTGCTCGGCCAAGGCTCTTATACGTCCATGTATACAAGTGCTGGCCGGAGGATGTGTCCTCACTGAGCTGGCCCCTGCCCTACCACAGTTGGCCAGTACTCCTATACATAGGTGTATGAGCAGGGCTGGCCAGAGGCTGGGTCCTGGTGAAGCTGGCCAGTGCCTGCCCTATGTGCTCGGCCGAGACTCCTATACGACTGTCCATAAGAGTGCTGGCCAGAGGCTGGGTCCTGCCCTACATGGCCGGCCAGCACCCTTATATGTGGTCGTATGAGCAGTGCTGGCTGAGCACTTGTATATGGAAACATCGGCCAGTCCTAGCTCTACACACTGCCTGAGTGGTCACACAGGCTACATACCTTGCGGGTTCAAGGTACACTGGCTGTGCCTACCTCTACACACCGGCCAGCCACATATCTACCTGGACAGGCCGGTACTGGCTGGGACACATTCTACAGCCTTTTGGCACATCCGGGGCACCACTTCTACGTCCAAAGTGACTGAAGGGTCTGCAACATCATGTGGTTCGCGAATCGACACGATGAAGGCGTCATCCACCATAAATATTTTAATCCTATGCCCGTCGAAGTTATCGCTCTTGTGCTTACAACTGTGAGTCTCTTATTCTATATTCAATTTGATGGCGCTGATGAATCACTGGTAGATTGAATGTTGTATCGACGAATGGTTACAAGGTCTGAAGGAAGATATCAAATTCACGTCGGCTACTTATGGAACTGTCTACCATGGACATTTCTGCTCGTTGCAGCGCTTCGACGAGCAGACGGCGCCTTACAAACTCCTCGACAAAATTCGTGTCAATCTGCACGACGTGGCTCGGTGCGTTGAACAGTGTTCTTTTTCAAAATGATATTCTTACTTTTGTGCTTTGAAGTTTCCATGCAGGTGTTGACACCCTCACTATCTCGTCGTCTGCATCCCGGATCAGTGACGCGGCATTCGAAGATGCCATCCGAGAGTACCAACTTGAGGAGCAGGATGATGCGGAGGCTAGCGAGTCGTAAAATAGGTTGACTGGTTCATTATTAGGCATTCAAATTCAATTGTTTTCGCGATTCCGTGTGCTACTACTACTACTAATATGTGATATGTGTGACTATATAGCTGCTTGAAGCCGGCAGTAGTAGCGCTACATGAACTATGTAGTGCTATGTAGCTGCCTGTAGTAGAACTTAAGGGAACTATGGTAGTACATAGTAGCGCTACCTGGTTCTACATAGCACTATATAGTACTACGTAGTACTACATAGTTGCCTCACATGCTATATAGAGGGGGGATAGCTATTTGGCTATACGGTCTACCCTGGCTATATAGTACTATATAGTCACCTTGTTTTTTCCTGATGCATGTCGCGACTGTCTTGTGCCGCGACACCCCGCGCGTACTCATGTGAGCTCCCGGGCGTTCCAATACCTGTCTCTATCATGATATCTATGATTCATGCCACATGACTCGTTTGCGCGCCTCAGAGTGGAAGGAAGGTCTGCATGTTGCCCGATTTTTAAATTGAGCCGGCAGCCCGAGCGGCACGTCGCGACAGTATCTTTGAGGATGGGAGAATACTGTACGATGACGACCAGCTTTCATATCCTGCATATACTTATGACGATTCTGATTGGTTTGACAGAATTATTGTTGCTGTTAGGTGGCAGAACCAGAACCAATGCGGTACTGGCACCGGGCCCATGTCTCGACTGTCTTGTACCCCGACACCCCGCGCGTACTCATGTGAGCTCCCTGGCGTTCCAGTTCCCGTCTCTATCATGATATCCATGATTTAAAGTAATTCATGGATGATTCTAGCAAATCTGGCCCATAGCTAGAGCAGTTGCATACAGCATAATTTCAATTTGACTCTAGCGTACCGAGAGTGACTTACATAAGCAAACCGAATTGATCACAACTTGAACGTACAGTACAAAGTACACCACCGGTTACGACGAGCGCGCAATGCCATCGTCGAGCAGCGTTTACACAAACACCAGCCGAAGTCAGCCAGCAGAGCCCCAGAGTCTACGTGGAGTCTATTTCTTGGCCGTTCTTCAACACCGGATAGGTCACCGTCGGTGGGGCAGACCATCGGAAATCCAACACCAACACTGATCTGTATGCTACGTAGTACGAGTCTCCGCACACGAGGCAGTCTGTACACCGTGGATGTTTCTATATCCCACAAAGTACGCTCCGACGCTGACCTTCTACAATATCTCTGTGTCTAGGTCAACGCGACATGTCGGGAGTGCCTGGCTCTGATACAGCAGCAAGAAATGGTTTCGGTGGGCAGACTGCGCGGACAACATTAGGACAATGGACGACAACACGCATGATTCGAAGGCATACGGGCGCAGTGTGGATATCCATGTTCTTCAAAGTTGGTTGACGGGTTATCAAGAGACCACACCCTGCGAATTTGGGATGTGGATAAAGGAACATTGGTGGGAGTGCCGTTTGAAGGATACGAGAGCTGTGTGCGACCAGTCGCCATATCAAGCGAATCGCGAGTGGTGGAGATGATCAAACCATCATCATCTGGGACGTCAAGACTCGGGACCAAGCAGAAGATTTTTAGTCCGCTGGTGAAACATACAGGCCAGGTGCGGTTGTCTTCGCATCAAACAACGCAAATGACATCTTCTGGAACTCGTCGAACGGATACTGGATCAATCAACCTTGCACCGGTCACTATCTACTCGCTCGCCATCTCTTCTGATAGCACCTTCATTATCACTGCCTCAGCTGATAATCCTGTACGGATGTGGAACACAATGGATTATTGCTCGTGAGTGGAGGAGAAATGTCTCACGTATGATGTCAAGGCGGACGGCTCAAACGACCTGCTGGTCACCACGGAGGACGAACTGAACCAATTCTCGCCGGCACGGTCCACTCGACAGATATTCTTGCTTGTTCATCTGTTGAATTGTTATGACCTTGGATTGCCTGACTTTCCAGATGATGGCACGGAGCATGGGCGATCGGTCCGAGTTCGAGTCTCTGTCATACTATCCGTTTGGCGGGTATATGAGCCGGTCCGACCGAATGATATGGAGTCTCACTTGCGAGAATCGAAGTTGATCGTGGCGCACTTTTGCTGTCGCCGCGACGTGGTGGGAGATACAAGAGTTGCGCAAATCGGATATTTGGTTGCTGTCTATATCATGATGGACGTTGGGACCGAGAGATACGCGTTTCGAAAGACAGATTCTGACATACTTTCGTTCGTACCCTGGCAGGCAGGGCATGTATCGAAGTCCTTGTCAGTTGCTGTTTCTACCCACAACATCTTATCTCTGGCCCTCTGGGCGTAAGCAGGCTACATGGTCACGACAGAGCTGTTAATACCACGCATGAGAAGTGCCCCTGGGCTGCACTCCAATATTGTCCCGCAACTATGCTACACGCGTGCAGGTCACACTCGGCTGATATGGAATGTCGCTGACTGTGAGCTGAATTCAAAGTCGGAGTCGATCTTACCAACCGAAGACGTGGCTGTGCCGACGCAACAATGATCTCTTTCACGATCAACATTTTATCTTCCCATCAGACTTCGGATACAATCATATAAAGTCGGTCACCATGCGCCATTTGCTTCTATCCGACGTTCAGCTTTATCATTTGATCCGATACTACGGCGCTACTCCCAGCATAATCATACTCTATACGGTGCACGTTAAACCTCTTAGTGTGGGCGAAACATGCAGGGACTCGTCAAGTTATCTCAAGCCTTTATTCCTATCCGCGGGTTAAATAGCTATAAGTATAATGTTTATATACCAACAAAGGGGTTCGTCGGCTCTTCCCCTGTTCATTTCGCGAACAAATTAAATCTTATAATTTCTTCTTCTTCTTCAGAAGCTTCATGATGCATCCCCTATCATGATTCCAACGATGGATGTGAACATCTGACCAGGAAGTAGAGCCGAAATTGGAGGTCCGTACATATCAATTCCGATGAAACTCCGTTCTGGCAATTTATAAATCGCAATATCATGTTTTCTGTTCACAGACCAACTCCCACTATTTACCTTGTCTTCTTTCAAACTCAGGGAAGATCTCGTAGAGCTTCAGAGACCATACCCTGATATCGCTTGGATTCAGGCGTTTTTTGACTTTGAAACTACAGTCGGCATTGCATCTGGCGTGTTCCGCCTTGTACCACTCGCAGATGGCTCATGGAAGGCTCATACCGTCTTCACGAACCTGGAAAATCTCAAAGGTTTTCCAGAACAGAATGGGCCCAGACGAGACTACCAGCCAAACCATGGAAAGTGGGCCGCGAAGTGTGCACGTGAAATTGAATGTATCGACGAAGAGCCCAGCGTCGTAGTCATAGGAGGCGGGCAGGGTGGGCTCGACGTTGCAGCCCGGCTTAAGATGCTTGGCATGAAGACTCTAGTAGTGGAAAAGAACGAGAGAATTGGTGATAATTGGAGAAAGCGTTATGCAGCGCTCCTGCATTGAAACTGGCAGATTGGCTAGAATCATATGCACACAGTATGGAGCTCGACGTTTGGACCAGCGCTACGGTCATGTCCGTCATTCCGGGTACGAAGGGAAAGAAATGGAGTGTCACGGTCCAACGTCCTGACAGAGGCGAGCGTACCTTTGAGGTCAACCATGTCGTATTCTCCCTGGGCTTTGGCAGTGGTATAGGCCGAGTTCCAGATATCCCAGGGCAGGTTCGTTCGATCCATGAATGTAGGATCCTTAGGCTAACATTAAATACCCACATAGGACGACTTCAAGGGGCAGATATTGCATTCCAGCCATCACAATCTTGCAACTGATCACGCAGGGAAGAAGGTCGTCGTTGTTGGCGCTTGCACGTCTGGTAGGGGTCGTATCATGAGTGTTGTATCTTCACTGCTCACCATAAAGTATAGCGCATGACATATGTGCGGACTATGTCGAAAATGGCGTTGGTAAATGATTTTTTTAAAGCATATTGATGGTGTTTAAGCAAAATTGGCGCAGATGTGACCATGGTTCAACGTAGCCCGAGTTACATCATGTCCACAAGGGAGGGGATGCCGAGGTTAATGGGTGAGTTGTCTGTTATTTTACAATTTTGCTATTATAAACGCACCCAACGATCTTCTGGGAGGGCGGCCCTCCTACTGATGTCGCGGATCGCGTGAATGCGTCTTACCCAAATTCATTGCTCAAATTAGTACACCAACGTGTCACCAAAGACATTGCTGATGCAGATAAGTACGTGATTACATATCATATTCCGGTTGCCTGATGGAGGAGGGATTCAGGGAGCTTCTTGACGGCCTGCGAAAACGAGGCTTCAAGACAACTTTGGGCGACGACGACTCTGGCTTTCTACTTATGGCATGGAATAAGGGAGGAGGATACTATCTCGGTTGGTCCATTTACTGATTGGAGCGTGTCTGCACTGACCATATAATGTTAATATCAAGACGTTGGAGCTTCACAGATGATCATCGACGGGAAGATTAAACTCAAGAGCGATGGGCCAATCTCGCGCTTTACCCAGACAGGTTTACTTTTCGATGACGGTTCTACTCTCGACGCGGACGTAGTGATCTTCGCAACTGGGTACGTTCTTCTTACTGACCAATAGACATTGTGATTCACATTATTATCAGCTACGCTGATGCACGTCATGCCTATCGTGCTCTGCTTCCGGAGTCCCTGCATGATAAAATGTATCCTATCTGGGGCCTTGACAAAGAAGGAGAGCTGAATAGCGTCTGGCGCGAAGTTGGTGGGCGCAGCAAGAACGCGGAACTCAATGGTATATGGTGCATGATGGGGAACTTGGCGCTTTGTAGGTTCCACTCCAAGCATCTCGCATTGCGTAAGTCGTTTTCTCTCCTCCTGATTCTGGTCTGATGAGCTTGATGACATTCAGAAATCAAATCATACGAAGAGGGGATTTTCGGGACAAGGTATCAGTGAAGAACGCAATGTGTCCGCACCGTATGTTGTATTTGTTCTCAAGGTTCGAGAAGCGGATTGTACGAGTAGATTTCAATGTATGTGGCACGCATCCAGGAATTTTAGAAATCCTCAGGAATATGCTGTGCAACACCTCCCGCCAATTTCTTGCGCCTGTTGCTGCATGCTACCACTTTCCTGCACCTGCTATCCTCTCACTTGCATTATGTAAGTGTGTTTTTTTCCTTTAAATTCCTGTAAATAATGGAACCATTGAACGCACGCCTCCTCTTGCGTGCTCTTGTACCGTAAGTTACATGAGCTCTCTCACACGTTGTGGCTAGGCCTGCCTTGTGCATGATTTGCGCTCTTGCACACCACACTCAGAGTATGTATCTGACTTTCCGTTCTTGATCGATATCATTTCTCTGTAGTTGACTGATCGGTAGCTAAATATCTATCTTGACGAGGTGTTTCTTCATAAAATCAATCAAACAAGAACCCGACAAAGAAGTATGATGAGGGACAGGAACACGCACACCAGGATATCGATTCCAAGTATGATCCTAGTCTTCAGGTACCGCTCAGAAATTTACAAATAGAGACGCACGGAGCACAGTGCTGTTCAATGATCTCGTCAGATAAGTCGTTCTTGTGTCTCTGTATGTGCGAAGTTACAGCCACGTCATCACATACACTTAGATCGAGACCGACGGTGATGACATCAGGAATATCGAAGCACCTGTAACACATCAGCATGATATCTAAGGGCGTCTCTTATGAAATGAGTTTTCGCTACGAATCAGCAGCAACATTGCAGGTTCGCCCAGTCTGCTTTTCCAGTGCATCGTTCAGTCGAACAACGATAAGTTCAAGATGGGTGCTAGGTATAAAGTAGGAAGGAAATCATGAAATCCAATAGTACACTCGATATTGCAGCAACAAAATCATCGTTATTTGGAGCTGGAGGGATTGATGTGAGCAACTGCGAGGACGGATGGTAAAGACTAAGAACTCACGCATCTCGGCAACTCGACCAGCGCGTCCCATGTGCCATGCAGCTCAAATCAAGCTCAGGGTATCCTCTGGGTATCACCAATGACGTCCAAGGAGTATAAAACGCGTGTCGGGAAGCGGGAGGTACCCAGAAAAGGAGCTCATGACTGGGTCCCATGATCCATCCATCAGGCTGCAGTACGAAAGGGGTTGAATTGGAATGATGATCAGAGGTGGGTTCGAGCAAGTCAGCGGGGTTGGGCAGGGCGTGTTTCAGGGAGGACGAGAAGGAAATGAGGGAATGGTTACTGTTGGTTGGCGTGATACGACTTTCTTGAGGGGGAGGTGCGGTACTTCGATGCAGTGGAGATGCAGAGAGATCCGGCTCTCTTGACTCGAGGGATGGTAGCACTTTCATAAGCCGCACAGTGTTATCTGCTGAACCAGACGCGATGCGAGCACCATCCGGTGAGAATGAGACTGACCAAACCGGGCCAGTGTGCCCCTTCAAGGGCTCACCCAATGGCTGTCCCGTCGCTGCATTCCACAGCCGCACAGTGTTATCCTCTGAACCAGACGCGATGCGAGTACCATCCGGTGAGAACGAGACTGAGTAAACCGTGTCAGTGTGCCCCTTCAAGGGCTCACCCAATGGCTGTCCCGTCGCTGCATTCCACAGCCGCACAGTGTTATCCCATGAACCAGACGCGATGCGAGTACCATCCGGTGAGAACGAGACTGACCCAACCGAGTCAGTGTGACCCCTGATTATGGCTTGAACAGCCGTCCAGTTCAAATCGCGGCCGGATGCCAGACGAAGGTTATTCGGAAACCGAGCCGTAAATTTGGTAGCAATGGTAGAGTTGACGGGCGAGAACGGGAGTGCTGATAAATACAGATGGGATGTGCTGTGCAAAATCATGCCGCCAAACACTTGAATGAATCTTTGGACATCCATCGTGGCGGTCTGCAAATCTTCGTATCCAGAATGGCCCTGTATTTGTGGATGAGCTGTTCGTCCGACCCTGCCTCATAAGCATGTGCTCACCTTCAGCCACTTGGCAACGAATGGAAGCACAGCATCTGCACCGCTGATTGTATTGAGAAGTCCAAGTGCTTCGATCCAGAACATCAGTCGCTCGTCGTCGAAGAGTGATCTGATTTCCTTTGCGAGCTCATCGTCAAACTTCGTTGCCTGGACATGTGTAGCCCAATATCGACAGGAATAGGACAGATGTGGGGGAATGGATCTTTTGACTCGTTCAGGCAGCTCCGTGTCTTTGGAATTAGGGAGGTACGACGACTTCAAATCACAGATATTGAAGCCAAGACCATCTTCCATCACTCGTAGCGACGCGAATGCAAGGTCGCGTTGTTGCCCCTTCGTTCTCTCGACGAAGAAGTCTCCGCTGGATGATTCATCCGTCAGGAATTCTTGGAATGTCGCATGAAGGGGTCGGATGGGGGTATGTGAGTCGGTGGTGCCGCTGAGGAGGGATCCCATGCGTTTGATTACTAGATCTACGTCGTAATGGTCGTGGTCCTTCTGGAAATGGTGCCGCATAGCATTCAGTGAAACTAAAGGGAGCGGTTCGGCTATGGCAAGTATTTGGCCCATCACAGAGCGAAACTTTGCTACTGCTTGCTCGTAATGGACCGGTGTGTACTTATCCTTTGGCATGATTTCTGTTAAGATGAGCCGATACATGTCATACAACAAGTTTTTCCGCTCCCCAGCATTGCGGTTCACGACAGCATTGAAGCAGTCCATTGGGCATAAGCCGGTATAGGGCTCCTTAATATATCCGCACGCAAGACGCGCCCACTCGAAGAGTCCACCCGCTGTTGCAGCGAGCGTTGCAAGATGGTTGTCCTGAAGCTCCTCAGATACGAAGGCCTGGATGTCGCACTCCGCGACATCAGGTGGAATATCGTCCATTGAAATCCGTAGAATATGATCAGCGCCTTCAAACTCCATTTCGATGTCGGGAAGCGGGCGAGAGGTGACGAGAATCCGAGAGTTGGAGGGGAGTTCGGTGATTTGGGGAAGTCCGCTGTTCTGAAGTTTACCGGCAAGTATGCGGAGAAGGTCCTGCCGCGTCTCCACTCCGCCGCTCTCGTCCAGCGCATCGATCACGATCAAGACGGGCCCCACGCTTGACCCAGGGAACTTCTTCAGCGGTTCCATGAAAAGCTTGCGCCACTGCTGGAAAATGTCCGTCGTATTCTTGAGCGAGGTCGCGTTCTTGACTGCATTTGCTAACGCTCGTTTCATCCCCGGATCACGATCAGCAAGATCGCGCGCGATGGTGCAGAAAATCTTTTCATGGCGACGGTCTGCTTCGCTATGCCGATCGAAACAAAAGCATGAACCGAGGCCTCCCGTTTCCTCGAACCAGTCGGCCATCGTGTGCGCGATGGCTGATTTGCCCTTGCCTGCGGGGCCAAATAGCCACATCACACGTTTAGCGGCATCTCCGCTGTCGTTGATCCAGTTCGTAATCTGGGAAAGAATCTCCCTGCGCGTCCCTGGTAGGCACTGTTTCGTGGTATTTAGTCCCGCTCCCGCTGCATAAGTCATGCCGTTGAGATCGAGTATTTCACCTTTAAGAGCATGAGTGCATATAGAAGAATAGGTGCGTATGAATCATTACCCGCAAACTGGACAAATATAGCTACGTCCCGATCAACTTGATCCCGAAATTGTTGCATAAGGCCGTCCAATGCGTTGTTGTACCGTGCGATGATATCATCTGTTTCTGCGATGACATTTTTACCGGTTCTCTTCCCTATTATCATGGTAAGTATAAGATTCGTGCCAGTGTGAGAATGCAATAGTCCGACGACTCACAGAAGCTCTTCGTCTCTGAGTATTCCCTGATGAAACGGGCGCACTCGAGAGTCTGCTGAGCAATCTTTCCGATGACATCATGCATCGATTCGACCTTGGAAAGATTGTCGTCTTCGGTAATGAAGCCATAGACTTCGTCTAATTTCTGGAGAAGACGATCTACCGACTCGTCCCGCTTCGCTTGAGCAAGAATAATCTGGATGGATCATGACTTCTGAGTGGGAGGCAGATCTCCGGGCAACATATAACGTACTTTGGCTGCAGCAGAAAGTACGCCCAACGCCATCCTTGCATATGGATGCAGCTATAACTTGATTAGTTCGCAACCAATTAAGGGGAGCATTCCATACCTTTGCGATCTTCTCGATGGCACTGTCGAAGATTTTCAGGGGCCGGAGGTAATTGGTCGGGAAATCATCTACAACAGCGAGACCAGCTGGGGCGCTCCTGGCGGCGGACATCACAGACTGCGCACGCTCCCCGAATGTTTTCATGTGTTCTGAAGCCTCGTGGGCATCCTGAAGTTCAGCATCAACTGGTTTGGGACCAGGGGCTTCCTCGACGCCAGAGGAGATGTCGAGAACCTGCGCGACCAACAAAATTTAGAGACGAGAACCATATAATTTGATGCGAGTACCTTCGAAGCGGGTTCTCCGGATGTGTCTTGGCTGCTGGGATTTTCAGCTGCGGTGGGATGGTTGTCGTCGGTGGAAGGAAGCGCATGTGGCGTGTTCTGGGCGCCTCTGATTAAAAAAATCGAACTGGGATTAGGAATTCGAGCGCCTACCTCGATATTCTGATTCGACGAAGTATCTTGAAGGTCCACATTCTGGGTCCCAGGAACGCGGCTGCGGAAATACTTGTAGAGTTTCTGCACAATGTCAACTATATTCAGAATCAGGAAACCTGGCAGTCTGCTCACAGAAAGTGTCCTGGTGACGCCTTTCGCAAATTTCTGAATAATCTGCTTGACTCGACTACGGGGTCGGCTCTGGGCGAAGAAAGCGTCAGAAGCAGCCATGAGCGCTCATCCAAAGTGAGTAAGCCCTTGAGACTACATACCGAGCTTTCAGGAACGGTTGCCTCGCGGGCTTCTGAAGGAGGATCTGGCCCATGGTCTTCACTCATCACGAGTAGCCGATTACTGTAAGTGAAGTGAGGTTGTAAGAAGAAGGTGGGAGAAAAGAGAGAACCTCTGGCATGAGCTGAATACCCTTGAGCAAAGCATGGCCAACACGTCGACTGGCTCCTTGAAGCGCTAACCATGATTAATCGGCCATAGCCCATTTCCGAAGGGAGCATAAAGCCATGCCATAATCTACATGATCATTCAGAATTCAATCAGGATCTACAAAAGTACATGGGCTTTACATACAGGAGTGAGCAGCAAGGCATACAAGTAGAAGGTGCACGCGAGTGTCATCGAATGGTGGTCGAAGGATGAAAGGAGTGACGGAAATAACATTAAAGCAAGTAAAAAGAGAGAAACATGAGGCAGCGGTAATGAAGAGATATAGACAAAGGTCACCGAGAGAAGTAAAATGTGAAATGTGAAAGAATGAAGTAGGAGGAGAAAAGACAGACAGCAGTGCTTACTATAGTTGAAGTGTTAGTCGGAGCGAGGGTCCAGCGCCACAACCATAGGCTTCCTTACATAGTCGAAGAGGGAGAGAAACAGTTGTTGTAGAAGTCGAGGAGGGAAAGAAATGACCGTTGTGAGACATAATCGAGCAGGAAGATAAATGTCGTTGTGGAAGACAGCCAGAATTCAAAAGGGAAGGGCATGCATCCTAGATGCGAGTAATGTGGGCACGATATTAAGTTACAAGAGAAATACTCAGCTTGTACCTTTTGCGAGGGAGTTCAACTTCACCGAGTCCTACCTTTACTAAATAACGTACGTCAGTCGAATGGTAACATATCTTCTGGAGCCGATTAGTGATGTGCACGGCCCGGCCATGAGGCGAGCTACTAAGCCAGGCCAAACTGACGGCGTGACCAGGGCTTTCGCCCGGCCTGAGCCGCGACTCCTAGCTCTGTATTCTCGACAACAACGAATTTTCGGATGCCAACGTCAGACGAACAGATTCAAGATTATAATGAAAGTTCTGCGCTGTACGCTCCCTTTTCGTACGACGAGTCCTAATGTTATCATCAACAAAAATGATCGCTCGTTTCGACAGTTGAACTCAACACACACATACAGAGAGAAAGAGATCCATGAGCTAGCCTTCCAGTCCAACGTTAGGCGAACAGATTTAAGCTGCACAGTGCGTTCCATCTTCGTACGACCTCCCAATATCAATCATCAATAACATTGATCGCTCGTTCCAACAGCCTCTCCGAATCAAGCTTACTAGTGGCGACAAGCAAGACTAAGCACGGTCGATCATTTTCAAACATCCACATTGCTCGAGTAGTATGAACATTTGTCCAAAACAACTGTACTGATTGGCTCCGAACTAGGTATTGCTCCATCAACCATGATATAATACCAAAGCGAAAGCAGAAACGTGACTTACTGTCGCGACGTGCCGCTCGGGCTGCCGGCTCAATTTATAAATCGGGCAACATGCAGACCTTCCTTCCACTCTGAGGCGCGCAAACGAGTCATGTGGTTGAATCCTGATTGCACAACGACCTGTTCATACTCACCCCGTCATTGGCACAAGCATAGTCCGTGCAGCAATCTTTATTTCTTTTGCAAGAGTCTTCCTCAGTCCCACATGCATTGACAAACATAGATGCTGTCAAAACAAGAACAACGGCTAGGAGAGAACAACGCATTTTCTATGCGAGGCGATATGGACTCTTTTGAAGGGGTCCTCGAAAGATATCTTTGAGGATGGGAGAATACTGTACGATGACGACCAGCTTTTATATCCTGCATATACTTATGAAGATTCTGATTGGTTTGACAGAATTATTGTTGCTGTTAGGTGGCAGAACCAGAACCAATGCGGTACTGGCACCGGGCCCATGTCTCGACTGTCCGACACCCCGCGCGTACTCATGTGAGCTCCCTGGCGTTCCAGTTCCCGTCTCTATCATGATATCCATGATTTAAAGTAATTCATGGATGATTCTAGCAAATCTGGCCCATAGCTAGAGCAGTTGCATACAGCATAATTTCAGTACAAAGTACACCACCGGTTACGACGAGCGCGCAATGCCATCGTCGAGCAGCGTTTACACAGACACCAACCGAAGTCAGCCAGCAGAGCCCCAGAGTCTACGTGGAGTCTATTACTTGGCCGTTCTTCAACACCGGATAGGTCACCGTCGGTGGGGCAGACCATCGGAAATCCAACACCAACACTGATCTGTATGCTACGTAGTACGAGTCTCCGCACACGAGGCAGTCTGTACACCGTGGATGTTTCTATATCCCACAAAGTTCACTCTGACGCTGACCTTCTACAATATCTCTGTCTAGGTCAACGTGACATGTCAGGAGTGCCTGGCTGTGATATAGCAGCAAGAAATGTTTTGGGTGGGCAGACTGCGCGGACAACATTAGGACAATCGACGCCAACACGCATGATTCGAGGGCATACGGGCACAGTGGGTATCCATGTTCTTCAGAGGTGGTCGATGGGTTGTCAAGAGACCACACCCTGCGAATTTGGGATGTGGATAAAGGAACATTGGTGGGAGTGCCATTTGAAGGGCACAAGAGCTGTATGCGAGTAGTCGCCATATCAAGCGAATCGCGAGTGGTGGAGATGATCAGACCATCATCATCTGAGACGTCAAGACTCGAGACCAAGCAGAACATTTTCAGTCCGCCGGTGAAGCATACAGGCCAGGTGCGGTTTGTTTGCTTCTCCTCCGATGGCAGGAGACTTGCTAGCGGGTCAAATGACTTCAAGTTTGTCATTTGGGACGCAGAGACCGGCGCTGTCCTATCGATACTCAACGGTCATAGTTGTGATGTGTACAGCGTTTGTACAGTGTCACATTCAGCCCAGATGTAAAATTGTCGTTGGACCGTACCATCAAGGTTTGGTGCACTGATAATGCTGAACTTCTTTTCCAGATTGCTCACCAAGATGGTATTCGGAGTGTTGTATGGTCGCCCGATGGACAGCAACTTGTTTATCAAACAACGCAAATGACATCTTCTGGAATTCGTCGAACGGACACTGGATCAATCAACCTTGCACCGGTCACTATCTACTCGCTCGCCATCTCTTCTGATAGCACCTTCATTATCACTGCCTCAGCTGATAATCCTGTACGGATGTGGAACACAATGGATTATTGCTCGTGAGTGGAGGAGAAATGTCTCACGTATGATGTCAAGGCGGACGGCTCAAACGACCTGCTGGTCACCACGGAGGACGAACTGAACCAATTCTCGCCGGCACGGTCCACTCGACAGATATTCTTGTTTGTTCGTCTGTTGAATTGTTGCGACCTTGGATTGCCTGACTTTCCAGATGATGGCACGGAGCATGGGCGATCGGTCCGAGTTCGAGTCTCTGTCATACTATCCGTTTGGCGGGTATATGAGCCGGTCCGACCGAATGATATGGAGTCTCACTTGCGAGAATCGAAGTTGATCGTGGCGCACTTTTGCTGTCGCCGCGACGATACAAGAGTTGCGCAAATCGGATATTTGGTTGCTGTCTATATCATGATGGACGTTGGGACCGAGAGATATTATAATTATACGCGTTTCGAATGACAGATTTCTCCGAACTTTCGTTCGCACCTGTATCGAAGTCCTTGTCAGTTGCTGTTTCTACCCACAACATCTTATCTCTGGCCCTCTGGGCGTAAGCAGGCTACATGGTCACGACAGAGCTGTTAATACCACGCATGAGAAGTGCCCGTGGGCTGCCCCACCCCAATATTGTCCCGCAACTATGCTACACGCTCGGGTGATATGGAAACTCGCTGACTGTGAGCTGAATTCAAAGTCGGAGTCGATCTTGCCAACCGAAGACGTGGCTGTGCTGGGGCAACAATGATCTCTTTCACGATCAACAGTTTATCTTCCCATCAGACTTCGGATACAATCATATAAAGTCGGTCACCATGCGCCATTTTACTTCTATCCGAAGTTCAGCTTTATCATTTGATCCGATACAGCGCCACTGCCAGCATAATCACAGGTAAGGATACTGTTACTAACGTTAAACCTCTTACTAGTGTGGGTTGGGAGATCACGATAAGCGTACTACATGACACCGAGTATGTTGCATGTACAATTGTACATCTCTCATCGTGTATATATGCAGGTATGGCTTGGTGCCAACAAGTACTGACACGGTTTAAGCCAAGGAAGCGTACCTCTATCTGGCATGTACCACACTATTTTGAGGTCGGGGAACTTCAATGACCGATTACTGTGACAAGAATGCAGGGACTCGATTGTATGTTACCTCTAGCTTTTTCCCATACGCGGGTTAAATAGGAATATTTATATACCAACAAAGACGCTTTCCTAATTCGTCAGCTCTTCCCCTGTTCATTTCGCTAGCAAATTAAATCTTATATTTTCTTCTTCTTCTCCAGATACTTGTCTCGCTTGATCGTCTTTTTCCACCAACTACCCTTTTTTCTATCTTTGCCAACGCTCATTATCTACATTCTTTTGTTACTTTCTTATCATGTCTCCCGTTTTCCTGTCTTCCAGCTCGAGTATCATATCCACGCCGTTCTCTCTGTCCTTGCAGGTCATCCCGCCCACTCTTTTGCTGATTCTGTCGCTAGTGTCCGCCGTCCTTCTAGCTCGTTCATCTCCTTTTAGCCGAAACAAACTTGTCCTAAATATTCTCTTGGCACTCAATACTGTCCTACCCGCCATCGCTAGCGGACTTGGCCTCGGAGCGTCGCTCAACCATGTCCAGCTCCTTCAGCGCCTTTGGAATGTCTTTTTGGCCTTGCATGCATGTCTCTGTAAGTATCGATTCCACAGTTTAAACCCGCTTCATGCGCTAATATTTTATAAAGTATCTTTGAGTTCGCTGTACGTATTGTTCGTGGCCACCACGCCAGATTCTCTGGTTCCCCACCGCGCCTTCCGCTTCCTAGCGGTCTTGGTGACAACATTTCTCATATGCGGTGAGTATTTCTACTCATCTCTTTCGTCAAGTTTTGAACGCCATCATAGCAACAATCGCTGGCTCAATTGCAAGCACTCCCACTTTGCTTTCACCAACATTCTCTCTTATCTCACGAAGTCTTCAACTCCCCCTCGCTATTGGAATCTTCCTTGATATACGCTCCGCTATCGCCGTTGCAGCTCCATTCACCAAGATATCCGAGAAAGTTCCAGCAGGTCCCGAGAGCTCAGCTCGCCCGACCATCGGTCAGAATAAATCTAGACGGGTCAGCTCACCCACTCCTGACACCTGGCCTTTCCCAGCCTCATTGGTGCATACTCAGTCGACATGCGACCGCTCGTCCGCCAAAAGTGCAAAAACTGTCGTAAATTTACCACCATCACTCACCCTCACTCACTCAGGGCAAGAAAACAGTGAGATACCTGAGGGAAGGGCGGCAATAAGCTGGCATTACAAGGAGATGCGTCTTCCCGTTACCATGTTAGCCGCGCAGGCAGCTGCTATAGTATGCGCAGCATTGAAAATCGCTTTAGCAATCGTTGCAAAGAATTCTCCATCCTGGGCCGCTTTGCAAGCCCCAGATTCAGTGACAGCATCGCAACCGTCGCAAAATTCTGACGTAACAGTTGCCGCTGGACTTGTTATCGCTCACTCCGTCTGTTCGCTGTTCTGGGCGATGGGAGTGGTCACTACCCTTTATTGTAAGCATATATCGCACTTTCGAACGACAGCCAGTCCAAGACATTCAACTTATTATTTGTTTTCAGTACTTCCGTCTGTCGTTAAGTCGACCCTGCCGACCCTGCCAACTTCTGTCAATCATACAGCGGACTCCTCGGTACCGAAAGCTATGGAATTTCCCAACCGTCGCATCGCAAAGCACTCCCTTTCGCGGGGCATGTCTTCGGACTCGGCCTCCGATTTTCTCTCCATGAGGGATCCTTTTGCTTCCCCGCCTCCCCCGCCTCCTCCCACCATCGCCCTTGGAATTGCTGATTTGAATCATGTGCAATTTAGGGACGTAGCCGCCCAATATCGTTTTCCCGCGCCCAAAGCTAGGAAGGCTAAAGGAAGATGCAAGAGACGAATGGGATTGAGGGTGAGAGCGTTGGAACACCAAGCCTCAGCACAGGCTTTGATCCCTTCTCGTCCCCCTCCGGCTCACATCAATGAGGGAGAACGTGGCCTTGGAGATGAGGTCCTAATGGCACAACTTCTTCTGCAGTCTCTGACAGCAGGTACTGAAGCGGAAGCGGAATCCAGCAGCTCAACGAGAGCAGCAGCAACGAACCATGTGTTACCTTTTCCTGAACCTACTGTGCAGGTCGAGAGGCTGGGGTCAAGGTGGAGTACTAGCACAACGGCTCTGTCGGCATCGACAGGCACTGTTTGGAGCGAAAAGAGATCACGGGCTTCTTCTAGCACTTCAGCCTCCGCGCCTGCAGGTGGGAGTAAAAGTTCGGATGCGAGAAAATCATCCGCTACGGGGTTCTCGGCTTCCTCCGTCCCACCTAACTAAGACAGCATGACCCTTTACACGCATTACTCCCTTGACGGCTTCTCATCGTCCCTTACGGTTCTTAACTCCTTTTGTGTTGACTCGACATCCATCCAATTCTCCGCGTTTAGCAGCCACACGGTCGTCACTGTCCTTACTCGTCGTCGTTGTATTTTGATCGCCCTCACTCTTTGATAAGGTCTCGTCAGTCGCACTCGATCCTCTAATCGACTTTTGCATGGTATCACCTCAAATACATCGCACCCGGTGTTGTACTCCACATCTTTCAGTTTCCTCTTATACTGCTACTTTATTCTATGTATCACTGTACCCTTTGACGGTAGTACTATAGTGTGGTCGGGTTCCCCGCATGTTTTGACTTCGTATGTTTATATTTTTCATATTTTAACGCACGGTTTTTTTCGCTTATCGTTACAAGTGTTCTCGGGATGTAGCTGTTGGGTAGTGTACAGTTGTACTGAGAAAGTCGAATCGCAGATTTCAGCCACTTGATTAGTGTCAATGTGGTGTTGCATGAGCTTCCATACGTCTATCGAAAGATTCCGGTTAAGCTTCGTCAGCACCGTCTCGGTGAAATTTTTTGAAAAATTTGACCGCCCAATAAAAGTATTATCTTTGCATTTTGTACTACATTCAAAGCACTCGTAAATATCGGTAACCCCATGAGTGAGGCCAGCTAGTGCCCGTTTTCCCACCGAAGAAGCGATAGCCTCGTAATTGTTATCTGATACTGGCCGTATGCCGTCAATTTTTTTAGGGTTTGAACACTTTAACCTCTGGCACATTGTAGAGGGCCCAGAATTCATTTGCAGTGTTCAATGATATATAGTTTTAGAGTACGACGGTTTTGAATTCTCGACAAGAGGGCAGAGGAGACGAGACCCTCGCGCGCGCGCTTTGCTTCGTGAGCGCTTTTATGAGTTTGTATGTACGCTTCCTTGGCTTGATCAAACGGCAGAGTTGATCTGATAGGAAAGCTAGCTAGTGAACTAGTGAAAATTATTACACATGTCACGAGAATAAAAACCCTGACAGTTTTCGTAATAAGGTAAACTACAACATTTTCTGCGGAAGCCGAACTGTTAGATCATTTTTTGATTCCGCGGTTTCCTCCGTACACAAGCCGTCGTCTCAGGTGCACAGAGGGATTGCCGGTGGTACAGAAGATTTGGACTGGCTTGAATTGAACGTGCGACGCTCCTCGAAGAATTATAGCTTTGATTGTGTGCCGTGGGTGTATGAGCGCGTTGAACATTATGTACTTCATAGACAGGCGGCAAGGCTGTGTCGCGTAGGCGCGCTACTTCCATAAATAGATTTCTATTGACCCGTGGAGTGTCCATGATGATCTGTCAATGTCATGGACGTCTTAACGCTAACGAAAGCAATGATGCGGAGGACACTGGGCGAGCGCTCCTCGAAGAATAGCTTTAAATGTGTGCCATGAGTTTTCCTACGTGTATGAGCGCGTTGAACATTATGTACTTCATAGACAGGCGGCAAGGCTGTGCAGCTCGTAGGCGCGCTACTGCCACAAATAGGTTTCTATAGACGCGTCTGACCCGTGGAGTGTTCTTCTGAAAAGCGGGATCATGATGATCTGTCAATGTCATGGACGTCTGAACGCTAAGATGCGGACCGTGGAGTGTTTTCTGCAAGGGTGGCCATCTGTCAATGTCATGAACGTGGACTTCTTACCTTCCTTGTACAGCATATATATAGAGGGGATTCGGATCATTTGAATATCAGTGTCAAGATCATACATCATTCGAGAAACGGAACGTACCGATATTATAGCCGTCACGGTGTGGAGTGAGTCGCGGAGAACTGCCGGGGTATCCGATGCGGTGGTAGAGTCTTTGGAAATGAGATCTGAACTGAGGGTTAAATGCTACGGTGCGATTAATCATTAGACGCATGGTTACGCGTTATGATGCATGGCCGTGGCAGAATTGCTATTGAGACGAGTATCTGGCATACTAAGTATCGACGAGTCACCCGGGCTAGCTTTTGTCAATGAGCTTAGAACCGAGCCTGCACGACAGGATATGCTTACAATTTTATTTTCCACGTCACACGTCATCAATGAGAAAACTTGGGCATCTCCAGTAGGCCTTAAGTCGGGCTTCTGAGCCCGTCGAGTTGTCGACCATTCACACTCGTGACTCGGGGAATGACCGGCGGGAAAATATTAACATATATCGTAATATAGCATGGCATTTTACCTAGTATTGTTTTTGCTCCCAAACAAAGCTTATTTTGATGATATTTCGAAATTAGAACCCCGACAATACTTCTAGCATACATGCTTGGCTACCTATGTAATAATCCACCAACGTTACTTGTTCTTTCTTCCCTTCTCTTTCTTTCTCTCCGAAGGCCTCCATCCTTCGTCGTCTTAGCTACGACCCTGCCGCTCATTTGGCCTCACTACTCTCCTGACAGCAGGCGTAGTAGACTGCCACAATGCTCTACTTGACGTCCGATGACTTTCCAATCTGTACGTGTCTTCGGTTTACACTACTTTGACTGTTCGTGCTAACCTCATGTACAGTCGTACCATTCGGAGTCATCGGGTATGTCGTCTTTTTTCTGTTTCTTTTTCTTGAAACAAGCTGACGACTTTTCAGCTTCTACCGCTATCTGTGGTACTTGATTCGTATCATTGCCTCCGTCACCTACCGCCCCGTTCCTCTCCCCGAGAATCCCACTTATGTGGCTTCAGAAGATGTCACTATCATCGTACCCACCATCGACGCTGGTGAAGAATTCAAGGAAGCAGCCAACAGTTGGCTTGCTGGCAAACCGAAAGAGATCATCATCATCACCGAAGAAAAAATGCTCATTCCTCTCCAAGAACTTGCCAACGCCGTTGACCCGGAGCGTATTCGCGTCCTCACCGTTCCTTTCGCGAATAAGCGGTTGCAGATGGCACACGGTATTAGGAATACCACGACAGACATCATTGTCTTTGCAGACGACGATGCTATTTGGCCACCAACGCTTTTGCCATATGTGCTCGCATGTTTCGAAGACCAGAAGGTTGGAGGTGTGGGTACGAGTCAACGTGTCCAACCAGTGGGCAAACGCATGACTGTTTGGGAGGTCCTCGCGGCATTCCGTCTGACGATTCGTAACATCGAGATTAGCTCCAGCACACATATCGATGGTGGTCTTCCATGTCTTTCGGGCCGTACAGCTGCCTACCGAACAGTCATCCTCAAAGACCCAGAGTTCCTGCACGGTTTCACGCACGACTACTGGCTGGGCAAGTACCAGCTCAACTCGGGCGATGACAAATTCTTGACGAGGTGGATGGTGAGCCATGGATGGAGTACTTATGTTCAGTGTTGCAAAGAGGCAGAGTTGTTGAGTACGATGAAGCCGAACTGGAGATTCTTGAAACAAGTGTTACGATGGACCCGAAATACCTGGAGAAGTGATTTGAGGTCATTATTCATGGAACGGTATATTTGGACTACACATCCATATGTCGCTTATACTATGGTCAGTTGACGTCGGTGACATCATCCTGTCAGTCTTATTTATTTTTATCTCGTTCCAGGTCGACAAGCTCTTCAACCCCTTTACGCTGTTAGTGGGGCCCTGCCTCGTCGGTTATCTTGTTTGGAAAAGTACCATTGCTGTTATAGACGGAGGATACCATCTACCTTGGTGGAATATTATCCTCTCATACATGGTTTGGCTTATGGCAACTCGTACCGCCAAGCTCCTCCCGCATCTCTGGCACACGCCCAGCCACATCATCTATGTCCCTGCGTTCATCCTCTTCGGTTACTATTTCGCGATTATGAAACTGTATGCCCTCTTCACGCTCCATGAGACTGGATGGGGAACTCGTGCAGGCATTGGCGACCCGACGAAAGCAACGGCTGCCACGGACGGTGGGGGTGTCGGCGTCAATGTAGTACAAGAAAAGGCCTATTCTGATCCGTCTAATCCGTCGACGCCGTGCTCAAGCCATCAGTTATTGTATCAACAACAACCAGGACAGACGCAAACTGCTTATTCCCCATAAGCAGTATTCGGTGGGCAGGATGCAGACGGGCATCAATAGTCATGAATGCTATGAGATCATGATGCATGGATACTTGCAGCACAGACATTTTCATATACCGGCCCGACCACTGTAAAGGCGTCACATTATGGTAGATTCGCTTTTTCGAGTAGTGAACCTCATTGCATCCCACCCTCGTATTCCCCGCAAACGATGACGCGACTAACGTATATCATAACTGCGATCCTCGTACATACCACACACATTACCTTTCTGTCGTTATTCCACGGGATTTCCTTACTCTATTTTGGACTAGCAGGTCATAATACTCACAAAGCGCTCCTACACTGCAGATAGATGCGTCATTCACTGCATACACATTGGTTTTCTGATACCGGTCGTTTGTATTGACATACTTTCATGCTGAGCCCATCGTGTTATCATTGATAATATTCTCGCAGCTTGGATGTCTCGATCCTTTTTGTGTATAATTATTCACCGATGCCTCATACATTGCATATCATACCTGCAATTCGCAGAATATACACTTATCAGTTAAGATAGCTTGACCAGTTCAGCGCTTGTCTTTTTAAAGAGCCTCCTAAGTAGCAAGATGAAATCCTTTTATAAATACCAAGTTCATAGAGAACAATGTCTACCTCTGCCGGACAAGGTCAAGTACCGGAGGAGGTACTCTATCCCTGCATCCTGAATTCGAAGAGATGCTCCATTATTCTGCACGGTATTACCATACTGCAGAGGAGTAAGTACGTCATCCCGAACAGGTCCCCGCTTACGCTTCCATCATGAAGAACTCCGGAAATATAGCCGGTCCAATTATATTCCCCAGTGATGTACATATTTGTTCACGAGGCTGCCAGTGATGCCATCGATGGAGCTTTGGAGCTTCGCGATGCCAGTGATCGGAGAATATGTGGAGATAGAGCTCGAGACTGCAGGTGGGTTGTATTGTACTGCCTCAATTGAAGTTCATGTCCAACGGCGTAAAGGTCAAAGCTACCGAACACTACTAGGACAAACGGACATATGTTACCTCGTTCGGAACCCACATTGTTTCCAAAAATAGGTCCACCGAGCTCGTTTCCGGTTGGATACTGCGATCACCGGCATTTGTGAGACCGGTTATGCGGTGAATTGGTTGTTGATGTGGACAAGGATGAGGATCACTTTGATGTAGTTGACGATGGTGCACGACCTCGGGATTGGTGGGGTCATCCCCGAAGGTGTATGCAGAGCCTATCTCGGGTCACCGTATCGAGTCTTCTGCGCCACTGGCCCAGTCTTACATAGTGGCCTCGTGGCCTTGTCCGCGTCAGCAGCACGGAACACATCCGGTGCAAGTAATTCTGTTTAAACAGATTTTAACCGCTTTCCTAAATAACAGACTGAATTGAACTCCTATGAGGAGCCACACATTGGGATCGACGAAGACATGTTCAGACTGTACTGACCCTGCATCGACTGATTTGAGCAGAGACTAACTAGTAAGTAATAAAAGGGTCGCGTGGCATGCGAAAGCAGGCGAGCTACTACTTCATTACATAATCATTAACATTCCTGATCCAACCTCTTTGCTAGTACTTGGCTACAGTTGACGCAAGGGAAGCAAAACAGAATTGTCGCGTGCGGCACGCGATCGATAAGCCTTTCCCAAGTGACACTGCAGGTGTTAGTCAGAAAGCTTGTTGCAATGGTTATTCAACAGACTTTTTCACTAAGGCCCTGTTAGCTGTCCAGATCTTTACAGCCGGTATGTTTTTCATGTTCTCGAAGCACGTATCTCACAGCGTTCCAGATATAAGGCAGCACACCAGACTGATATGACAAGGCTTGTATTGTGTATCCCCAGATAACGTCTTCGTCATATTTAGTTGTATAATGATCTTACCACTGTGGCGCTTCATTGATTGGAGAAGACCGCCGTTGCTCTTGCAGCCTGCCATATACATCCTCGTCCCTCGATCAAACATCCCTTTTCAAGGACGCACAGTATGGGTTGAGAGTGCTGCTACAGAGCTGCTCAAAGATTCAGAGTTCCCGCGTGATGGATTCGAATCAAATGTATGTGTTCCCTCATAATTCATGTTTGCATGACAGTACAATGGTATTACAGGGGAAAACGCGAAAATTTGCCAAACCCTGCCTCGCGAGGCTGTTGTTGTGTTCTTTTACACCGGCCCTTATTGAGTCGCTCGGCGACGTCTAGAAAACAAGTACCCTTGCCGTGCTTAGCCTTGATTGCTGTCGTAGTATTCATTTTATGATGTTTAACATCCCGATAAACTGATTTAATTGCGTCCTTGACTGTCCTTTCAATGAATGGCAACGGCAAGTGGTACCCAAAATTATTCGCTAGGGAGTACGGCTCTATCTATGCCTGCCTACTAAAGTTGCCCAAGTGGATTATGGAAAATCCCCGTCATGGACCCCAGCCTGTCGAACAATTCGAATCATAGGCTCAGGTCGGATGGTAGGGACCTGTATCTTTCAAAGAATCCACGACTGATTATTTCAACCAGGGCGGCGTCGTGCATTGTCGATCACGTATACAATATGCCTACCGTCGTGAAGGTACTACTAAGTCTCAAATATCATAGTACATGTTTCATGTCCTATCAGGTACACTGTTGAACATTTCCCATTCGACAATCGTGCTGGGGGTTACATCGTGTTTGCCTCCTCGTTGTCTGTTTGAAGATTCACCAGCTGACATCGAATTTGACCCTCAGTCTACAATGGAGGGGACCGTGCATGGTTCTGAGCGCGAATGCAGTTTGTTGCGAGTTTCACTCAGTTCTCATGCACGTATTATCCGAGCCACATCTTCAACGGGAGATTGTTTTCGATAATCATGAACCTTGATAACCGCCATCTTTGCCTGATATTACCGGCTCAGGGTCCAATATAACTAAAGTGTGCATTTACGAACGCAAACCTGAGCTAGTCAAGCACTTCAGAACGAGCCTCGACCAACTCGGCTTTTTAGATCGTACTTGAGCGTTACCTTAGTGTTACCTCATTCTGGAAACCAATCGAGGCCTCGAGTTGGCGAGTATGCCATCTCAGTTATGTATTAAAGGCAGAGGGCAACTCTCAATTTGAAAGCAATCAGCATTACACATCCCTACTTTCTATCCATCTATCATGTCCGATTCGCCCACTTCACCCAATGGCATTATCGAAATCTTGGCCATAATCGTGGACTCAGCGACCCTGCTTAAAAAGACTATAGACGTATGTACACGCTTTTTCAGTCTTCAACCCCGAGCATGATCAAATGATGTCCTCGTCACAACTCGTAGACTATACAGGAAATCATCCCTGGGGCAGACGATGATCTCAAGGAAAAGTTCCACTGGATCAACTGCTCCCTCAAGAATGCCACCCAATTCCACTACTCAGTTGTAGACAACTATTTTAACTGAGGCCGCCACTAGAAAGCACCGGGAGGCGATGGACCGTTCTCTTCAACGACGTTCTCTTGCTGCAATGGTGATGGTGCCGTCACAGGCGCGACAGGGGGCATAGCGTTCAGTCTGTGGCTTGACTCTAAACATTCATTCGACTTCGCAGTGGTGGGTGCTAAGCATTCCTTGAAGTCTGAACAAAGAGATTTATTGTTTGTTTGTTCGGTACAGGGCTGGACGGACCCGCTCTTAGGGTCAATGAAAGCTGGAGTCGTAGAATCCGCTGTTGCTGAGGCTGGCTACAATGCGGCCTCCAGAGAAGGAGGGCATATTCGGTCCAAGAGCTCCTATATGTGAAAGGACGAGAAAGGCGTCCCTGCGGAGTTCTATATTCAGATCTCAGCTTCACCGGGCAAGGACCCTATGTCATTTGTAGTGCAGCAGGTTCCGGTTGGTGATGAGAAAAGCGACGAGGACAGTACGCCGCAGGGGGAGAAATAATGGCTGAGTAATTAGTGACCTTTCTCGATGGAATGTAGGCGGACCAAATATGATAGTCATTCCTTCTAGCTTCGACGGCATAGTGCCTGTCCGTCGAGCTTCACGTGCAGGTCAACTCTCATCTTCCATGACCGATGCGAGTGAGGCAACAAGAGAGTGTGTCACGGTAAATTCTGGAACGGCATTGCTTGCAGAAAGATTACTGTACTTATGTGAGCAAAATTCTACCCATTTTTTGACTCCGCAAACGCCGAAGGCAGCGCCGCGGGCTTTGATTAAAATTTCGACGTTCAACGTTGCAACCTGGCCGCGAACACATATGTAGAGACCCCGCCTCTTTGTATTATGCTTGGTGCGCGAATGCAAACACTTGACAGTACTTATTATTCATTCATTGTGAACCTTGATTCATTGCCGTGCTTTGGTGTTGCCACAGGTAAGTACATCATAGATCCATGTATCCAACCCTCGATGTCACTGATCTGCGATGGACCTACACTGGAATTCCGGAGCCAAGACAGCGACTGCAACAGTCGAGCTTCTCGAACGACAGAATATTAACATCAAAACCCATGGGAAACACCTAACAATATCTGGGCATTTGAAGCGCTCGGAGAACCACAAAAGGGCGGATATACAGTACAGGAACATTTGTATGGCAAGTCTTCTAGATCATGGTGATTGCATCATCCAGGCTGAGTATTTCCATGCAAAGATAGAGGATGGAATGATTACCGCGCGCTTCATCGCGTGAAGATGTGGTGCTATCTGCATGTTGCGACATGTGACTGCTTTGGATTTGTATCTTTGGCACCCTGCGAAGGTGGAATAAGGATTCTAAAGCAACCATGTGTCTATACGATGGCTATACATGTGCAAGCATCCGACTACGATGCGACTTTCGTAACCTGCCTCTGAATTTGTTGAGTATGATGAAGTGACAATGGCGTTCTTGTTTTATCTGATGGATCTCGCCTTTAGCTCGCAACCCTGCTCAAGTCGGCACTGCAAAACATCACTGAAATACAATGGCCACTGACCGAGGCTGTACAATTAGAAATCGGGCTTTTTTACCCGTTACAGGCTTCTCATCTCCCATGTGCGAGTTCTGGTTTGACCTAGTATGTATGGTGTCTTGTGATTAATGACACAGCATGAACGGTCATGATGTATTCACCAGTGCAATGCATCACCGTCGCGTCGAGTGCACGATCGGATCCACTGAATAGAGTGCGCTGTTGTGTTTGTTCTCTGACTTTTACATACTACAGAATGCGACCTTGTTACAGAAAGCAATCGGGGGAGCTAACAGCAAGTCTCGAACTTGACCAACAAAGCTAAAAACACACACATGCTCATTGCGATCGCATCATGCTTATACCTGTGTTAGATCGATGGCCACATGGTCACCTTTCATACAGAACACCTCGAAAATAGCATTGGACGATATCACTAACGACTGGAACTTTTCTGGTATCCGAGTAGTCGCATGCGTAATAGTGATTTGGAAATCATACTTAATTACCGGCTTTTGGTTTGATTTCGCACCTTGAGGTGTGATCAAATATCCATCTCCAGCATGCTGATTTTGGTGATACGAGGGGTGAACGGTGGTATATCTTGCACGAACGTTGTCATTATACACCACTAACCTTCCCCACTCGCTCACCCATCACTCGAACATGACCTACATCTCAAATGATCCCAGTTGGTGGCCGATAATCAATCTCAATATTTTTTTCAGCTATTTGGGAGGTTTGTTATGACAGGATGTCTAGATCTAACGTTGACATGCAGTTTCACAGTTGCTGCGGGCGTCGTGGTCGTATACGATTGGGGTGAGCAAGACAGTATTCGAAAATCACTGATATTCTCATGATATTTCTAGTCTTAACACTCGGACAAGAGGTACGTCGATGTTATCGCCATAGCAGCCAACTCGCTAAGAATGGAGTCATAGATTGAACTCATCTGGGTGAGTGACAAGAGTCCCGTATCAGAAGAAAACAAGAGCATGCAGTGAATTCGCGGCAGAGACAACGGTGGTCTCTCATGACCGTGCTGTATTTGATTGTTCGTACCTCATGTTGTGCTCTAGCGTGGTGGGCAACTTGTGCTGACTCCATGATGTTATAGATACGCTATATTGGAATACCGTATTCTGTGTATGTGTCGAGATCAACGACCTTTGCACTGTGCTAATAGCTCATCTCTGGCAACTAGTACCAGTGTTCTGCGTATGTCTCATATGCGCTGTGTTTTATTTTCTGACCGGCGGGACACAGGAGGTAGTATGCCATCGGTATCGCTGACAGATGCAGTAAGTATTCTGCAACCATCTCATTCTCATCCAATCAATACGCTCATATGTAGGGGTGAGTGAGATTCCAACCATTGAACTTGCCTCAACATAATGACTCAAATTTCAATAGGTGTAAGTCGGAGTCTTTGATACTAGTGCGAGGGCGTTCACCAATTGGGAGTTTTAGGCAATATCACGTTCTACGTAATAAATGGTACAGCTGTGGCCTTGACTGTCATGTTGGGCGGTAAGTCACGCAGGTGCAATACCTCTGTGATATGGACTTGACTGACACACGATGCAAGTCATCATGATTGCTCGGTTGCATGCCATGTATCAGGGATCTAGAAAGATGCTTATGTTCCTTCTTATTATCTTCCTGGCTGTAAACATCGCCTGCGCAGTAATCACGGCAATAGGACTCAACGATACTGTAACAGGTAAGCTTTACTTGTCGACTTGGAGAACACGGCTCATTGGACAGACACCAGATGAGATTATACTCTCTGGCATGCATATGTGCGGTTATGTATATGGAGGGGATGGCCGGCTTCTGCATTCAATGGTTTGGATGCTCAGCACTGTTTGGGAGGTCCTCGCACTGTGCCTTTCAGGCTGGGTTGCTTTGAAACACTTCCGTGAACTGCGACGACTCGGCCCATCGACAGGATCGACCATCGGGGACTGTTTCAGAGTGCTCATACAATCTCACGTTCTTTATTTTGCAAGGTGAGCTTGTAATGTGAACGCGGTTATATCTTTCTGATCAAGTTTCGCACATCTTAGCTTTCTTGGTGTCTCTTGCCTCCAGCTTGCTGATCTCTCTCCAGAAATCTCGGTGCGCTGACTTGTTGCTGATATCTGCGCGTAACCACTGCTCATCATTTCTGTAGAATTCAAGTTCTATAGGAACTCTGATAATCGAAGGTGCTCTTCAAATTTTATCGTACGTGCAGATGTTTGTGCTAGGACCACGCCTCATCCTCAGCGTTCGAGAATACCACGCCAAACTCGTGGCATGCTCTGACGCAGAAACTAGCATGAATTCGATTGTTTTCCAGGAGCATGTACATGTATCAACTAGCAGTACTGTGTAGGGCAATGCTTGCCGATTGGTCTGCAGAGAGGAGAAATTTGATCGAGGATCTGTCGTGATATTTATTTAACATATGGGGTTTCGAAGTATATTTGAAGGATCCAGGCAAAACTATTTCTTGTTGTATCATTACTGGAACGAAGTGCCCGCGCTTGAACCAAGTGGTAAAGTGAAATTATGCGGAACGACTAGCAACCAGAATGATCCTTGATGGCCCATGTTAAGATACAGCGAGAATCAGTGAAATTATGCGGAACGACTAGCAACCAGAATGATCCTTGATGGCCGATGTTAAGATACAGCGAGAATCAGTAAAAGTGCCTTGACAGCTGATTCTGCGCGTTCAAGTGTTCCACTGTCTGGACATATAGATACTGCGAATCATGAAGCCGGATAGCTGATAACTCATCGATGCTCGAATGCGGTTTCCTCCATGCGATGGGCCATGGAGAATGAAATGAGTGGATCACGTAGACTCGTGGCTCGACTGCACGTCTCTCGCGAATGAGCATGACAACAATATGGGGTCTGCTGAGTGCCGCTACTGAAAAGCACCGGAAGGCGATAAACCGTTCTCTTCGACGACGTTCACTTGCTGCAATGGCGATGGTGTCGTCAGAGGCGTGACAGGAACACAGCGTTCAGCCTACGGTGGCTTGACTCTAAACAATCATTCAACTTCGCAGTGGTGGGTACTAAACATTCTTGTCAAGTCTAAACAAAAGGATTCATTATTTGTTTGTTCGGTACAGGGCTGGACGGACCCTAAGGGTCAAAGCCACCGAACGCTAGGACAAATGGACATACCGCAATTTGTTTGAAGTCGTCGACGATGGTCTGATTGGTGTAGAAACATTAGAAGTGTGTAAATTACAACCGACGATGCCAAATGAATCTTCTGCAGGGTATTTGCATAATTGAGGACGAAGCAACTGGGAGGCTGCAAGGATACTTTACATCGATCGCCGAGTGCTGACGCTGACAGCGACCACTAGTATCAGTGTACATTCTGAGGTGTCATATGTCACAGGTCACACCTGTCTTCGAAGCTTAAGGTTTGGACAACACCTGGACCACGTCAAAGGTAAGTGCGTATCTCTACATTAATATTCGATGATTTATCTCAGCGGCTGGTCACTGGTGCACTAAGCACTTTGCGTATTGCTACTAGTAGTAACGCATTGAGACTAATTCATCACGTGCGTATAACATTTTTAATACATGATGAAGTCTCACGAAATTCTTGTTAGCAGCGTACTCTCGAAGAAACTGCTGCGCATGTCATAGTGATATCTATATCATGACTGTGATATTCTCAGAATATGGTCAGGAAAACGTCATGGTGGCTAACCTTAGTGACTAAGCTTCACAACCAAGCTGCCGCACATGCCACATGCAGACATCGAACATATGCCGGATATCGATCATCGATGATGATCGATAAGCCATTTGGCACGTCGATGCGCACCGAGTCACACGTAATCCCCAAACTATCTGTACCCCAAAGTCGAGCCTCTTCTGGACCCTAAGGCCTAACTTCTCGGACCGTCTGACAAATTTCGTTCAAACTCACTGACTCCTTAAAGTCAAGTGAAGTTTGAATCACGCAACTTATTCCAAGTCTCTGCAAGGATTCAATATTCTCTACGCGCCGACCATGCTTCACAAATGGAGACGCTCGAACGGATCATATGTTCGAACCGAATTACGTGAATACATTCCATTCATTTCTCTCTTTTACATCTCCTTTCTCTCTTTTTCGTTATCTCACCTTGTGCTCAAACTTCACGATACCCTTACTTCACCGAAGTATTTTCACCTCGCCATATGCTCTTTATCCTCGTTCCGGCCTAGTCAAGTATTCAAAAATGTATATATACCCGCTCATGTACACTCATACCTACAGCGAATCCTACAGTGAGATCCCCGCTCCAAGAACGATCGAAAGCTCCTCCAAAAGTCCTCGTCTCTAGTCCTTGTTCTATCTTTCTTCGTTTTACCTGCTGACACGTCTCATTTCTACCCCATTTCGTTCACAATTCCCTGTCGAACTCAAAACAAGTCTTACATCTCACTCAATATTCTACACCAGCATCATCGTCTCGTTACTAGCCACTCATGATTCTGGGTCAATTATCTGCTTCGGTATTCATCGACAACCAGCCACTGCCGGAATATAAAGAACATGAGCCCGAGGTGCAGCCTGAGGGAGAGAATATAAAGATGTGTTGGATTGCCTCAGAAGCGGGCAAGGTATGGCATTGATCATACTTGTGTACTACTAGTAATGAATACCCCCACAAGGAAATCGAAATCAGAGGGGAGATTTTAAAGCCACAGCGCTTAGGTATCTGGTCATCCGCCTTTGTGGATGGTCTCAAATGTCCCCCATGGGTCTCGCCCCCGCACTGGACAGGTACAGTCGAATTCGACTGCATATCTGATGGAACAGATACCGGAAAGTTGGTCTTCAAAGACATCGACTTCACAGGTAAGTACATAAACTGTGTCCAGAACTTACTTCTAACTAATAATACTGCACTTCAGACAGTGACGACGACTCAATGCTTGACGATCGTTCCAGCGGCATTGGTCAAATTGTGTTGCGCTTGAAGAGAGGGAAGTTCATCAAGGTAAAGTCGGTCAGGAAAGCAAGGCCCGAGTCAGTCAGGAGAGTAAGATTGACCAGGAATGCAAAGTTGACTGGGTTGGCGAGATCTAAAGATGTTGATGGTCACACTCTTCATGTGCACGAAGGCAAGGTGCATGAACGCTCGAAGAAGGGTCGCGATCATCGAGTTGGGTACGTATTATTTTGTTGGATGCCTCATTTTCTATAATTGTTATCTTGTTAAGTTTGGGAAGAAGAGTACCGGATCAAGAAGAACAGACAACATACGAAACTATTTGGAACGACGAGCCTGCAACCGTGTTCATATTCAACTTTACTTCTTTGGGTGGGTCATGGTATTTCCTACATGTGTTCCCAACTCACACCAATCTCGGATTCCAGACAACCTGCAAGCAATGGACATAGCACCGCGAATGTCAAATCTGCCTATCCCAGTTGATGGGGATAGTGCCAATATTTCGATCGACACACGCATCAAGGAGTTAGAAGTGAGTTTTTGTTTTGGTGGTATCATTTCATTCAACTTATTTCTTTGAAGTTGGAGCTCCACCTCTTACATGTTAAACAAACGACTGGCTCTACAGACCAAAGGCCCTCACCTGTCAAGTCGGAACAGTAAACCCATTTTTCCAGTAGAATCTCTTCCATCCCGCTACGTGTAAAAATAACTAGTGAGCTTAATCTTGCATCCCTGTAGGAAGTGCCACTCGATGTAATCCCCTTTGTACTACTTCTCGCAAATTCAGCTGTCTATCTTCATTCGATTTAGTGTAGTGAACAGAGTAAACCCGCTAGTGCGACACCAATCATTCGTGCCAACGAACTCTCAGAGGTACCCTAATACTATCCTCTCCAACAACTTGTGGACGGGGTAAATCTCCCCTTGCAATTTCGACTGAAATATCCAGTCCATCCCGCATCTCAAATACGAAGTTCTTTACCAGAACCGATAGAACCATCTGCATCGCAGTGAGCAACCGGCTGATTCGCACCACTCACCTTGAATTCCACGATCGCAAAATCTTTTCCAAGACACGTCCTCGGGTCGTCAACGATTAATGTCAGCGGATGCCTCACCGATACCGTCTTTGGACCAACGGTCAGGCTTGAATTCCTTTTCGTGAGATCCCCAGATGGCCGAAGAGCGAATGATTGCCGCATGCCTGATATATAATCAATGTTCCTTTCGCTATAGATATACTGTCTGTGATTTTTCCCGGACACTGTGCGCACCAGGTTCGCTCAAAGGAATGACATCATCTGCCGCTGCTTGTAGACCTATTGTTGTATCTGTTCACATGCGGGCATACACACTCACGAGACGAGTGAATTCCAACACTAGAGGATGGAATTGTAGAATTTCATGGACAACCGCATGCAAGTATGGGAGGTCAGCCTTTAATTGGTCATATGTCGGATCAACGCCAAACGCAAGCAGTTTCTCTGAGCCTGGGTTGGACATCAGAGCGTCGCGATAGTTCGATCAGCATCTACTGATCATCACAGTGATAGCGTGCACAGACAGTAGGATTACCGTAAGACTAACTGTCGATGAGAAGTCAGCGAGTATGATAGCAGCGGACAAGAAACTGACTCGCTTGGATGTCGTCTCATAACCTGCGAGAAGTCTCCACAGACCTGAGCCCACTACGTGCTTCGACATATGAAGCTCGGCATCCGGACCTTCAGATTTAACTGATAGCTGCGTTAATCAAAGAGATTATGATGAATCTCTCGGAGAACGTACTCAACGATCCAACAATGGACTTCTCCTCTCTCGCTCATATTCACACCCTTCTTCCGGCGGCTACGAATCAATAAGTCGTTAAATATGTGTTTCATGGTTTCTTGAACTGATTCATCTGCCGAGTATGGATCTTGGTGATGATAGGAAATGCTGATGCGAGCAGGATAAAAACCTGGTTCACTGCTGAAGCCCGTTGGTTGCTTCCGAAAGTATCGAACACCTCGGTCAGGCTGGTGCGCTTCCAATCGAGCGAACCAGAATCATGGAAGAAACCAGCAATGCCAACCGCGTCTAGACTGATGTTGCGTCAATTCAAGGTGTCAATGACAAAATATTTTTGCGTACGATATATGATCCATCCTTTGAGTCGTTTCGATTAGGAATGCCACTTGTCAAGCCAGAAAAGCTACGCACTAATTCTGAACCTCGATGGCAGCATTTCCATCTTTGCTCGATTCTATTGCAATGTCCCATATACCTTTGGCCTATAGAGTCAAGTTCAGAAATGCTACATTTCCCACATCGCAAATCCTTACATTGTATGCTGAGTCGTAAAATACTGGTATGAATTTCCGAATCCCTGCATTGCTGAATGCTGGTGCAAGTGCCTTCCGCTGCCTAATTCGCAGGAAGTCGTTTAGTCGCTCGCGTAAGGACAAGAGTTGGAGGGCACCTCCTGTGGGTCCCGCCCTGAGGCCATAACAGCCCTCTTCCGATCCGACAAGAAATATAAAACAGACGAGGGAAGATGATGGCGCTAACATACTGATGTCTCCAGAATTGCCAATGAAAGGAGAATGTTTACGTCTCTCGGGCACAGAAATGCGCTATAGCTCTTGGGTTGCATAGCAAATTTTCAGTCTGTCAGAGGACGTTCGGAATCATATACGCTACCCTGGTCCCTCAGGCTATATTCCGTCGCCCAACATTCATACATTGCAGCACTATCTTGAGATGAGGCAAGGTATTGCGAAACACCATATATGAAGCTGGTACGAGGCGGACCTCGCAGTTGAGTCGTCCTCGATCGCCAGCGAAGCACCCTTAGAAATTTGACAAAAGCCTATAACGCGGCAGATGAACAAGTAACATCGAATGCACCAACCGAACATAAGATTGTCCAGAGACTTAATGGAGACGGCACAGGGATGGTGAATATCTTCAAATCAGCTGGCCAGGACTTTGAACTAAAGCACTCCCCGGCGAGAATGAGAATCCGACGGAATTTAGGGCCAGTGTCTGAATTGAAATTGTCGTGCATTACGAATTCAAGTTGAACCTGAGTAAACGAACGGTTACAAAGAAGTTACAAACCAAATCAACGTGAAGAGCAACAATTATGTAATCTTATGATGCATCGTCCACCCACGTGCGTCCCGCGTGCCAGGGCGCAAACTTTATGGTTGGAGTCAGTTGGACAGTTTTGTTCATGACTTAGCGCCACCAGCAAACGTCTCTCCGCAGTCACCACCGCCCCCAACCGTATCAAATCGTGTAGTATCTGGCTCAGGCGCCAGCGCAGCTTGACATGGACCTCTAATACTCTTCTTCACCTTATCTTTTAACACACCCAAACCCTGCGAAGTCAAACCCCCATCAGATGAGGATCGGGATATTCTAGAGGGAGAAGTGAAGGTTCGCAGTAAGGCCTCCACCTGCGCTTCATCTTCGGCAGGGGTGGTTCTGACAGCCGGCCACGAGCGTACACAAAGCCAGGAAGGGGCATCAGTTGGAGCATTCAGGAGCGCGAGCAAGTCGGTCTCATTGTCTTCCTTCAAGCCTTTAGTATGCAGGTCTCACGTTGAGCCTGCTTGCTTGACATAGTGAGCTGCCTTCGCGAAGTTCGCGTCAACGTTTCAACTCCAGTATGAAGAGGCTGGCTTCCGTGTAAGCTGTGCGTATAACATTCATACTAAGCGGAGTCTCAAGCACGCCGTACGTTTCGGACTCGCATAAATAGCTAGCTCTTTCCTTATCTTTATCCCTCCAGATCTAAATCATGGTTGAAACAGTTACACTCTCTGATGGTGAGTTTTCGTCATCATAGGTCCACGTAGTATCTTATCAACACAAATCGTTTAGGCCACACCATGCCCGCTATTGGGCTTGGTGTCTCCTTGAACAATGAATGCGCGGAAGCTTGCAGGGTTGCCCTTCAAAATGGTTACCGGTAGGTATTGCACATCAATCAAAGTTACAAACTCAGTTGGATTATTAGGATGATCGATGGGGCCCGGTACTACGAGAATGAAGTTCAAGTTGGTGTTGGGGTAGGGAAAAGTGGCGTTAAACGCGAAGACGTCTTTATCAGTGAGGATAAGCTCCTGGACATCAACCTCTCCCATATCTGATCCTCTTTGTTACGGTAGCTTCGAAGGTCTTCCATACGGATTACACCTATGATGGCGCGACGGCTGCTTTGAAAGACTCGATCGCGAACCTTGGATCTTGCAAGTCTTACCTTCCTAATAATATATATGGCTCACAAGACAGGTACTAGCGTATTATGATTTATACCTGACCCACAGCGCTACTGGAGGCAAGGACGCACGTCTTGCCGCCTACAGGGCTCTTTTGGACGGCAAGGCGAGCGGGATGATCAAATCTGTCGGTGTCTCCAATTAGTAAGTATCACCACCCATAGGTACCCTCTCGGCTGACAGTTACACATTTACACAGCTCAGCAAAGCACATAGAAGAGATTCGTGAAGCTGGTCTAGAAATTCCCGTTGTGAACCAAATAGAGGTGAGCAATTCTACAATTGGCTCATACAACCATTGCGAGGAAGCTGAAATTGTCACCAGTTACATCCGTTCTGCCAGCAAAAAGCCATTGTCGAATATTGTAGGAAGAACAACATCGTTGTCCAGGCCTACTCCCCTCTCGTGCGTGGTGCTCTCGATAACCAAGTCATCCAGGAGCTCTCTACAAAGGTGACCACATACTGTATCTGGTTGCGTCATGAAGTTTGACGTGTTGTAGTACTCCAAAGGTCCTGCTCAAATTCTTGTTAGGTGGTCTTTGCAACGAGGGTGAGTGGCACAATTGGTATGTGCCAATATTCTTATTTGGTGCCACCTAGATTTGTGCCTTTACCCAAATCCTCGCAGCCCGAACGTATCATATCCAACGGCCAAGTATTTGGTTGGGAAATTGAACCTACGGACATGGCAAAGCTTGACGCGTTGGACCGCGGGAAGGAGGGCGCAATCACCTGGAATCCAGTCGAGGTCGATTAAGGATTCAGGTCAGCCACCTCAGGGCTGCCTCCTTGATTTAGGCAGCGATGTACTAGTACGAACAAAGAACCCGATTGCTTTGTTCGCGAACATGCAATATAACAACGTTCAAGCACATAACAGAAAAGTACCACAACCGCTACACTGACAACGATAGAAGTCGACAGGAGGTCAACAAGAGGAAAGATGTCTAACGGACGAAAGTACATTGTAACCCCCTCGCAGCAATTAAATATTATTGCCGAAAGTCATGAGTCTCCGGCGAATGTCTGATAGGCGTTGTTTTCTTGTCGAGAGCGATGCTCGTTTCTGAGCAGCGGAAGGGTCTTCGCTGACCAACTCATTTATACGCTCAGAGAAATTGGACCCAGATGCAACATCTGTCAGCAAGCTTGTAAGAAGGCTCTGCGACAGTTGTTCCGCCAAGGCATGGTGGAGAGCATACTCGATCGTCAGAGGAAGCTGTCGGGGAATAAACATGTTGAAACACAGACGATAAGCAACTCTCACCTTGTAATAATTATATAATATAAAGCGGTTGAGTAGGGTTATGTAATGACTGGACATTGAAAATCACCTCAGTAACGTAGTCAGCCAAGATCGTTTATCGTTCACCTTCGTTCACCTGCCAGTGTTGTAATTCAAATCGCTCATTATTTATCAGCCTGTTGGCTGTGATTTGAACCTCCTTTGCCAGTTTCATAGTGTGCACTGTGCAACTGTGTATGTCCACGGCATCAAGCATCCTCCTTGCACTCATCATCTCTGCAAATATCATGAGGTAATACCCAGAATGACTTGGACAGTGCAGCTTTCTACCCCAAGCTCTCAGAAAGATCACGGACACATCTATCGTGCCCTTTTCAACTGAAATTCGGGTAATGTTCAACGAAGAATTTTGAGTCTCAATTCCAGTGCCACCCTGGATCATCACCATCGTCCACAGTTATAAGGTTGCGTTTGCGTTATTCAAGCCCACAGGGTACTCTCACAAGATCGCTATTGAGGCCATGCGTAATGCTATTAACATGGCTGTCATGGCAGACCAAGCCAGACACCAGCTATATAAGTAACACCACGATGTCAGCCCAAAGGACATCAGCCCCTCCATGTAACTATCAGTACCGAACGGTATTGAATTCAAGTGCACGAGGCTTGACTTCAGGAGTTATCTGAAAACTTTGAACGGGGATAACCTCAACTATCGTCGCTGGACCCTCCATTAAAGGTCTGAACTAGGTCTTAGCAAGTTTCTGCTTAATTCTTAATATTACGCTTCGCAGTCCAGATAATGTCCAAGAAATACAGTGATTTAACGATGTTGGATATCTTAAAGGTAGGGCAAGTGTGGAAGGGGAATGATGAAATTGTGCTAAGTTGGAGAGGTGCAAGTAGGGGAAATTGTAGTGCGCAATCTCAGTGTCAGGGAAGAATGGCTGGCATCTACTCAAACCCCTCTACCGCAATATTCCACTTCCAGCGCCCTTCCGCAAAACCATTTGAAGTATCCTCCAATAGTATCTCGTTGCGTTTCGCGACATAGACCTGAAGAGTGAACAAGGATGAGCATGTAATAGTAACACGTATAGAAACAGCGCACCGTCTTATCAGTCACCTTCTGCCGCAAAGTCGAGATTGTTTCTGGATCAATTGGTGATTCAAGCAGCTCCGATAAATCCTCGACCGCTTTTTCCAGATCCCTACAAAAAACGATTAAACAGATCCGTAGAATATGATGGAGCGGAGGTGAAATCCAGATCGAATGTCTTACCTCTGATTATCCTCGAACAGTTCTTTCTCATTTCCCTTGTCCAGATAAAACGCCATTGCGTACGTCCATTTTAGCGTGGCGCGACATCGTTCTGCCTCTTCTACAGCACGCTTCATGAATTGCACCTCAATCCAAGTGAGCGAGGACGTTATTTGCATCTCCTCCATCTTCTTCTCGGTCTTATTGTACATCTCGACAGATAGTTTTGCGGACTGCTCATGATTCGCCCACCGGTTGTAGTAGTGGAGGTAACGCTCCAGGGAAGCACGGGACTTGGACTGCGCATCACGGGCGTCCACACCGGCCTTCTCATCGTAGCGATTGCACGAATACCACGCTGTGCCGTGTTCAGACCAGGGGCCTGTGTGGAACAGAATGTCAGAATAAAACGAGGCGATGTACGAGACACGAACCCATGCACACCCAGCAGAATTCATACTTGCATTTCTTGCAAGTCATGTGGCTGACAAAACAATCAGCATAGTCTCATATTTTCCGAGATGAGACACGCACTTGCAACCACCGTTTTTCTCTATAGTACTCTGGCACTTACTACATTCCTTTGTGTTACTCTTGATCCAATTTGCAGTTTCACTGTCATCCCTACACTTCTTCAACCACATCTTGGCGACGGGACAAATGACTGGGCGATGGTCACTGTCGATAGAACACCCAAAGCAGAACTTATGATTTGCACCGCAACTGACGGTTGGCACCATAGTTGTGAGGGATGAACGGGAGGAAGCAGAAGGGCACGAGACGGTGTAAGTGCATGATGGGTAAGGACAATATTTCAGGTGTGTGTTAGCACCGACAAAGTGCCGAACGAGCAATTCCTGGAATCGCTCACGAGTCCGTCCATCTTCATCCTCACCATATTTCTCTAAAGTAGACATAATGAAGGGGTCAGGTGCAACAAGTGCACAGCCTTCAGCCATGCAACGGATAGCATGCTCGCCCTCCTCACGAATCTTGGAGGTTATATATGCTGTCCAGCAGCCTGCACAGAAGGAATGGTCGCATGATAGTGAGAGGAATGACGTTTGAGAGTCGTCGAAACAAATGGGGCAAACCCAAGGTTCGGGTTTGGGAACTAGGCACGCGAGGTAAGTTGGGTCATATATATCAGTTACGAGTGACGTACCTGGTGTCAGCCGAGTTGTTCTGCGACGGCTGCCTGATGAGCGGATGGGTGCAGGACCCGTTACAGAGGGGGAGGCGCGGGAAGGGGTCGATACACCAGCCGCGACAGAAACGGAGGATGCATTGTCCATGTACTTCTCGATGAGGCGTTCCTTATTCCAATTCATGTTACGCAGCAATAAGGAAGCTGTACTTTCCTATACATCGCGAAGAAGAATTGCAGAACAGAACCATCAGTGTGAAATCAAACTGAAGACATTCATACGGACATCGACGCCGAATATGCTTGATATATGGTCCACATCAGCAGCCGAGAGCTTCTCAATTGCTTGCTGGGAGAGTGATTCATGTTCGATTTCATACGCCTTGCGGGGCGAATGTTGAGGGACTTTAAAGTCATCCGCGAACTCCATGTCCATGTCATCATCGCTGGGTGCTGAACCTGCGATGTTGTCGGCGATCGAATGAGCCACAACAAGAAGGGTAACATACCATCATCACCAGTACTGATCATGTCCTCATCATCGTAGAAAGCGTCCTCGTCGTCGGAGTAATCGTAATCAGAAGACATTGTCGTTGTTGTGGGTGATGTCGAAGGAGTTGTTTGCGGCGTGGGCCGGTCTGTATCGATTGGCATACCCTGTAAGCACTACCAAAACGGATAATCTTATTATGTAACCAACTCCCATGACTAATCGGCATTGCGGCACTGCTAAGTCATTTTTCAAGTTCCGCCTTGCGGCATTTGCGGCATTGTCACGTGATGCCTGACTCGTTTCAAGGAATTGATATGGTCCAAAAATGTTACATGCAAAGATTAAGATTCCTTACTTCTTTGCGTCAGATACCATCAAGATATCCTGTCAGACCTACACAACCTCCCATTATCTTGCTTAGAACCATGGCATCAGACAGTCCTGCAGGAACACACAAAGATCCCGTCACGGGAGAGATGATTTCCAAAACGTGCGTGACGAGTCATTAATGATCATAATCATATCTGCCCACTCACAGATCGTCGTGCACAGTGAGCTGAAGCGTCGCGAAAAGCAGCGCGAAAGGGATGCGAAGAAGGCGGACAAGGCCGCTGCCGCACCACCTCAAGCTGCATCTAAGCCTGCAGCCGCAAATGAGGATGACCTCAACCCGAATGTGGGTAATCTCTGCTAGCAATTGAGCAGTGATCCTGACACGATGTAGCAATATTTCGAGCTGCGTGCTCGTACAATCCAAAAGCTCAAGGAGACCCAGTCTCCCAATCCTTACCCGCACAAATTTCACGTCACCCAGAGCATCGCCTCTTTTGTTGAACAGTACAGCGAGGAAGGCTTGATTCCTGCTGGCAAGAAGCTCGACGACGTAATTGTTGCTCTATCCGGCCGTGTACACAATATCCGGAGTAGCGGAAACAAACTCAAGTTCTACGACCTACACGGCGAAGGCACGCAGGTACAGATTCTCGCAAACGTCCGGTAAGGTCCATCTTCAATGACAACTTGCATTTATTGAATCGTGTAAAGCGATGCAGAAAACTCGGATGAATTCATGTCTACGCAGGCACTCTTCCGCCGCGGAGACATCGTCGGTGTCACTGGCTACCCCTCGCGCAGTCAGAAAGGCGAGCTCAGCATCTCCCCCTCATCCATGGTTCTCCTCGCACCCAATCTGCACCAACTCCCATCCGCCCACTTTGGTCTTAAGGACCAGGAGACCCGATATCGCAAGCGTTACCTCGATCTCATCATGTCCCCTGGTACGCGCAACATTTTCATCACGCGCGCACGCGTGATCAATTACCTCCGCCGCTACCTTGATAACCTCGGCTTCCTCGAGGTTGAGACACCTATGACGAGCATGGTTGCAGGTGGTGCCACTGCACGTCCATTCGTGACGCATCATAATGATCTGGATTTGGACTTGTACCTCCGTGTTGCACCTGAGCTGTACCTGAAGCAGCTTACTGTCGGTGGACTCGACCGTGTGTACGAGATCGGACGTGTCTTCCGGAATGAAGGCATTGATTTGACACACAACCCTGAGTTCACTCTCTGCGAGTTTTACATGGCCTACGCGGATATGTATGACCTGATGGAAATTACGGAGAATCTTCTCGAGAGCATGGTCAAGTACCTCAACGGCGGGAGCACGATTGTGAAGTATCACCCCGAGGGCAAGGATGGCAAGGAGCTCGTGATGGACTTCAAGACGCCGTGGAAGAGGTATGACATGATCGAGACGCTCGAGGAGAAGACAGGAGTCAAGTTCCCCTCTGGTGACACGCTGCACACGGCGGAGACTAACAAGTTCTTGCGAGACTTGTGTGTCAAGGTCAGTGATTTGATCTCGACCTCTGAGGAATGTCGCTGATGTGTCACAGCACAATGTTGATTGCAGTGAGCCCCGGACTAACGCCCGACTCCTTGATAAGGTCTGTCTTCTTCGGTATCTATCAACGCCGTTATTAACTCGCGCATAGCTTGTTGGAGATTTCATCGAGCCCCTGTGTATCTCTCCTGCATTCATCAGTATGTCTTACTGTCATCTCTTCTCCCCTACGCTAACCACACCTCCATATATGCAGCTGGCCACCCACAAGTCATGTCTCCCCTCGCCAAGAACCACCGCTCACGTCCTGGTCTGTGCGAGCGTTTCGAAGGCTTCATGTGCGGGAAGGAGTTTTGCAATGCGTACACTGAGTTGAATGATCCATTTGAGCAACGGTTGCGCTTCGAGGAGCAGGTAAGACGCGATCCATTATCTCATCTACTGCTTACATTTTTTTACTATCCAACTTCAGTCGCGTCAGAAGGAGCAAGGTGATGATGAAGCACAAGGTGTAGATGAAGTATTTGTTGATGCGTATGTTCTACTTCTGGCCGATTCATTACTCTTCCTAAACCCAACAAATACAGGCTTGAACATGGTCTGCCACCAACCGCAGGCTGGGGCATGGGTATCGACCGGCTCATCATGTTCCTTACTGACTCCCCCAGTACGTGTCGTCCGGTCTAATGTTACGTAGATGCTGATGGTCGTGTGCAGACATCAAGGAAGTGCTTTTGTTCCCTGCCATGAAGCCTATTGAGACGGCAGCCAATACAAGCGGAAAGGAGCCTGGCCCTGCCGGACAATTGTAATGGTAGAGCCCTTTGAGGCGATCTAAAAGTAGACGATATCATGATGGATAGAACAAATAGTTATATGTTTTGGTTGAACTCGAGGCGGAGTAACGTTCAAAAGTCACTATTATCACTCGGGTAATTTAGGGATGTTATGCAGGAAAGCAATGGTTTTCGGGTGCGTTGTAAGGTGACGCACAACTACTTACTAGGTAAATACTAAATAAGTAGACACAACTCTATGATAAATTTTATAAGTTGATCACTCAATGCTTCTCTTCCTAGCGTGCCATGAGTACACGTCAAGACTGGGACGAAAGGAAACTTACAGCAGCTTCCTGGCTAGGCTCGCTTGCCTCTGGAGACTGAGGTTGAGCAACTTCCGGTGCGACCTCTGGTTCCTCCTCCTTGGATGGCGTTGAATCAACCTCTGAGGGAGCAGAATCTGCACTCTCCTGGGAAACAGTTTCGCTCGATGCTACAGAAGTCTCTTCATCTTTAGCGACAGCTTCCTCATGCTCCTGAGCGTCCTTGGGAGAATCGGCGTCCTTCGTATAATATATAAAAACATGAGCGAGTCGGTAAGAAAACAAACGCACGAATGCCTGCTCCATCGACTGCTTGATCTCCTCACCAGAAACCTCAGTGCCTTCATCATCTTTCATTGCAGAGGGTTGCGGCTCGACATGCTATGCAAAGCGCCGTGAACACACGTAACTTCCGTTAAAAAACAGTAGCATTACAATATCAATTTCGTATGCTTACATCACTGGCGTCCTGTGCAGTTCCCGTGAGTTATTTACTGAACATAACAAAAGATGGACATACACTCCGGTGTGCGTTGTGACTGTGCTCCGACTCATGGGCATGGGTAGTCTTGCGCGTAGATGGCGACAAGAGATAGAGCACCTAAAACCATCCCTTAGACTTGCTTTCGATGTAAAAAAGACGCGTCTGGAAACCTACCGCAGGACCAAATACCAAAGCCGAGCCAATCTGAAGATTTCAATGCAAAAAATGATTTATTTTACTCAGACTAACGGGGGCATCGCAAGAGCACGCACCATCCATGGTGTATCACTCCCGTAGTTGCCATGAGATGCATGTGGGGCAGCGGAAGCCATCGTACGTCTGCTAAATGCCGCAAACGATGAGCGTACGTTGTGGTTCGCTCTCATTCCGGAACGGAGGAAGGAGAAAGCATGTTGGACAGGACGAGACATTTCAGTGAGGCGAACCGTAGTACAGTGACGTCAAGAGTCAGGACACTCTATGTAGTATTAAGTTGTGCGACACAAGCAAACGAAGCGCGAACTGTAACGCGTGAACGAGCGGACTCGGAGAACTTATGTGACGTTGAGGTGGTGTGAACTTTCACGGATAAGACCGGAATCCCGTCTCCTCAAGTTATCGTCCCGAGGTTGTCCCGAGGCGAAGACGAGAAATACTACTCACCCCCAGGTGGAAGAGAATGGATAACCATCATAAGGAAGAATGTCATATCGCGGGGTGACCTGAATTACTTTCGTATATAGCTTGAATTCACAACACGAATATTTTTTTCTACTGACAAAGTCCAAGTGATACACTGGCAGCCCTTGAATGTGACAAAACCGAATTCTGTGTATGGTAGCATCTTGTAACGAGATCAGGGAACGGGGCTCGTCGACCATTATTTCCGCACGCCGTCGGCGAACGTTTGGAAGCGTCTGACAAACCGACAAGCTGATCTCGTTTGCAGCACTTCCTGAACCTCGGATCGAATATTGAGATGGGTGTGCATCGTGAGACTGCAATCGAATATGCTTCATATACCCTCGGGCTTCGAGGCGCTATAATCGCGTCTGAGTTGACAGACAAAATAGACTAGATTGGTTTGGACTTTGAAAGGCATTTGCGAACAATATTCTATATAAAAAACAAAACCATAGAACGTTGGAATGTCAATAATGCGGAATTTGTGGCAATGTGAAGATACCGTTACAGCGCTTGACGACGAAGAGTCGACCACGTAGAAGATACGAGGACGTTAGCAGCAACGCGAATGGCTGAAGTCGAGCTTTCTCGAGAGTCGACAAGATCGTATGTCAACCATGTAATTCACGCACGGGTTGCAGTGATAAGTCGCACACATATGAGTCCAAAAAGAAGTTTGGGTTGGACATGAATCGCGGTTGTTCCTCATTGGAATCAATGGAATGGGCGCCAGATAATGAACTCGAATGAAGTGCGGTGTCACAGTTTCACTTCTGAGTGTGGTCGATTATATTGTATTAGTTTTATTCGAACCTGCGGATAGTCATCCAATTGTTGACCCTATTATGGGAGATCTTGGGACATACAGAATGCGAGTTATTCGCTTGAAGAACTATTTTTAGCACTCGAAGCAGTGTATTTCGTGCGACAAATGAAGTAAATACTCACATGGTGATGTTTTGTAGACTTGTCGTGGTGTACGATGGGTGATTGATGCTTCTTAGACAATTGCACTGTACTACACAAGACGGCGCCCTTAGAGAAGAACAATAAGCATATGGATGCATGCGAAACTTGGAGGTCTGAACCTAAATATCTGATGCCGCTCAAGCGTCGAGTCACTGAGGCTGCGTGCTGTGGCCATTATTAATTGTGGGATCGTTCATCCGTCAACCGAAAATAAACCACAAGTCCAAGAGACGGTGGTCGTGTCCCGTGGCAGCTACTGCCGCGTATTGTCTGTCCACCATACATACCATAATGTCTACGTTGTTCGGCAGTCTGAGCCGTAGTCCATCAACAACGGATCTCCAGTGCACGGATCTTATGGAGAGTGACAGGAGGATAGGAAAGGCGTCATCAAAGAGGCAGTAGCTATGCTGTTAATTTCGGATAGTCGTATTGAAGATGACTGATCCTGGCCAGCGTGATTATTATCTGCAGCAAATTTAGAAAAGTGCGATTGCACCTTTGGGAAGCACAGCATGAATCGCAACGTTACTACTCGTGTCTTTGATTTGTGACAACCTCGTTCACAGAATATGCCCGTATGATACTATATGATGCCAGTTGCATATCTTGTAGCACATGCTAAGTGTTCTGCGGTTGCCACAGTGAGTCGGTGATGGCCGCCGGGTGGAGCTGAGGATCCACAGGCACTGACCTAAGGGCTTATGGAACGCTTCAACTCCGTCGGGAAAAGCAGCTACTGCAACATGAGCCACCATCAGCATAGCCTCAGTGATCACCCGTGCTCTCGGATATGATCAAAGTCACGAGTGCGTTCCCTCGAAAGATGTGATGTTATTGGACTAAAAAGTCAGTTCAGTACCAAAAGCCATCACGATAGTGACTTGTCAAGGTGTATAAGGGAATAAAGGACGGTTTGCTGTAAGGTGTTTCCATAGCTTACCTAAACAACGATAGTTTGATGGGACTGGAAGTATTACTTTGATCTTCGTTGCCCAAATTCCTGTACTAGTGTACATACGTGGGATATTAGCCCTGTCAGGCATGCCGCAATCGACCTTCTCCTCCACCGTTCGCATCTCAAGTTGAAAGTGCTCAAACCGAAGAATGACCAAACGACCGGGTCATGCCCATTCCACCTCCGAACCAATCCTAATGCAGACCTTCGACGCCTCCAACATTGACAAGGAATACCAGTTCTACGATGAAGAGGCTGCTAGAGTCAGCCAGAAAATTGATGAGGAGCTCAAGGTTTGTACCCCATTTTCCTCTGCTTAACTAGGAACTCTTCATCATCGAAATCTGCAGAGAGACTGGGTGCGGCGCAAGGATGCTCAGAGAAGACAAGTGAAGGGTACGTTCTGTCGAGGAACACTACCCACTCCGAGTTGACTTAAACGTATGTATGTAATCATACAGTCATGCTTCTTGGCCAGGCAGAATCCGGAAAATCAACACTCCAGAAGCAATTCCAGTTGTACTACGCCCAACATGCCCTCGATCATGAACGTCCCCTATGGCGTCCGGTTGTATATTTCAACATACTCAAGGCTGTTCGAATGATCCTAGACGAGCTAGACCACGAACTCAACAACCTTTCGATTGATGATTCGTTGGAGGGCCAGGCTGTCGCACATTCCCTAGCCCCCTTGGGTGATCTGAGCGAGGAATTCTCCGGGCTGCGTACTAAGTTGGTGCCTCTGGTTGCAATGGAGGACTCGCTGGCATCGGAACTCAGCGGCGGAGTCGCTGTGACCGGCGGCCGAACTGGTGTATATGTTCGTGCAGGATGGCAGGCCCTTGTCACCCCTTTATCGCCCAACCGGAGTCGTGCGCTTCCTGGTACTGGCGGACTTTCTCCCGCTGTTGCTCAGGTGACCAGCCTGGCTTCGAGGACGCTCATTTCTGTTCAAAATGAGGTAGATGAGCTCTGGAAGCACCCGGCCGTTCGGATACTCCTCAACAACAGGCGAATCAGGCTTGATGAGTCTGCACCATTGTACGTCCCATCTGTACCTTGAGTGTTGTTTGTTGACTGTCCTCGCAGCTTCCTGGACAGCATCAAACGTGTCGCGCAGCCTGATTACCTTCCCTCAACAGGTAAGTGCATATTTGTTCTGAAATTGTTTACAAACGTTGAATGCGTCTGATCTAGCCGATCTTCTCAACGTTAGACTACAAACGCTCGGTGTGGCTGAGCATTCTTTCGATATAGAATTATGCGGCTCTAGATATAACTGGTTGATGTACGACGTCGGCGGAGCTGTACGTGTGTGCCTATTTTTCTTGTTCTATTGTTTAGCTCAACAAGGCGCCACACTCATTTTTAGCGTGGCCAGGCGAGTTCATGATATTTAATGATCTAAACAAATCTCCCGTCTGACTCCGAACCATCGCCTCAGCGCCACGCGTGGGTGCCATACTTTGACGATGGTGGGTGTTTTGCTCTGTTGCATTTGCCACCTTGCGGACACGGGCGCCGCGGAGGCGCATTCATTGTCCGCAAAAAGGAATGTTTACTAACTGACCGTGTTTCTTGGTTTCGGATTAGCAACTGCAATCATTTTTTTAGCGCCAATCAGTGCATTTGATCAAGTATGTTCTTGTGTATTCTCCCCTTGTGCTCCTATTCATTGTACCTGAAATAGTATCTTGAAGAAGATCCGCGGACAAATAGAGTGGACGACTCGTTGCAGCTATTCACAGCTATATGCTCAAACAAACTCCTGAAGAACTCGCATTTGGTTCTGATGCTAAACAAGGTTTTCATCATTTTTACAGCCTTGACTGTGTGACTGATGTGACGTGACTGTGCGCAGACTGATCTACTAAGGAAGAAGCTAGAAGCTGGGGTCAAAGTGCGGAAATAGTAAGATTTGATGATCACTTATTGGTTGGCTGTGCTCACAGCTCAACGACAGTATCACATCATACGGCGACCGCCCGAACACCTACGCCGATGTGTCAGAATATTTCAGGGCACACTTTATTCAAGTTCACAGGCGCCACGATATCAGCCGTCGAGCGTTGTATGTTGTATGTATAGATTTTTCTCGTGTCTTGAAGTAACTTTGTTCGCTAATAATTGTGTCGCCATCCAGCACTTCACCTCTATGCTGGTGAGTTTTCTGGTCATTCGAGGTTTGCACGAGACCTAATCAATATAAATTCAGGATATCCGGGCAACGCAGGACATCATAGTCAATGGTACGTTCTTACAGATGTCTGCCCTCCCAAGTGCTCATACAGATACGTCAGTGGGAGAGGCTATTATCCGATCGCACATCGCAAAGACTGGTCTCGCGTGATTCCTTCCTAGTTGACATTTTCTGCCGAGGATATCGACATAGTACTATGTTTATCTGATTACTTTCCAACATGACACTTCCCTACCGATTAATGATACCTGATGACCTCTTTTTTCTTGCTGATTATCTTACAAACATCATCTATTGATATTCCGTCCATCATTGTCACACCTCATCTCTCAGCCTTGTTGCATATAGAATTTCATTCGGTCGTCTTCCAATTGAAAGGGTCGGTCCGATGGCATAGATGAATTTGCACACGCATTTAGCGCCAGCTGGAGTTCACTTTAGCTGCCACTCTCACGCCGCCGCATCTTTCTTGCCTGATAAGCAGTTTCAGTCCATGGTACGCCTTTTACATCCCCCAATGGTGAGGATTTTGATTGTTTTGTGATAACCAAGATCTTCATCGCCCAGTCGACTTGAGAGATCAACGATTATTGTAACCATGCAGATGATGAAATGCGCGTCTTGCGATGCGGTCCTTGAACGCGTGGATATGCAGCACCATATACGAGAACGCCATCTGCTGCCTAACAAACATGCGCGCAGAGTTCCCAGAGTCCCCAGACCCACGGTGTCATTCGGGGAATGGCAAGCCAGGGCAAGCACCCGGCCAGCTCCTGTCATCACTCGACCGGAACGCCACACATTCCAATTGGATATCCAAGACATCGTGCATGCGTTCATCGCCTTGCCGGATCAGTTGAGACAAGCGTGCAGCGAGGACGTCGAGGAACTGCCTGTTCTTGGGGTGAGTCCATCGGCGTTGCAACGGTCAGTCGGTGTCATGATTTACGCTGCCATCAGGCGCTGTATGCGTACACCTTCACGCATCTTCAACTATGCGCTCCAGAGAAACAAAGGTCGGGGTCATATTCATATTTTGGAACCAGTGGTTTGAATTCTCATGCGCGACACCAGTCTTATTGTCGAACTCGAAGACCTAAAAGTGAGGTTGATAGGAGAAGGCGATGCTTGCCTTCCAAATTTAAAGACTATGAAGGACGGGCTGGTCCACATTCTACAAAGGGTGTGCAAAACTTTAGTCAGTGGGGAGTCTACTGAATGGTATGAACAGTCACAAGTCGGAACGCACATTTGCAATACTGGCCTGATTAACGATACAAAATTACACGATCTCGACATCAACAACATAGGAACATTGATTGTTGAGCACACAACATCAGAGCCCGACAACTGGCACACTTTCTATGCCGATGACAAAGCACAGTTCATGGTTGATATCCTGCAAAATGTAAGCGTTAACTTAGAGTTCCGTAGTCGCCCTTTGACATTTGTTAGCTACTTGCGGCTCGGTCTGAAATTCTGGAAAAATATAGAAGGTATCTGGTGAATGCTGTGATCAAACTCTCCAGGAAATCTGGACGGTTCCCGCAGAGTTTGCAACTTCGTTGTATTCAGGACATAAAACGTACCGATTTTCGTGGCGGATTTGGCTTGATCTATGAAGGCAAGTTAAACAGCCGCCTTGTTGCTGTGAAAAAGGTGCTAGAGGGTAATCGTTCCCGAGAACGATTTGATAAAGTCAGTAATTTCAATTCAGACGTCTACAGAAGATCACATGTTGACATGCGTTGTAGTCGTTTTCTAACGAGGCAGTGATCTGGTATCATGTACGACATGCTAACTGTCTTCCGTTCTACGGTGTATACGTCTTTGATAACGACGCTGAGAAGACCTGGTGCCTCGTATCCCCCTGGATGAAAGATGGTCATGTTAACCACTACCTTAAGGAGCATCGTGATGCTGACAGGTATCCACTGGTAAGTACAGGTTTACTTTATACCAAGAGATCCAGCTTACGGTAGTGAAGATCCTGGATGTTGCACGGGGCCTAGAGTACCTACACTCAATGGACCCAGCAGTGACTCATCGCGACCTGAAAGGCGTAAGTGTATGCGCCTACCTCTGATTCTAGAGAGTCAAAACTTTGAATTTGCAGGTTAATATCCTGATAACGTCTTCCGGGCGTGCATGTATAGCGGATTTTGGAATTGTAAAGGCTCGAGATCCTAATAATCAAATGACCACAACATCATCCAATGTCATAGGAACCTCTCATTTTATGGCTCCAGAACTTCTTGCCGCAAATAGTGAAGCTGATCTCCAGAACTTTGACACAAGGCGGTGCGACATGTATGCGTTGGCTTGCGTCTGTTATGAGGTATGGAAACAAAATACTTCATTCGGCTTGACCTACGACAAAACTTGCAGATGTTTACTGGGAGGTGCCCGTTTCAAAACCAGCCGATCATTCAGTTAGTGCTGGCGAAAAAGCGGCCAGAGCGCCCCGGGCCACGTGACACGCACCAAGTGTTGGACGACTTTATGTGGAGTCTCATAGAAACCCTGTGGAAACATAAACCGGAAGATCGACTAACAGCAGAACAAGTGTGCAAGCACATATTGACCAGGATGGATGCTGAGGGGAAAAATACCGCGCGCCCGTCCACCGAAGTGGAGTGGAATGTAGGTTTTCTGGCTGATGCCGCCGTAACGATAGTGGCAGAAGACCCTTTCACGCTTGCGCATGCATAGAATTGAACTCGTATGTTGTACAACTGTGCTGGCAATGTATTGTTGCTTTATCTGTAAGCGCTGAGTTCAGGAGTAACCATTTAGTAGACGGAGTCAAAGACAGCGGGAGAACTCGCATATCATGGACTATACCCATTAATCAGATTCCAGCAACAGTAGATTTGAGGTAATCAATTGAATACGCTCCTGCAGGTTCTACCGAAATTTTTGCCATCAAGACAGCTACAACAATTCTGCCTGATCGATCAGAATCATGCTCATAAGCATATGCACGATATAAAAGCTGGCTGTCGTCCCATAGCGTTCCTCGATATCATTCGACAACCCCCTCAGAAGATTCTTTATATCCTCGCAGCATCACCTAACATAGAAAATGCGTTTCTCGTTCCTCGCCGTTGCTGCTTCTTTGGCAGCATCTATGGTTGTCAGTGCATGTGGCAGAACAAATGCAATTTGCACAACAGATGGAGATTGCTGCACGCACTATCAATGTATAAATTCACCTGATGTGAGTATGAGCAGGTCGCTGTGCAACCATAATTCAACCACATGACCACATGACTCACCTGCACGCCTTAGAGAGGACAGTTCTGCGCGTCGGTTGGAAGTTGAGCCGGCAGCTCGTGTGGTACATCGCGACAGTGAGCCATGTTTCTGCTTTCGCTTTGGTATCATGGTTGATGGAGCAATACTTAGGTCGGAGTCAATCAGTGCAGTTGTTTGTAGATAAATTTTCGTGCTGCTCGAGCAATGTAGATGTTTGAACTGATCTGAAAATGATCGACTGTGCCTAGTCTTTCTTGTGGTCCACTAAGCTCGAGTTTGAGAGGCTGTCGAAACGAGCGATCATTGCCGTTGATGATTAATATTTGGAGGCTGTGCGAATATGGAACATACTGCGCTGATATTTTCTCGAATCTGTTTGTCTAACGTTAGCCTCAAATAGCTCATGGATCTATATCTCTGTGACTCGCCAGAGTCAATGCATCGAGCACTGCAACGACTCTTGATCAACTGGAAAGTCTGCAACTCGTCGTGTGCCATCAGGGAAGACAAACGGGTTGGGATGTCATCAGAACTCAACCAACATATCTCCAAGAGCTTGTCCCACAAGTGATGAGTCCAGAGTAACGATTGGATCTAGGGAGAAGAGAGTTGTGACGTTGATATAAAAGGCGAGTAAGATAGAGTCGCCTTAGGACTAGTAGTGCCAAGGGTGCCTGGTGGGTGTTGGTTTCTTGGGCCTCGGTCAGGGTGCCACTTGATACTAAGCCAAGAAGCGATCCGCGTAAGCCTTACCAAGGCCGCGTCAGTGACATGGCCTTGGGTCAGCTTAAGTCTCAATAAGCGAAGCTAGCCAGAAGTGCAAACTGAGTACAAAGATCAATCTAGTGAAGCTGGTAGTGTAATAGCCGTGTCACGTCCGCGGCAGGCACAACTGGCAGAAGTCAGGCAGTCCACAGGACGATACAATTGTTCTTTAAATTGATGCAAATGGCAAAGTGGAGTAATTTGGATTTCCGGATCGCACAGAGTGAAGCCCTGCGAAGACAAATGGGCATATCATGTGACTATAATTCTAGTATAAAATGAATGTCGGTTCCTCGCCGAAGCACAAGTAAAAATTTTGCACAACTTTTGAAACTATGGCAAAAGAACGGTTGGCAAGATGACCTACAGAGTACTACCAACCACTAATTAAGCATGCGCCCGATCCGCGATAGTAGATACCGAGTTCACTTACAAAGTCGAAAGTGACAGTAGGTACATGAGGACCGTGGGAATAGACAAAAACTTTGGCTAGTCTCAGGATCACCGACTTGGTCCAAATACTCATTTTCATAGCCTTACACCTCCAAAATGTCGACCAGCGGGCTGAAGGCGATTGCCCCTGTGCCCACCGCGGCAGATTTCTTGGACATCGTCTTGTCCAAGACTCAGCGGAAGACACCTACAGTGAGTCGTTTGAGGATATCATCTAGAGCAATCTAATCATCTTGATGCTCCAGGTAATCCACAAAAACTTCAAGATCAGCCGCATCCGTAATTTTTACATGCGCAAAGTCAAGTTCACGCAAGACACTTTCGATGAAAAACTGGGAGCCATATTGTCAGAGTTCCCCCTCCTCGACGTGAGTTTGATCAAACTCTTGTGGGGGAGTCAAAACTCACAAACCTGAGGCAGGACTTACACCCTTTCCTGGCGTCACTCATGAATGTATTGTATGATAAAAATCACTACAAACTTGCTCTAGGCCAACTTCGCACTTGTCGACATCTCATTGACCAGGTTGCCAAAGATTACGTGCGGCTTCTTAAATTCGGCGACAGTTTATACCGCTGTAAGCAACTTAAAAGGGCAGCGCTGGGTCGTATGGCCACTATCATGCGCAGACAGAAAGATCCCCTTGCCTACCTCGAGCAAGTTCGCCAACATATTTCCCGTCTTCCCGCCATCGACCCTAATACCCGGACCCTACTCATTTGCGGCTACCCAAATGTTGGGAAGTCGTCATTTATCAACAAGGTCACACGCGCGGACGTTGACGTCCAGCCATATGCTTTTACAACCAAGTCCCTTTTTATTGGCCATCTAGATTACAAGTACCTGAGGTGGCAGGTAATCGATACCCCTGGGATTTTAGATCACCCGCTGGAGGAGATGAACACGATTGAAATGCAGAGTATTACGGCTCTTGCACACCTCAAGAGTTGCGTGTTGTATTTTATGGACCTAAGTGAACAGTGTGGTTACACTGTGGAAGCTCAAGTGCGTATTGCAGCATACATTTTGCGTCTGGACCACGTGCCAATTTTCACCCGCAGTGCAAACTGTTCCACTCTATCAAGCCTCTATTTAATGGCAAGCCGACGCTGCTTGTCATCAACAAAATCGACGTGACTCGCCTCGAGGATCTTACGTCCGACAATCGCGCCCTTGTCCAAGAAATTATCGACACTGAGAATGTCCAATGCATCCAGGTGTCATGTTATTCTGATGAGGGGGTCATGGATCTCAAGAACAAGGCATGCGACGCCCTCCTAGCACACCGCGTCGACTCGAAACTCAAGGGCACCAAAATTAACTCTGTGATCAACCGTATACATGTGGCACAGCCGAAAGCTCGGGACGACGTTGTCCGTGCACCGTTCATACCGGATGTTATCAAAGAGCGAAAGAAGTACGATAGGGATGATCCCGACAGGAAGAAACTTTTGCGAGACACGGAGTTAGAAGAGGGTGGTCCTGGTGTTTTCAACATCAACATTAAGCGTAAGCTCCCGTCCGTATATTTCACGTACCTCCTGACGCGTCATACAGAGGATTACATCCTTGCAAATCCTGAGTGGAAGATGGACATTATGCCTGAAATCATGAACGGCAAAAACGTTGCTGACTTCATCGACCCCGATATCGCCGAAAAACTTGAGGCCCTTGAGCGTGAGGAAGAGAAACTCGAGGCCGAGGGCTTTTACGACAGCGACGAGGATATCTTTGACTCCGAAGACGAACGTGAAGCAGTCGAAGCCAAAAAAGCTCTTGGGCACAAAATACATTCACAGAACGTCAAAAAAGCCATGAAGAACCAGTCACGCTTGCCACGCACAGCGGGCCTTCGCACGCTGTCTGAACTCACTACTGAACTCAAGAAAGCAGGTTATGATCCAAGCAGCATAGAGGCAAGAGCTGGGATAATAGCCAAAGCTCAAGGCGCCAAGCGGAAACGTGCTGAAGACATGGATGTTGATATGGAGGATGGTGACGGTGACGCAAGTGAGGGTGAAGAAGGTGACTGGATGGATGTTGATGGCGAGGAGCAGACGCCGAATAAGCGAGTAAAGAGTAACTCGGGTTCCGTTATCGCCAAACACCCGCGAGCCCCGAAATCAAATCGCCAATTTGCTGGTATGCGTGATCAGCAGGTTTGTTTTATCTTTATCTGGACGAATAACTCTCTGATGTTCTTTATTTAGCAAGCCTCCAAGGCCGTCAAGCTACGGAACCTCGGACAGCGTGAGCGCAATCGGCTGGCTAAAGCTGGAGAGGCTGATCGTGTTATCCAAACTAAAATGGTTTGTGATCATGAACACATCTTCACTTTGTTGTTAATCACTTCCTCAGCCAAAACATCTTTTCGCTGGCAAACGGAAAGCCGGAAAAACGAACAGGCGTTAGCCTGTTCGTATTGTATGCTCATGTATTATTTTTGTCGTATATCATGCAATCTATTCCATTCTATAGTACAACTTGAACTTTGTCCTGCAGACAACCAAAAAGTTCAACGATGAAAGAAAGAAAGAAATCTAGACCATACTAGAAGGTATATAAGTATGTATGTACAATGATTTGTGCGCAAATCACAATATAAACGTTTGAAGTTCGTCGATCGTTCTGGAGTATGTCGTACGTGTATCACTTTAAGGGACGTCCTGCAACGTTTCCTTGGTTAGTCATCAAGTAAGGTATAATATAATGGGGTGTGGAGGTAGAGGGAGATATACAGAGGGGGAGGGTTTCGCAATAACAGAGGGTGTGGCTCAGATCGATAAAGAATTAGATGCAGGTCCACATTCAGTCCCAATCAATGGTAATTCCGCCGGGGCCAGGAGCAGCGAGACCGATACCCCTGTCAGATTCACGTTTCAGCCACTTGAGAGCACGCTTATCATCCTTGAGGAGTGGTTCGAGTCTTTCTAGGCACTTCTTATTGTGATCCTGCGATAACGGGTACGTTAGATAACCGAAGGCTCCGCAGGTGGAGGATCACTGATCGCTTACTTTCAACCATTGCTTTTCTTCCTTGGTAAGCATACTTTCTTTGACCATCCGCGTCTGGATCGGAACACACGTAAGGCGTTCAAACCCAAGCCACACGTCGCCGTTGAATTCGCCTTTCGTCTGGTGACCGATATCGTAAGATGTCATCGCGGTGTGGTGAAACAGAATCAACGAACCTTAACTCTGCGAATAGCCAACGCAGATTCAATGCGCATTCCCCACCGGCCTTCGAGATCTATAATTCACACCATGATGAGTCACGATGGAAGAAATTTCGGCTTGCAACTCACAGAAAC